CCACCCATTCTTGAAGGTATGCTATTTGCTGTAGTTTTACAAAGGAAGTCTTTGCCAGTCCAGTAGAGACCTGGGACATTCCCAAGAGCTTTTTTTTTTTTTACATCATATCAACCTGCAACGATCGCAAATATCAGCTCTTGAAAAAAGGAAATCTGAGCTGTCCTGAAGTAAAGTAAACAGTCTGTGATGGTCAAATACAAAACTATTATGCAGGATGGAAAATGCAACCAGCTGTGGCATTTCAGGGTTGTATCTACACTTGAAAAAAGATTCCATGTTGGCAACTGGATAAAAATAAAAACAATTGTTGATGAAAAAGTGGATGGTTCCAGTTCCACATATAGAAACACGACCTTTCAAAGATGAGGAAGATTTCTGAGTTAGAATTTCACTAGCTAACATGTATCAGGCAAAATGAGAAAATTAAATTTCTAGCATAAGCGTTTGTGGGTTTCATCAACGTTCATCAGATACATTGATAAAGGTGCCACAGGTGATTTTGTATAGGTGATTTTAAGTTAGTATAATTTACATTTGGATCTGTTTAACAGTGAAATTATCTAAATGTCAATCTCCTTTTCACTCAGAGTATGCTTCTATGTTTAGTCCTTCCAAGAAGAAAACGAAAAAGAAGCAGTACAGTCCAGAACTAAATAAAACTATGATGGGGGCAGCAGCTGTGGCTTCAGACCTGTGAATCAGAGGATGTGGATGCGACAAGACGCATCTGGAACTTGCAATCAACCAGAAGAGCTATAATGATCAAACCTTGTAACATCAGTCCATGAAGTCAATTTTAAGACAACTGGAAGTAGCAGTTTACCACAACAAATGACCCGTGTCGCAACGTTACACTTTGCCACAAAATTATAGAGTATAAAGGAGCTAAATATTCCAAAGCCACCAGATCCTGCCTGATCTCGGAAGCTAAGCAGGATCAGCCTTGGTAAGTACTTGGATAGAAACTGCCAATAAATTCCAGGTGCTGTAGACTGTGGTTAAGAGGAACTGCATAATGAATCACCTTGAGAACTTCTTGCCCAATCAAATTCATGGGGTCCCATTGAGTTGACATGTGACTTGAAGGCATATATGCACAATAATAATAACAACACTATATTTATATTTCGCCCTATATCCCCAAGGGGACGCAGGACGGATCACAGTACACATACACAGCAAAAAATCAATGCTGTTTGGACAGACAGAACAGATAGAAAGAAGGCATGTTGTGTTTTGTTGACGTCAGCGCCTTGGAAGGTTGTGCGTGAAATCCAGGCACAGAGGGGTGCTGTTTCTCCATCCTCTATGACGAAGAGCCATCAGGACTTCTTCCTTTTTGGTTGCCAGCATTTTCTGATCTTTTTCTTTTTATGGTGCTTTGAAATACCTCCCCTGCTGTTTTACCAGTACCTAATTTCTCTACAGTACAAGCTTTTTTTGGAACTACTTTGGTCAAGAGTAAGCTGGGTTTGATAGTTGGCAGCTCATGCCGACTTGGGGATTTGAACTAGCAACCTTTTGGTTGGCAGATGTTATCATTGCTGATGATTTTACCAGCTGTGCTAAACCCCAACCATGTACATATACAGCATGTTTGATTTAATACATTGATATGAATTTCGCTTGTAATTCCATAGGGCCACTTAATCAACATTACAGAAATTTAGAAAGCAACTCAGTATGTTGCATGATTAAAAAGCAATATAAAAGCAATACAAGTTTGTTACTATCAGCCTCAATCTAGGAAAATACTGTTAGTTTCTGTCACCCGAAGGTGGAGGCCCCAATTGCATCTCTTTACTCATACAGCAAATAGCCCTTCACATGGCATAACTGTACAGATACCTGGAGTTGATACATGATTGTGTCTTGAACTTTATACATTAGTTATACATGTTAACAAAAAGGAAATAGGAAGCTCGTGCCTTCCGTTGGTAAGAAAGTGCTGAGGTATGGGAATTGAAAAAAAAAATGAGGGGAAAGTACAACTGAGAAACACATTCCCCTCCATAGCTGACATGGAAAGTAGTCTCTCTTCTGTTTGTGTTTAAGAGGCTATTGATGCACAAATAGAGGAAGATCATTTTACTGCTAACCCACTAAAGATTATTCAGAATTGCCAGTTCTGAATAGCCTTAATGAATACATCATCAAGTGATAAATGGCACTAGATTTAGCCGTAATAAAAAAGAGAGGGTAGGGAAGAAGGTGTGTAGCAGCATAATGAATCATCTAAGAGATTAAGATCTTCTGGGGAGGCCCCTCAGCTTTGGAACGTCCTCCCCTGTAAAATTTGATCAGCGCCCTTCCTCTTGGTCTTCAGAAAGAAAGCAAAGATATGGCCTTTGGCTAGGAAGCAGTGCAAGAGTTGAATAGCGATATGTGCAATTGACACTTGGAATGGCCTGGGATCACGATTTTGGATCACTGTATGTGATTTTAATGTTTATATTAATATGTTTTTAATTCTATGTCTTAATGTCTAAATATGTATGTTTTATGGTTTAATATGGTTTTAATAGTTTAATTCACAGTTATATGTTATGATTTGATTTTATGTTTTAGTTTTTCACATGTATGTTGGCATTAAATTTTGCCATGACTATGCTGGAAACTGCTTTGAGTCCCCCCAGGGGTGAGAAAATTGGTATACAAATATAGTAAGTAAGTAAGTAAATAAGTAAATAAATAAATATCCAAACTTTTTATTTTAGACTGTACTTGTGGGGATACAGACCCACTTCAGATGCAGTGCAAAGTGATATCCAAGTCTCCAGATACAAAGCATATTCATACAGTTCTGGAAGTGAGATGTAATAGGGAAATCTTGCCTTAAACATTCAAAGGCCTGCATAGACTGATAAGATCTTGTAAATCTTTTCCACAGAAGATGTATTTGTTCTTTCTCCAATGTGATATACGCCCTCCTATGTTAGCATGATCCTCCAGTCTACATTGGACAGGCAGGTCAGTCCCTATGCCAGTGGATAAATTGAGACATATCAGAAATTATAAGAGGCAGCACCCCAAAATCAGTCTCCCTGGACATTCAGCAGAGATTGAAATGTCGCAGTTCTTTAATAAGAAAATTACAAAAGAAGACTACAAGAAAAACAGAAAATTCCAATCCATTATAGCAGAGGTGTGAAAAAGGCAATAGCTTCAATGGCACACAATATGTATTAATACAATATTCAGCACATCCAACAAAAGGAATCTCAGAAAAGGTTTTGAACTTCAAGAAACTTTTTGAAGTTTTCACACATCAAGACTAACTGAACACTGAAGATCTGAAGGACTTGTATCACATTATGTAGTCCTTTGAAAATTTAGGTGAAGGCTTGTGATTTGTACCTTTCTGGATCTTATTACATCTTGTGATACTCCCATATCTGTGTAAATACACTTTGTACCTGAACATTGTTGCTCTGTACTGCATCTGAAGTGGAGGGCCGGGAGTTTAGCACAGCTGGTAATTCACCAGCAATTATAAGATCTATCAACCAAAAGGTTGCAAGTTCAAAACCCCGGGTTGGCATAAGCTGCCGACTGTCAGCCCAGTTTACTGTTTACCTAAGCAGTTCAAAAACAGCTTTAGAGAAATTAGGTATCGCTAAAAGCGAGGCAGGTGTTTTACAATGCCATAAAGAAAGATCAGAAAATGCTGAGCGACCAAAAGGAAGAAGTCCTGATAGCTCTTCTTCATCAAGGATGGGAGCAACAGCACCTTCATGACTGGATTTGAGCCCCACCTTCCATGGCACCAAAAAAGCTGGACATTGAGTTGAACGACAACACACCTCCTACTGTTCTGTCTCTCTCTGTATTGTCTATACAAAACGGCATTGAATGTTTGCTGTGTATGTGTACTTTGAGTCCCTGAGTCCCTTTCGGGGTGAGAAGGGCGGAATATAAATAAAGTATTATTATTATGTTATTATTATAAAACTTCACGCAATTTTTTTTAAAAAAATTACATAGTCATAAAGGTGCCGCTACATCCCCCCTCCCCTTTCCTCTTTTTTTTTTATGCTGCAAGAAACTGGCACACTTATTTTTTAAAAATCTGCTAGATTTATCCTTGTTCATCTTGCAGAGCAAACCACAGGCTACCTACTACAATGCAACCTGAGCCCTGCCACATGCACAGTGGAGGACCTTCTCACAGCAATACCAGAGGCACTTCAAGTGGCCAGCTTCTGGCCAAAGGATATTTAGCACAATGCCAAGTTTTAAACTTTGTGTTTCAAATACTTTTTAATTGTACCCTCAATTTGCTTCTGACACGATAAATCAAAATATTCCACAGTTCTGATGAAAGATCACAAAAGCGTCTTTTTAAAAATATTACATATCAGTACGATTCCAAGGTGTGGTCAGTCCTATGAGGACTCTCAAGACCATGCTGATGTCCAGCTTCCCCAGACATATATTGTGCATATATATTGAATCAAGTGCATATTAGCAGATGTGTATGGCTGATTCACCTTAAGTTGGGAAAGCAAGAAAATGGCATGAATACTTCACACTTGCATCATAATGAAGTAGGCATCTGCATAAGCATGGAGTTCCATTTTTTTTAAGAATACCTTGTAACAAGGGCAGCATTGATCCTTCAAGTGTTTTGGTTGACATATTCCCTGAGCCCCTGGCATTTTTATTGGAGATTCCAACTAAAAAGAGAGATTACTATGTATGGAGCTCCAATTTAAAATTTGATCTTTGTTTACCAAAACTCAGTTGAATGAGGAAATTGAAATTCAAATCCTCCTGTTTAGTTCAAAAGCTCTGAGAAGGCACTGTCTCTCAGCTAAACACACTTTTCAAAATGCTTGTAAGGTTAAACTGCTATTTTGGAGGGCATATCTTTAAAAAGACAGGAAAGATACCAGTGTAATACATCAGTGTATGTTTAGGAAGCCACTCTGTCATTAATATTTTATTTATATGGCAGTTTTTTTATGACACAGAAGCAAAAGAAAACATTGGAAACATGCCAGAGAAAATAAGAATTTATTGAGTTTTTTAGTTTGCATGATTATGGTTACTAGAAAAACATTTCTCAAAAATTAAGTAGTCTGCTAAAAAAATATACAGTGACACAAACTTCTAGTAGTATTTCTCCTCTTTTTTCTGCCTTTGAAGATACCGATTATGAAAACAATGGACTCTCCTCAAATAAATCACCTCTATGTGGGCCAAAGGAACCATGAGCACAGCAAGGGACTTTTCCTATAGATTTTTTCGTGCCACAGAGAGATCTTCAAAGAAAGCTTTGCTGATGACTCTTGTTTCTTTGCACTGATTTATTTGGCTTGCAGCCAATAGCTACAGGTGGATAGTAACAGACACCAATTACCATTTGTATTTACTGACCCGTAAGTCCTAAACCATCCTCCACTAGAGGAGAGAGAGATCTCAAGAGTAGTTTCTCTTCGCATTTTTCCCAATAGTAACGAATGGAGCATACAGCACCGCAAACTACACAGATGCATTTATGCCTCTTCATCTCCTGCAATTCTCCCTGTCTCCAATGGAGATAAACACATACAACAATGGTTAAGTCCTTAAAGATGCCCGTGCCTTATCGAGTATTTCTTTTCTGATCTTGGGGTAATTTGGATGTGCTTCTAAAACCTGATGAAAGAAAAAAAGTGAGTAATAAAACAGCCATAAACATTTCTCAATAAAACAACAATTGACAGTTATTCAACTGCCCACCGATCCACATATAAAGTGTTCCAAAACAATAGGCATGCAGTATGCCACTTGAGAATGCACAATTATATAAATAAATCACGAGGACAAATTATGACCTGCAGGTGGTCCTTCAGGAGCCGATTTCTCTCTCCCAAATATCTATACAGGATATTTTCACATGTTTGGAGCCCCCCACGTCACCCTGAGAGAAAATGAGATACTGTGAAACTGTTTTTGAATGAAAAAAAAGTTTCACAATGTCCCAAAATGGCCTCTAGAGAAGCAACTCCCGAACGGTGTTCTGCGGAATCCTAGGCTTCCACAAAAGCATTGTAGGGGTTCCAAGAAAAATCTTTAATATATATATATATATATATTTCAAATCTTTTTCAAAAGTCCAGGCCAGTGTATGAAGGTCTTATTGATATTCAATGTACCTCTGCTTTAAAAACTAAAATTGTAGCTGTGCCACTGAATTACTGTTGGGTAGGATTGATGGACATATAGCTGTCAGTAGCCAGAAAGGCTACTTGAGTAATGCTCCTCTTCGTGACCTATCAATGTGAGTCAGGCTTTTTAGCTTATGCTTCTACGGAAAACAAATATAAGAGTAAATTTGAGGCTGACCTGGATTTGCATATTCAGGTGTCGAACGTAAGTCCCAATTTCAAAATTACCAAAATGAAATAATTTCGTCCATCACATTAGGTGTGAATCCAGTATTTTCTTATACCAAAATAAAGGTTTGTGCTTATGTTTATAATGTTTTCTTTTTATTTCCAAGCCTACTACATTATACAAAATTATTATTATTATTTACTTCATTTCTACCTTGCCTTTCTTGACCTCGGAGGGGATTCAAGGTGGCTTACAAATCCAGCAAAAATTTAATGCCGCACAGATAAACAATAAAACACATCTCATCAAAATATACAATAATCCAAACATATAAGCAATTAAAATACATATCAATCAATCAGATTAAAAAGCATCTAAAGTGCCAAGTCTTTATCTCATATCCATAATCATTTTCCAAAATACATAGTCCATTATTCAAGCTGTTAAAGTCTCAATCCGTAGTTTCCTATTCATCAAAAGCCTGCATAAAAAGCCAGGTCTTTTTTCTAAAAACCATGAGGGATGGCCTGCCTGATGCAACTGGGGAGGGAGTTCCACAGCCGAGCGGCCACCACTGAGAAGGCCCTGTCTCTTAGCCCAACCAATCGAGCTTGCGAAGAGGTTGGCATGGAGAGCAGGGCCTCCTCAGCCGATCTTAAAGATCTTGTAGGTTCATAGAGGGAGATGCGTTCGGACACACAGGCAAATGGTGTAGTTAAAAGAAGGAAGAACTTTGTGGTTCACAATGCTTAGGGGCAGAGTTAGAGTTCTGCAGGGAAATTAGGGACATAATTAGCGTTCCACAGGGAAAAAAAGTCTTCTGAAGGGTTCCATGACCAAAAACCTTTGGGAACTGAGATACAGGAATACGTCTCTCGCATATGCACAGGCAATGCTTAGTTTTAGATTAGAACTAGTTCTATTTTTGTTTCCACATTTTATATACCACATAAAGTTGCAGATCCTTAGAACCATTATTTTAAATTCATGATACTTTACCTTATGGCAAACATTGACTGCATCAATGTATCTCTTGGCTTTCAGGTAATTAAATGCCAGTTTGAAACCTGTAAAAACAACGGATCACACATTTTACAAAGGGGAAAGCTTTTGAGCCTTTTCAGTGTTGGAGATGCTTTCTCTTTTCAGAAATAGACAAGTTGGCTTGTGCAATCTTTGTATTTCCTTTTCTCTTAACAGTTTAAATGATGGTGAACAAAGGGGAAAAAGGATAAAATGAGAGGAGAAACAGATGGCTCATTGTTCATGTTTTCTGGGACATGCCTCTATCTCTCTTTCAAAAACAGCACTTTTTTGTCCCGATGTACAGACTTCTCTCCGCACATAAAGACAACAAAGAATTTGTTCTGGTTGTCCGTGTGTATCGGGGGGGGGGGGGGGGGGGGGTTGGGGGTGGTGGAAAATGCAGACATAATGTTTTGTATGTACAGATTTTTTTTTTTTTTACCAAGGTCTGTTTTCATAAAATGAGAAGGCTGGCCCTGGCAGATTTTTATAATTCAGAGAAAATAAACAGGAACTTTCCAAAATAGTGAGAAGGGCACAACAGGGTGGAGTTGAGATAAGGCATAATGAAAAGGATTTCCCTTCAACATTCATCCAGTCTAGTTATATATAGTGTTTTCAGTGGGCATCTGATGCCATTCTTTTGACCTGGACCAGTAAATACAACTTTAGAAAGCCTTCTAATCCCAGCTATGTTATGCTGGTATCAGGAAGCTACAAGGTTGAATATATGACTGGAATGTCTTCCCAAGTGAGCTTCATGAAAGTGGAGTGAGCTCAAGTTAGAAAGTGCCAGACTATTAATAGCTGGGAGGAGGTAGCAATGGCATCGGTCTCTGTCCAGAGACACTAAGGGTGCATCAAAAATATTGGAAAGATGTGGTATTCATCAATGTAATCTCCAAACAATGTCTCTAGCCCCATCTACACTGACCATTTAATGCTGCTAGCTTCAAACTGTGGCGGGTAGACAACAAACTCCCATGAAATAGTGAAAAAAAAAGCCCTTTAAAGTGTAATAGCTTCCAATGGGTTCTGGGTTTCTCTGCACAGTGAAACCACTTTCTTCAATGCCGGTTTGAAACTGATCTAAGTGGCCAGTGTGGATGTGCCTTCGGCTATCCCAGACTATTTCTGGCAATTCGCAGCATCAGCTGTAACATTTTATTCCTACCCTATGGTGTTTCCCCCCCAGTTCCAAGACATAGCAGAATATCTTACTCTCTTCTTCTCATCTTCTTATCATTGTTAAAATCCTTTAACATTTAATGCATTATTGAAATTGCACTTTTGCATTATAATTTAGAAATACAAACAATAAAAAAATGTCCTTCTGATTAAATGATCCCCTTAATAAATGACATTTCCCATTTAAACCTTAGAAAAAGCATAATAGAAATCCAAGAAATTGCTGAAAATAGCTCCCGCCTCCTCCCATAAAATGGACTAAGTGATTGCAGAGATGCAAATGGCAAAATCAAATGAAACCCAAAAAGCTATGTCATGAGGACTCATATTTCTTTAGATTAACCTGGAAAAGCCCTTGGTATGTTTTCTTTCTTTGGCCCACACATGTCAATTGGAGATAAGAGCGATTTGAGTTAAGATTTTAATTTTTTCCAGTCATGGAACAAATTAAAATCTTAACTCAAGGTATTACTGCATGACGGCTCCATATATATCATTGCTGTTCTGCAGGCCCGCTATTTGGTATCATTTTATTGTGCTGTTAGTCAATATACAGGCTGTCCCCAAGTTACGAACAAGATAGGTTCAGTAGGTTTGTATGCAAGTCGGAACAGGTATATTTTTAAAGTGTAAATATTGGATAGCATAGGAAAGAGTTAACACCCCTATGGTCTTTGTTTTGCTCTCTGTGCCCGTGTTCAGATGATTTCACATCACTTTCTGTCCCTGTGATAACTGGATTCTGAAAAATTTAGCTTGTTGTGGAAACAAGGATTACTGCAAAAGCTTCAGTGGAGACACCTTTTACCCATGATAACCATTCCAGGAGTAAATTTCCCTTCCAAGGGGTAGAAGTCTCCCTGTTGTCTCACCCCTGTTCTTAACTATGAGTCATTTGTAAGCTGGATGTTTGAAACCTGGGAACTGCCTGTATTGAACTTGATTTTAGATTCAAAATCAAGATCCAGGTCTAAAAAATTATTCTGAGACCACAACAGGAAAAAAGCTGGTGATGAACTTACCTATAGTTGGATTTGTTTGGTTTCCATACTTCCAGGCCATCTCATAATTTGCTGCTGCGTCCTTATATGCTTGTTCTTTTTCCATAATGTATCCCATATATTCATAAGCCTTACAACAGGACTAGAAAGGGAAAAAGGACTTCTGTATCAATTGAACTATGAACAAATCCTATTGGCTCACTAAAATAGCAAGCTAGAATTTGGTTGGCTGTTTTCTAAGTGAACCCAGAAAAGTCCGCACCTGATTGCCCCATTCAGCTTCACTAGTAAAGGCAGTGACAGAGACTATCATTACCTGAATAGCCCAAAACCCGCAAACTATGCAAACTGCGCAAACTATGACCCCCAGTTGATACCCTGTCTCTCTGAACCACTCCCATGTCTCCTGCTTTTTCATATGATTAATTGCATTATCTGTCCTGTTAACATGAACAGCACAGATAAGAACCCAAAACCTGTGACTTACCCTGTTATTACGAAGGCACCGTTTTAATAATTCACCAGCCATGTCGTATTTGGAAGACTGAATGTAAATGTCAGCAAGCAGGAGCCAGCTTTTCTCAAACTCTTCTGCATCAACGGGGTTCCAGTTCATTTTTGCAATGCGCTTCAATTGGTTCCTGGCCCGCGGAGTTTGCTTTAAGATCATGTACGCTATAGCCATACCCAAGAGGGCTGGGACATGGTCCTTCTGGAAGTAAAAACACAGGACGCATCTCAGATGCGAAACAAGAGAACCTGGCGTACATCTCAACAGGGCCTCTACAGGGTATTCTTGACACTGATAACACCAGGCACAGTCCCAAGCAAAAGACCTGCAAATGCAAATATATTCTTGAAGCCCACTGACTTCCTTTTGTAAATAGATGCAAGAAGAAGGGGATGCTTGTGACAAATTTTGCACTACCCTACCTTCGGTGTGGGGGAACAGAGCTCCTTTGAGTGGAAAAACAAACTTCTTAGTGGGAAACAGTACTTCTCCTTACCTTTGGCATGTGCATTAGCTCTTCCAGGGTGTGATCATTCAGCAGATGTATAATGTAAGCTTCTGTAGTTCAAGACGCTTGTTTCTTTAGCCTTACAATGGACACATTTATACGCTATATCACTAGAGGCCTAAATACCTTAAAAGGCACAAGATCCTATATGACCTTGGAAACTGGTCTGTATTTGAATGAGAGACCACCAACAAACACCAGGTGCTACCAGCTATATTTCACAAGCCAATAGAAAACCACTTCTGATAATTCCTGGCCTTTAAAACACTAGGATATTCATGGGGTTGCCATTAGTATACACATACTGAAGTCACATACTTGAAGGTACATACACATACTATGGGATCCCTCAGGGAGCAACCTTCTGGTTATTTCCCTATTTTAGCAACTGCAATTAAAGCTCCAATGCTACCTTTCTTGTGGAAGAACTCTGTAAATACAGTTGTTGCTTTTTACCTTGGCATATTTTGTATGGGAAGAGTGGCATATAGTAATTCAAACTTGAGGTCTAAAAAAGGCACTAATGCTTAATTCCCGACTTTTGAAACTCTAGAAATTCTGGATGATAACTCATATTATCTGATCATTGGCCACTGTGTTGGAAATGATGGGTGCTGCAGTCCAACATAGTTTGGAAACACCAGGTTAGAGAGACTGTATTATTTTATCACTAGCAAACTCAGAAAAATTACAGAAGCCAACAAGTATTTTTCATGAGATATAATTTCAAGTCATTCTTATCGGGATTTTTGTGCTGAATTCAGATCTGGATTTATTTTTTTCTCTGTCACGTGTAGTTTTTGCAATGAGGCTAATTGAATAATTAATGCATTTACGCACTGATATAATTAATATCAATGCGTAAATGCATTAATGATTTGATTAGCTACAATCAAATTTGAAAAAATCAACACAGATCTGAATTCAGGGCAAAAAACTCTTTAAGACTGATCTAAAATTATATCTGATGAAAATTACTTGTTGGCTTATGATTATTTAGATTATATTGATATCAGTGCATAAATGCATTAATTATTCGATTAGCTTTACTGCAAAAACTACATGTGATAGAAAAAATAAACATAGATCTGAATTCAGCCTAAAAAACATTATAAGAATGACCTACAATTATATCTGATCAAAAATACTTGTTGGTTTGTGCTACATCAATACGATGTGAAATGTGCAGACTTTGCAGTAGTCTGCTGTAATGTACCATTTGCCATATTTTAAAAAGTTGATGTGATGGAAAAAATAAAGGTATATTTAAAGTCAGCATAAAATTGATTTGAACTGTGCTACTCTCATTTCTGATGATTATAAAAAGTTTGATTTTGTTGGCTTGTGTTATCTTTTAAAGTGCAAAGCGGATATTTAATATGTTCTGCTATGAAAGCAATGAACAAAACATGGCATACATTTGTTAACAAGTATATTATATTTGTAATGCACTGAGCTGCAACAAAATGAACATTTTTAAAAATGTATGTTATTTTACACAAGCAGAAACCCAACTGAGATTCACATTCCAGCTTCATATTTGGGAAGATATTATATATCAAATTACTAAGGTTTGGAATATATTATAAGGTGTTACTTATTGTATTTCCCTATTAGAAAAAAAAAACCTTATCTATATGGAGTTACTTACATGTTAACTGATCTGATTTACACTTCAGTAAAATTATTCATCATCATCAACAACAACCCACCTCATTAACAACAACCTCTGTAAAGGCATTCAGGGCTCGTTCCACATTTGATTTTTGTTTTGTTGCCACAAGGCAGTAATTTTCCATGATGCGAAGCTGCACATGACCTTGAGCAGTCTGGGGCTTCAGTTCCTTTAAGAGCTTTTCTGCGGTTCTCACAGCCAGCTGCACAGATTCTTGCTTCTCACTGGAAGCACTGTGTATAAGAAAACAAAAAGCATCAAGGGTCTATAATCAAGAGCACAATTTCAATCTTAAACAAGACTGAGGAGGAAAGGAAGGTACCAGGTATGCTCTTGGATATATTCTAGATTTAAACTGAAGAAGAAGAACATGATCAAAATGTAAGAGTATGTCTTGTGGTTACTTTTGTAAACTACACAGTCAATAGTGTGCAGTACTCTCAGTGCATCCCTGAGATATTTGGCTCTCAAGACTCTCTGACTCTTCCAGGACCCTTCTACATAGCCATATAACCCAGAATATCAAGGCAGAAAATCCCACAATATCTGCTTTGAATGGGTTATCTGAGTCCACACTGCCATATATCCCAGTTCAAAGCAGATAATGTGGGATTTCCTGCCTTGATACTCTTGGATATAGGGCTGTGCGGAAGGACCCCCAAAAGACATGGCTACATTTTTATGACCTCAAGGATGTGACTTTTTGCAATTGTACTCCACTCAACTTGGGAAGGCATTTTTAGCAGCCCATGTGAACTTCACAGAGTTCCATGCACAGAAAAATGGTCCTGGACCCACTAAATTTGTCCACAGAAGTCATAGCTCCTGAGCCAACCTAATGTATAGGACAAATTCGTGCCTGTATGCCACACATCATATGCCACATAGACACTTGTATGACAAGATATTCAACAGCTCACTTGGCTTAGTCCTGTTTGGTTGGGAGAGGGAAACAAAAAAAGAAAAGGTACGATCAATAAATGTTTAATTACAGAATCTGCTAAACCACTGTCAAATCAAAAAAACTGCCTAAACTTTATTTTTATTTATGTTTTAATGTTACCTACTAGTCTGCCTCTAATAGAATTATAGAATGAAAATCTAGTCTTGTTGCTATACTCAACAAGTGTTAAAATAATAACATTTAAAAGATTTACACCATCACTTACTCTGTGTCGGTATCCAGGTGTTCAAAGACTTCACCTCCCACTGTTTCATTGTCTGGGTTCAAGCAGATTTCGATCATGTTGTAAACAGCATTCTGTCCCCAGTCATTGTCCTTCCTTGCTTTGTTAAAATGCCGAAGTGCATCATTTGGTTCTCCAGTGTACCTAGGCAGGCAGTCCAACTCACTTAACAGCATGTACGAATTGACTTTAAAACAAAAGTATAATCTCCAAACTTAGCAAAGTCTGTCTTAGTCATAACAGTGTTAAGACATGTGTTCTGTGAGTTGTCTCAGAATGTGATCAGAATTTACTCAGAATGTGGATCACTAGAAGGAGAGAGTACAAGAGAGAGGGGCAACTGAAATGAGGTGTGTAGATTGATATCTATATCTATATGGAAGGGCCCCCTTGTGATGCAGCAAGTTAAACCACTGAGCTGCTGAACTTGCTGACCGAAAGGTTGGCAGTTAGAATCCGGGGAGCAGGATGAGCTCCTGCTGTTATGCCCAGCTTCTGTTAACTTAGCAGTTTGAAAACATGCAAATATATGTAGATGAATAGGTACTGCTTCTGCGGGAAGGTAACGGTGCTCCATGCAGTCATGCTGGCCACGTGACCTTGAAGGTGTGTATGGACAATGCCGGCATTATTTCAGTAATGCATATTTTTCAGCCATACCTACCAAAGATATAGTCCTTTGCAATAGTGAAAACCTGGATCAAGCTTTGTCCTGGGAGAGTGTTTTTCAGCCATCGAAAGGAATCTTGGGATTTCTTCTAGCTTTCCGGCCCTTCTTAAAAGGTCAATCAAACGCGACAATGTTGCATAATTGTCTGTTAACGTAAGTATACAGGGCATTACAGAAAGCAACTGTTTTTATTTAATAGTTCTGTACAAGGATGCAAGGGTGTTAAGACAAAACCAACATTACAGTGTGATGTCTCTTGGGGCATAATTTCCCTTCTGCATTAAGGATGGAACCAAGTTCGCCTCTGGTGACTCTGCATGTTATGGGAAGGACATCTCAAGCGGAGAGCCTACTCTACACAACTGAATATTTGCTCACTGAAATATACAATGAAGCATATTTAATGTTGAGGATTAGATTACACTATGTAACATGATTTTTGTCCCTGAGTTATAAATGTCATTTCCTAATTTTTTTTCTATCATTAATAACATGGGAAAAGTTTGTTAAACTGCAGGAACTTTGTTTTGGTGGGACATCATGCTGCACATTTTGCTATCGTTTTTCAATGAATACCTCATGGAGTCTCAACCAATTCAACAGAGTTTGTGGCAGCCACAAAAAAACAAAGTTTCTGGAGTATAGCAACTTGTTTCAAAGTAAGCACCACACAATTAAACAGGAACAGATCCCCCCCCCCCAATTTTGTTACATAGTGTTATGCGTCTCACAATACTTGTAACTAAAAGCATTTTTCACTAGAAAAAATAACTTTAGAAAAATCTCTTATCTTCTCTCACCAAATTCTATCTAATTGTACCTATCAGCATGTAGCTTTAGTATAAACATTGTTTTTTTAAATAATAAAAAAAGAAACAACACAAGGACAGAATACTGACCTGGGTTGCGATCCAAGAGCTGTTGGAAATGAAATACTGCTTGTTCATAGTCCTGTTTCCTGAACATAAGGTCAGCCATCATCTACAAGCATAAAGCAGACATGATAATAAAACAGTACTGTAAAAGCTTCTGTAATGGAGCCCTCAAAAAGCAACATATGGAAGGGCTGTTCGGAAAATAGCATTTCAAAGGGTTTAACCCATTGTGCCACCACGGCTCCTAATTCACAGTTATTCACAGTTAAAATCCATTAAAACATATTCAAAGCTAAAAATAATAGCGTTCCCTGACTTGCTTTTAAAAACTCTTTAACATATGTATAGATAATCAAGAAACTATCATTTTGGACTTTTAATTCATTGAGATGGACTCTCAAGTCTTGGTTGTCTGGGAACTGCATGGATCAGAGACCTGGGATTGTTACCCCATTATAGGCTGCAACTAAATATCTGTATACCAGAGAAGGATCATGTAGCTCCATTAATATCCCAAGCATGCATTATTAAATAGCATTCTTTGATTCCTATCAGCTCTCCTTCTTTCTTATTCACTATCACTGAGAATGTCTAAATCAGTATTATTGCGGTCATATAAGGCAAGGAGTGTGAACTTGAGGAAGGTTCTGGTGGCATCATGATACCAAAGGGAAAAGTTATAAAGAGTAGTAAAAAGAACCCAGTATTCCACTAATGAGAGCCAATGTGGTTTCAGCATTGAACTAGGACATTAGAGACCACAGTTTGAATCTCCACTTGGCCATGGGAATCCATTAGGTAGCAAGTTACCCATTCTCAGAAGAAGGAAAGGGCAAACTGCTTCTGAGCAAAGAAAATCCTATTATAGGTTCTCCTAAGGGTTGCCATAGATCAGAAATAGCTAAAAGACACAGAATAACAATTTCCTTAGTACAGAAAATAAATATGGTATCAAAGAACGAACCAAAGGACCGTCAGAGTTACTATTTAATTTTCTTTTTTAAAAAAACCCAAAAATAATTTGATGAGACTGCACAACTTACCATAGCAGCAGCTGCATTATCTGGATCATTCTTCAGCAATAGCGCACATTGACGCTGGCAGGAATCCACATCGTCGTATGCAAGGTACAAGCGTGCAAGTTCCAGCATTACCTGAGGGTTAAGAGCAGGGATGGAATTCTTCATAATTCTGCTCTCAAAGAAAGCAACAAGGAATTTCAGCAATTCCCTTCCCCATAGGAGAAACTCTTTGAAAACTGTATACAGAACACCCTTGGTATCTACTGGGGTTTGCTTCCAGTCCTCTTCCCGCTAGATACCAAAATCCATGGATGTTCAAGTCCCATTATATATAACGTTATAGTAAAATGGCATCCCTTAGAAAAAATGATAAAATTAATGTTTGTTTGGGGGATTTTTTTTTAAAAAATGAGTATTTTCAAACTTTGTGCAGTTGAATCTATGGATGCACAATCCCAAAACTTGCTGACTGTAGCTCAACCAACAGATAGTATTTAAAAGCTACACAGTTTTCAGACACAGGCTGCAGCTTGGAACTTACTCTGCACAAAATTTGCATGTGGTATTTTATAATAATAATAATAATAATAATAATAATAATAATAATAATAATTTATTTCTAAACCACCCTATCTCCCCGAGGGAACTCAGAGAAGTTTACATACATATAAAAAGATGCCACAACTAACATCACACAACATCAAAACTGTAAAACAGACAATTAATAGACTTACTATTAAAAGAGAATTGGAATTAAGTAATAAGAATATAGATACTAAAATAGAACATAATTTCACAAATAAAACATTGCACAAAAAATATGCTAGCAATTAAACTACTAAAATGTAAACAGTGCCTATTTTTAGTAGAAAACAGCACTTTGTTTATTGTTTTCCTCTATAGAAAATTGATTCACCTGTTCAGAAAATGTTTTCTGTGGAGAAAAAAAAATCCCTAAGTGTAAGTTTTGTACAGGATATGTCCTGAATTGTGGAGAGCTTCCTTCATCCAAAACTCTTCCTGTCAAGACTTCAGTGATATGTAAGAAGCATGCTTTTCAAACATTTTTTTCAAATATTCAAAACATAAGATGCAAATTCTCTGCCATTCCTGCGGTAGAAGGTGATGACAAAAGTGTATATCTACAGCCAGGTTTTTTAGAGCAAGACTTAAAGGAAGACAAAGCCATAGCTGTATTAGCCTGGATTATCCTTTTCCAAAGGGATCTTGTAGCATCTCGGAGACTGAGATAATGAGGTTGGTTGCAAAAGTTTTCATACACCAAGTCCCTGCATCCGAGGAAGTAGTCTAAGCCTATGAAAACTTATACAACCAACTTTGTTCTCTCGGTTAATTTCTAAGATGCTATGAGATCCCTTCACTTAAAAGAAAAGTATCATCTTGGTGCTCAGCTGACCTTGTTGTCTGTCTCACAATAAACAAGAGCTTCTTTGTAAAATTTGATTGCTTTCTCATAGTTCCGTTGGGTAGCTGAATGCTTTGCTATCTCTGAGCAAATTTCAGCTGCCAGTTGCTTCTGCACGGGAACAGCGTCCAGCTGCTCTATCTGAATCCTTTTCAGTACTTTGGCCTGCGAATCCCGAGCCTGAAGGAAGAGCAAGAACAGTTTAGGGAAAGAAATAATGCACAGAGAAAGAATTTGAACACATTTCCAAAGGACCTATTTACTTCCACTGAAGTCAGGGTTGGATATGAGTTTTCCCTTCATGTATACAACATGAGAAGCTGCATTCACAGAGATTATTGGTCTTTCAAGCTCAGTATTTCTATAGCAGGGGAAACTAAGGCCCGCAGGTTAGATGCAGCCCTCCAAGGACATTTCCCTGCCTCCCACCCTAAACTTCAGGCAACCCTGAGTCTGAAACGACTTGAAGGCACACAACCACAATCCTAATTAACTTGATTCTCTCAGCAGTCAAAAGCAGGCCCTAGTGAAATACTAATGAGTTTATGTTGATTAAAATTGTTCTTCATTTCAAATACTGTATTGTTTTTTTCATTTTTTTGCACTACAAATAAGATACGTGCCATATGCATAGGAATTTGTTCATGTTTTTATAAAACTATAGTCCAGTCCCCCAACAGTCTGGGGAACCATGAAGCGGCCCTCAGCTTAAAACAACCAATAACCTGAACAGTAATAAATACTGAACTTGGAGGGTAGAAGCTTGTTCTGTATAGTGTCAACACAGGGGCTGGTGGAAAAGCGCAAGAGCCAATAATATATTAGGGCTAGAAGGCCAATGTCATTTAGAATGCCAGATCTATAGGGTAGGGGACAGTGAAAAAGTACAGGAGCTGATAGTAAATTATAGTTGGGGGAGGAGGGGCAATTATCTGGTGAACTGTTTAATCATAGGCACATTGGAACTAAACCTGGGACATTTTGCTTGCCAAGTGCTTAGTCTATCATGCTTTTGGCCTCTCAATTTGCAAGCGTGTAAGGAGGTGAGGTTAATGCTTATGTCTGACTAGCACACTGATTCTCAACCTGTGGATCCCCAAGTGTTTTGACCTACAATTCCCAGAAATCCCAGCCAGTTTACTAGCTGTTAGGATTTCTGGGAGTTGAAGGCCAAAACATCTGGGGACTCACAGGTTGGGAACCACTGAACTAGCAGAAGCAAAAGATATAATAATGACTCTGCTGATTTAACACACCTTGGCTACTTTTAATGTCAAAGCCTGTTGACTGAATAGGGATTCATATAGACTGTCATGAGTGAAGGATGGCATTGCTTACTGGAAGAAAAGAGGCCTAGCAAATATGGTGATGGAGGGAAATCATCAAATGTATTTATCTGTTAATTTTTTTAATCGTGTCAGAAGTGGTTTGAGAATATACTGCAAATTGCTTCTAGTGTGAGAGTATTGGCTGTCTGCAAAGACGTTGCCCAGGGGATGCCCAGATGTGTTACAATCCTGTGGGAGGCTTCTCTCATGTCTCCACATGGGAAGCTGGGGCTGACAGATGGGAGCTCACCCCATCTCGCAGATTCGAACCACCAACATTCAGGTCTTCTTGTGCAGTTTAGCCAGCACAAGGGTTTAACCCACTGTACCATTATGGCAACTATCTGCTAATAATAACAGCTTTGGATAATTTTTAATTTAATGCTATACATTAGTAGCACTTTGATTCCACTTTAACTATCATGTGATTTGTACTTTGGGCAGAGACATCAGAGGACCATTCTGGTCAAAGAAGTGAAGGTTTCTTTGCAACTGCAAATCCCAGGATTCTTTAAAATGTTGGCATGGCAGTTAAAGTGGAATCATGCTGCTATAATCATGCTATAAATCTGTATTGTGAAAGAGACCCGTGCATCTTACTTCTGTGGCAAGAATTCTGAAGTGCCCAGAGTCTATTCTTCCTTAGTTCATATAGCAATATGTCTGTACACACAGTGCTACAAAAAAAGAGGTATGACAGACCCCAATTCCAAGATACTAACACTCTAAAACAGACCCAGGGAAAGCAGATATATGGAGAAGCAGAAGAATATGCAGCTATTTCAATTGCACAGACTTTGTCTTACTCAGTACTGTACTCCTGTACCTGTTGTAAAGAAACAACAGCATCTTCTATCCTCTCCATTTTGCTATAGACTTTTGCAAGAAGAATCTGGTACCTGACATCATCCATCAGAGAGGACAAATCATTTGCTTTGAAAAGGAGAAAGAGATATAATTTGATACAAAACGTTGGAGCACAAAGTAAGCACAGTTGTGGATGAACTTCACATGAGAGTTATGAAAAAAATTCCCCAACGAAACAACTTTAATTCAGAGTGCAAACCAAGTGAGTGAAATGACACATTTTTTGTACTAGCAACTAGTATATACAATCATTTAGAGTGCAAACAACATCGAACCAAATAAGTCAAGAACTGAATGCTAAATTTAGTAAACTGCGTGGAGCAGTGAAGTCTGTGCAATTCAGACACTCAGCCAGAAAAAGTGATGAAATGTACTTATATTTATGGTGCTCAAAGAGATGCCACAGAAAAAGAATAAAAATTAAACTCAGCTCATTTCCCTCTTACACAATTCCTATTCTTTTTAGCAGTTTACTACAACTTGGACTGCATAGCTCCATCCTACAGACTCTTGCCACTTTTGGTTTGGTAAGGTACAAAGACTTCTCTGCTAGAAAACTCTAAAGTAGTACAAGTCAAACTATGTGGAGTGGAATGGCAATTTTATCCCTTATTTGGCAAGGACAGGTGCCATACTCATGCCACAACATTACCATAATTGCAGGCTTGAGTTTTATTTGAAAGTAAACTATTACATGAAATCATCAGTAAACAAACTTATCTTTAAAAGAAGCCTGCTTGCATCTTTGTCTACTGTGAACATCAAATAGAAACAAAATATCTACGTGCCTAGTGATCATCCATTACCAAATAAACTCTGCTACCCCGATGTGATCCTAACAGTCCATAATCTATACCCCAATGGGTGGTGATCCTAACAGATAATGATCCAATCCAATTCCCAATACATGAAAGGAACAAATACATACCAGACTCATGATCTAAAACTTGCCGAAGAACATTTTCTGCTTTCTCGTATTGGTTCAGCTTCAGCAACAGCTCAGCCAGGTCGTAAGAGAGGAAATTCTGCTGGCCAGTTTTCAGAGCGGCTTCATAATAGCTGATTGCCTAAACAAGACAACCAAGAAACATTGCATCAAAAATTCTATCTGACATTTGCAAACCATTTCAGGAAAATGTAAAAATAAATAAATAAATAAATAAATGATGGTGATGATGACGACGATGATGAAAATAAATAAATACTGTTGAGGGAGATGTAGCTTTAAAAAGGGATTTTCATGGATGCATCCAATGATTGAAAATTCTATGTGCCTGCTTTTGCAGAGGACCTTAGTTTGCAAAAATGCTGATGTGTAGCGAAAGAGCTGCCAAGGACCAGGGTTGGACAGAAAGTACTCCCTAATACTCCCTTAATTTCCCAACCGTCTGAAGTACCGACCTATAGATACTTTCCAACTGAGTGTTCATGGCCAGAGAACAACAGAGTATAATTGTGCCATTGTTAAGATCCCATGTTTGCCCTCCTGCCTGTCAAAGTCATAGAGAGCCAATGAAATGTGTATTAGCCAGCTTAGACCAATGAAATGATTGATCTTTGAACACCAATGAGAATGTGTTTCTAATTTTCTGTGAAAATGATAAAAAAAAGGCCTTGCAACCACATTTCAAGTTGTGCCAAAGCCTTTTCATGCACTTCTGTATGCATTTTGTTGTTTTTGCTAGGCCCACAATAAAAGCCTTTGTAGTAAGAATCCAACTTATGGCCTCCTCTTTGCACTGCTGCCTGGGCCTTTGAGGGATTCCTAAGCTTGTGCATTTGGAATGCTGCTGAGCCCGTCGCCCTACAGCGGTGCCCATTCAGTATGAATTGGAGAACAAGTAGTCCCATTACTTCTGTTACATCCATATTTGTTCAGGATAGGTGCTGGCAGATACGTCCTTGATCATGCCCTTCAGTCCATTATACTCCTCACAGATCACTTAAGCTGTTAAGCCATCTGCTCCCTTTATAGCTTGAAAAGTACTTGGTGATGGTTAAGTTTGGTCAAAGGAAGCATTGTTCTCTTTCATTACCTAACCACCCCCCAGAAAGGACTCTTCCAATAGAGGTTCCTCTCAACTATTTGTAGTAGTTGGTCCCTGGAACAAGTAGCATACATGGTAAATGATGAAAGTTTCCAGGAAATAAACTGTTGTAGTCAATGGGCACAAATTCATTGGGGAAAAGACCTACTGGTCTCAATTCATCTTAATAAGCACTGGTTTAGAGGACACTGGAGGAAGAGGAAACACATCAGGGGTGTACTGTTTTTCTAGATATCAACATTGCATACATCTATGCATCCCTTTCTATTCTCTGCACTAGATAACATGCTGCCACTGGGTTTACTTTAAGCAGAATTGATCTAAGTGTTAATAAACCTGTTATTTTTTGGTGTTTACACAAAAATATGTCTGTGTAATAATTAGCAGTTTTAAATCAGGATAATTAAAATTCTTCATATCACTTTAAATTGATCGTAAGCATAACAACGTTCATAACCTGTCCTCTACTGCAAGGCAAATTATTATTTTTTTCCCCTAGGACTGTCAAAATACTGGCAAATAGATTAGGAAGTTAAATGGTGATTAGGAAGTCAAATAGTGAAATGCAACCTATCCATTTCAATAATCCAGTCCTCTTCAACCTGGGCTTCTCTCGCTGTGTTGGCCTACATCTCTCAACATTTCTAGCCAGCACGTCCATGAGAAGATTCAAATGGTATGTCATGAAATGCAAAGGGGGATACGTTGACAAAGCTGGTATAAGCATTTCACATTTTACCTTTGCATAGTTGTGAGTCTTTATTAAAGCATTTCCAATTTTATGAGCCAGTGCGCCATCTTTGGGATTCTTCTTCAAAGCCTGTTCATAAACCTCTATAGCTTCTTCAGGCTAAAACACCAACAGATGAAATGAAGATTATGCCATCTGACTGCACTTAGAAGACACGAAATAGATCTCTAACAACTTATCAATGCTGAAAACATGTATATCAGTAGTGTGCTGACAGAACCGTGCCCCAAACAATACATTAATCACTTTCAAGCAAGGAATCAGAGCAAATCTGAATCAAAAACTACAATGAGCCATTATGTCTTTCTGGACCACAAACAGGCCTTCAGCTATTAACCATAAGTATCTATTGAACCTGAACCAGAGCAGAACTGGAAGAAATAAAGACTATTGGTTCAGAATGAGAGCTCAACCAAACAAAAGAACTTCTAGTGTGGATTGCTCTCTAGTTCCACCAAAACCATAATCAATACATGAAATTAAATGAATGTGTATTATATATTTTAGGTTTGTGGCAAAAGTTTTAACATTCAGCCCAGTTCCAGAGTTAGGACCAATAAGAAGAACTCAATCCTGCTCCCCTTTTCTAGGTTTGGTCAACATACAATTTACAAAATGTAAGGGATGAAGTCTGTCCTCTTATATATTGATGTAAAATGACAAAAATGTCCCCAACTTCTCCTAGAGGGTATTTAGGGTTGCACTTTCTCAGTTCCTGAATAAAGTGTAATTGAGAAAGTAAAAAACTGGACCAGAGAAACAGGAAACAACACACCATTAAAAACTTTTCCATTGACCTTTGTATATTTGGTTATTACGGGAGCAGGAAGCTGTATATACACTGTATGCTTACAAATCTATCTCATGATGTAGATAATGATCACCTAAAATATCATCCCACTGGGGATTGCGGAAGAACACAGATCTAAGCATCTGAGGGAGAGGAGAGGAAACAAAGCCCCGTGATCTTTTTCCAGAAGTTTGTGATGCTAAAGTATACTTTCCTCTTCTCTTCTGGAGGGAAACCTTTATATTTTTATTTTACACATTTTCCACTCTTAAACATTTTCCACTTGTGACCCCTTTCTGCCTGATAAATTTTTATATGACCCCAGGAATATAAAATAAATCAGCATTTGCAAGGCTGGCTGGACAGGCTAATTTTCCTTTTTGTGGAGTACAGCTGAAGCATCCTCTGCAGAGACAACTGTAAACAGTGAACTTTGTTGCTAACAGATTTGTGTAAATGGGTGGTGCTCAGAAGCCTTTTACTGTGGTCAATTTTTTCATGACCCCAACATTGAGATAAGGGGACTCCATTTGGTATTGGACCCCACAGTTTAAGAAGCGGTGGTTTCGGTCCTTTCTTTTCTAACAATACATTCGTTCTCTAGTCATAGCATTCCACTGTTATAGATGCTTACCTCCAGGATATTCATATATGCATCACCGAGGAGCAGAAAAGTGTGAGAGCTTGGCATTTTCTCCACTAAATCTCTACAAAGAAGAGGAAAAGTAATGATTTTTTTTTGCTGCTGGCGCAACAAGCTAGGTTTGTATAGCCACAATTGCTTCTTATTTAGTTTAGCAAGGATAGAGAAAAACATTATATGAGATCCTTGATATCTCAGTCTTCATCCAAATACAGCAACTTGCTTTTTTGTTGACAGCAGTGTTACAGCATCTTAGTGTCACCAAATAGGATGAGATGATCTAGATAAGTGGTTCTCAACCTGTGGCTCCCCAGGTGTTTTAGACTACAACTCCCAGAAATCACAGCCAGTTACCAGCTGTTCGGATTTATGGGAGTTGACAGCCAAAACATCTGAGGACCCACAGGTTTTGAACCACTGATCTAGACACAAGACTATATAAATCTCAGCTTTTAATGATGAGCGCCTTCACTGAGCTTTTATGGTGCTCATTCCTACTTCACTGAGGACTTCTGGAGGTTTTGCTTCAACTTTTGCTATGTTTGGTTGAAATAAATCAAATAAAAATGCAACGAATATAAAACTACAGTTAATACAAAATTGAAGTGGAAACGTCTGATGCCAGAGACATGCCAGAGAAAACTAATTCCTGAACCAGGTCAAAGGTTCAAATCCGGGGAGAGTGTGGATGAGCTCCCTCTGTCATCTCCAGCTCCCCATGCGGGGACATGAGAGAAGCCTCTCACAAGGATGGTAAAACATCAAAACATCCGTGCGTCCCCTGGGCAACGTCCTTGCAGACGGTCAATTTTCTCACAACAGAAGCGACTTGCAGTTTCTCAAGTCGCTCCTGACATGAAAAAAAAATATCAATACAGAGTGGCAACTCCAAAGGAAAGGCTGTCTATTGATTTCCAATGCCTTTCCATCACATAAAAAACAGAAAAGAAATAAGATTTGCTACTATTATTTTTAATAATATTATCAGTTCTTACCTGTAGCAGCTTGCATATAGCTTCTTGTCTTTCCTGTACTCCAGATAGACCTGGGCCATTTTTTCTTTGGCTTGAACATAATAAGTCTGCTCTGGGGTGATGTTCCTCAGCATAGTCAGTGCTGCCTCCACATCTCCTTGTGCAAGGGCTAGATCTGAATTGGCAATCACAACTCTGAGTTCTTCAGGAGTGCCAGAAAATTCATTGATAGCATCCTGGAGGACTTTAATGGCTTCGTGCTTGAAAAAAGAAGAGTGTTGTTTGGTCAAATGCACTGCTACATTCCCCAACACAGTTTCAGGCACCCCCTTTCTACTTTTATGTCCTCTCAAGTGACAATCAGTTCAAACAGAGCAGGAACCAAATCTACTGAACTGCATCACAGGTTTCATATTAGCCATCTTCAAACTATAGTTTGCCGGCTTGTTTAAAAACTAAATACAGCTAAAGGGAAACTACCATTTTATACACATACACACACATACCATGGGACCTTCAATTTTGTAAGGTTGGGGATACAGTACCCCCGCAAAAGTGAATGATCTGTGAATTTTTAAAAACAATTGTTTACCTGAGACAACATCTCAATTTCTAGGTCCTCCAGTGAATCTTTATGGCCATCTTCTGGCAGATATTAAATATAGGAGTGGCACTGGAGGACCTAGAAATTCCTAGAGAGAACATATTAATCAAACCCACAAAATTAAACCTGAAAATGAGAGGTGACTGTACAATACACCACCTTCCTTCCAAAATCGAATCCAATAAAGAACATAGTATTTATCTGAATGTCACAAGCTGCAGTGTGACCAATGCGTTTGGACTCTTCCTTCCAACCTTGTAAGAAAAGCAGGAGTGAGGAGGTGGCTCATTCACATATCATTAAGCCAAAGTTGAACCAAATAACAAAACATGGACAATCTGTCACTGTTGGTACAATGCTAGATCCTTTGGGGACTTAAAAAGTAAAGATGTTAACTAGTATCTAAGTTTGCATATTGGATTATGTACAACCCTTAAATACAGTCATGTCATACCTGTTCACCATTCAAACGATGAGCCTCCACAAGTTCGAGGTAAATAGATACACGGTTGCTTCCATCTATTTCAATTTTCTTTGATTTTGATTTTGAAGATGACGCAGTGTTTCTCATCCCAGGCAAATTCATTGCCATTTGCAAAGTTTTAATGGCTTCGGCTATTTCACCCATTTTTATTTGGGCTTGAGCTTTTATTAAGTGGTATACAGGATGTTCCCTAACCTAAAGAAGGATAAGAAAACACTTTTCATGTACTGTGTTATTTTCCAGAAACAATGAACAGGAAAGAACAGTGTAAGAATTATGTATTGTATCCAAATTACTGCTCAAATTGGCATTATCATGGCTATAATCATAAACACAAAATATTTTCATATTTATTCAATATTATGTTAAATTAAATATTATGTTAATGCCCACTGAGCTGCTGAACTTACTGACTGAAAGGTTGGTGGTTCGAATCTGGGGAGTGGGCTGAGCTCCCGCTGTTAGCCCCAGCTTCTGCCAACCTAGCAGTTCGAAACATGCAAATATGAATAGATCAATAGGTACTGCTCCGGCGGGAAGGTAACGGTATTACATGCAGTCATACTGGCCACATGACCTTGGAGGTGTCTACAGACAATGCCGGCTCTTCGGCTTTGAAATGGAAATGAGCACCAGAGTCAGACATGACTAGACTTAATTTTGAGGGAAACCTTTAACTTTACTTTATTAAACATACTACATAAAAAGTGATCAGAAGAAGGCTGGACATTTCAGTGCTCTCTGCCCTGTTTTCCAGTGCTTCAGAAAGAGGGAGGGCTGTTAGGATTCAAATATAGGATTTGGGAGTCACTGCTGATTACTATTATTATGGAATGACTGTAAACATGAATTGGAAAAATTCAACATAATTATTCAACATTATTCAACATAAAAATTCAACATAATTATTGAATAGAAGGTAAGACTTTATTGTTAAAACAGAATGAAATGATCCATTCATTTGGAGATTCATTCTAGAAGGCAGAAATGCTAGGTAAAGTCTATCTTACGTCTTCATAGACTTCAATGACAGTGGTGTCACAGTATGACACAGCAAATGAGATATATATGCTGGATTTCGTATCACAAAATCACAAGTCAAACACTTCCCAAGCGTTTAGGACTGTGTGATTATCATCATCATCATCATCATCATCATCATCATCATCATCATCATCTCTGGCAACAAGACAACTGTGAAGTGAAAATATAGCACTAGATTTTCTAACCACACTCACTTCAAAGTTGTAGCTAAGGCAGAGCTCCAGAGACTGAGAACAGAGTTTGAAGTTGTTTTGTGACAAATGAACTTGGGCCATAAGGAGGTGAGCATCTGCGTATGAAGGATCTTGTTCGATGCAGTGCTGCAGGATACTTTGGGATGCTTCAGAGTTACCTGATTAGGTTAAGTACACAAGATAAAAAAGAAAGAATAAACAGAATACATTTGAAGCATTTAGACCATGAAGGGTTGTAGCTGAAGGTCAGTGAGGGGAGCTCAAGTCCCAACTTTACAATGAATTCTGCTATTATGAAAGTAGATGTCCAGCCTTCTATATTCACTTTCATAATTAATTTTTTCTCTCTCTCATCAGAAGCAGCTCAGTATTTCGTGAGCTTCAGGAGTGTTGTTAAATGCCAATAGTTTTGGTAGTTCAAAATTTAAATGGAACGAATGGAACCATAACCTAGATGAAAGCGATCCAATGAAGGCACTGGCAGCATATCATGCCTTGATTTATATTAAGAATAGAAAAAGAATGCAGCTTTCCAAATATCTGGTGAACTGCAACTTCCACAATTCCTTGCTATTATCAATGATGGCTTGGGCTGATGGGGGTTGAAGTCTAAATACACCTGGAGGACTAATCTAGGCTTAAAGATGCATTGTGAATTGCAATTCACAGAGCCAAACATGTTTTCTAAGCAAGCATTATGTTCAAAATTAGACATTACCTGCCAAATATTTCACCTTTGCTATGAAATAGGTAGCTTGCTGGAGACCCGGAACTGTTTTTACCAGAGTTTCAAGGACGGATGCACATGGTTTGAGAAGTGGTGAAGGTGGCTGTCCTGGACCTGCAGGCTACAAAGAAACATGTTTATTGATAAAATTATTTAAAAGACAATCTCTGAGCCCTTCCACACTGTCTTATAACCCAGAATATCAAGGCAGATAATCCACAATATCTACTTTGAACTGGGTTATCTGAGTCTACACTGCTATATATCTCAGCTCAAAGCAGAAAATGTGGGATTTTATTCAGCTGTGTGGAAGAGGCCTGATATTTGCTACGTATGTTTGAATCGCTTTGATAATGTTGCCTGACCCTTTTCTTTGGATGCTTAAACTGTATTTCTAAACACTCAAAGGAAGTTTTAAGTTATTATGGGCCCTTCCACACAGTCATCTAACCCAAAATATCAAGGCAGAAAAATCCCACAATATATGCTTTGAACAGGGTTATCTGAGTCCTCACTGCCATATATCCCAATTCAAAGCAGATAATGTGGGGTTTTATTCAGTTGTGTGGAAAGAGCTTCTCTCTCTCTTTCTAAAATACAGTTAAGACAGAATTTCTGCATGATAATTCATATAAAGGTCTATCTGATGTGAAATCTGGTGTGCTTTCATACCAATCTGAGTACTCTCAATATGCACCAGTGGTATTTTTGTAGAGGAAGTACTGAAAAGCATACGCATAAGCAGGAAACAAAAATGACACAAGCTTCACATGCTATTTGATAGTCAACAAATCATTTTAAATGCCCTCTGCATTTCATCCTATAAGAATGAAGGCTTTCTTCAGGAGTTGCAGGCAATAACTGCTATTCCATCACACATTCTTTCCATTTCCATCCTATTTTATACACACACACACATTCTGAATGTAGTTCTTTGGGACAACAGCTGTATTCCATAAACTAAACAGCAAACAGTCTGAAGGACAACTGTGCTGAGCAGTGATCCAAGAAAATCAAATCAAGTCTCCTGCATTCCTAGACTGATAAAGAAAGAGACTTTTGATAATTGAGCAAATAGAGCAACATTTTTAAGTAACTGAACAAGATCAGCCTGAATCCTTCACAAGGAATCCTGTTCATTATCAAGTCATTTTCACACTCATCATTTCAATAAATGATAGACTGTATAGGAGTCTTCCTTTGATTTGAAACCTTTTTGATTGTGCACAGCTGAAATCATAATCAATGTTATTTTAGAAGCAAGGAATTGTAGTGCCTTACCTGTGCAGGGCAAAAATTAAGATATTCTTTTATAATTTCTATCAAAAAATCTGGATTTAATTTTTCAAAATACTCTACACCAAGGGGCAAGCCACGCAAGGAAGAAAAATGAGCATCAAGTACATCATTCAATAAAGTAATAACTTCCTCCTGTCTCTTGTGTCTCTTCATGGCCAAGACTGCACGCAAATAAGACAGCTCCTACGATAAAAATAAAGTAAAATTATACAGAACAGCTGCAGTTCTGCCCAGTTACAATTAATTGTTTGCTTGATTATCATTGGTAATTGAAAATAACATCCAGGAGAACAAGTGTTAACTTAGAGGCCCTGATTTGCAGGATTTTTCCTGGTAATGTAATTTATAAATTATAATCTCTAAACCATTTTGATGATAAAAAAATAAACTGCTGAAATTCTTCTTAATTTGGGATAATGTCACAATATGAAATTCTACGAGGGTGGGTCAAAAAAATTTGCTTCCTATGTCATAAAAATGTTATGAATGAACATATAACAGCAGAAGCTGCAACAGATCATAGCCTGAACTATCCTCTAGTCACCATCAATTTGTACACAGATGTGCCATCGTTTAACCCAGGCAACAAAACCATTTTAGAAAAATTCAGGCTTTTGCTTTGTGACCCATGATTTTAAAGATGTTTTAATGTCATTCCAGTCATTGAATCTGAAACCACATAGGTTGTCTTTTCGGACCTCTGAAAGACAAGCTGCGTGATTTCAGATTCAGTGACTTGAATAAGGTTAAAATAGCTTTAAAATAATGGGTCACAAAGCAAAACATCTGGGGACCCACAGGTTGAGAACCACTGGTGTAGAGGATAGTTCAGGCTATGATCTGTAGCAACTTCTGCTATTATATGTTCATTCATAATGCTTTTATGACAGGAGGCAAAACGTTTTGACCCACCCTCGTATGTCTGATAACCAAGAGGGTTTAGTGGTTTGAGCATAGAACTACAATGTTGAAGACTTGAGTTCAGTTCCCCATTCGGTTACGAAAACCTACAGGGTGACCTTAGGTAAATCACACCCTTTCAGCACCCAAAAAACCCCCATGGCAAAACTCAGAAATGACCTGAAGATAATAACAGCTTTTGAAAAAAAAATAGTTTTACTAATCTTGGTAGATACAACTTTACTTCCTGAAGCAAACAAAATGCTACCACTTTCCCATTCCAGTCTCAACAATCAGATCAGTAGCAGAATTGTACTTCAGTGCAAGAAACGGAAACACCATCCTCTACTGCAAGTGAAAATAGTAGGTAAACTGTTCCGCACAAATCTCTCCTTTAGCACATACTGCAATCTAAAGCATTTGTTTCCTGAAGAAACAAGCTCACTTGATTTTACAATTTAATTGCCCCTACTTAGGTCTGAACTAAAAAAAAAAAAACCAACCAATTATTTTTCTTGAAACCAAAGAGCTGAATTCTGCTCTTACTAATTGAAATCTACAAGGAGAAAAGAAACAAAAGTAGCTAAAGAACATTGAATTGCAAGGGCAGTCTGATCAGAATCAAAGGATTTCTGGAAAGATTGTTCTCTTACTGCTGATTTCCCAATAGACTGCTGGATTTCATTCAGGAACTCCAACTGCTGCTCTACTTCATCTAGCTTCCCTTCCATTAGCTGGCTTCGGATAATACCTGTAAAGCAAGTCATTTCATTTTAGTTTCATTTTTCAAAGAACATTTCTGGTTTCCTTTTTCTCATGGTGGTGTTGGGAGTGTTAAATAATCTTGTGCCATGGGCCCTTATCCACTCAGATGGAGTTTGGTTCCATGACTCCTATGGATACCAAATCTCGCAAGGTCAGGTCCTACGGTATATAATGACATAGTAAAATGATACTCCTTTTCCAAAACACTTGAGATTTTAGTTTGAAGTTTTGTATTCCTGCATATTTAGATTACATGTATTGTTAATTTTCTCTGTGGTATATTGTGCTTTATGGAGCTGTGGTGGTGCAGCTGAGCTACTGAACTTGCTGACTGAAAGGTTGGCAGTTTGAATCTGCAGAGCAGAGTGAGCTACCATTGTTAGCCCCAGCTTCTGCCAACCTGGCAGTTTGAAAACATGCAAATGTGAAATAAATAACTACCGCTCTGTCAGGAAGGTAATGGCACTCCATGCAATCATGCTGGCCACATGATCTTGGAGGTGCCTGCAGACAACACAGCTCTTTAGCTTAGAAATGTAGAAAAGCACCAACCCCCCAGTCAAACATGACTGGATTTACTATCAAGGGGAAATCTTACCTTTTATACTTTTTGTTTGCATTATATCTATATGTTTATTTACAATTGCATTGCACAGTTTTGCAATTTGTGATTTCTCCCTCCTACTGTGTGTATGTGCACATATTGATGCTTCTGATGTAAAACATTGTTTTTGCTCATTTTATTGTAAAATTCCATGCACACATGATGGCACTATATAAATAAATGAATAAATAATTGGTGATGATAACAATAAGATGAAGAAACTGTTGAAGGAAGGTCAGAAAACCCTTGTCAAAAGTTAGAGATTATCATTTGCAGAAAGCTCTTGAAATTAAGAGAAGGGATACACAACATTTTAAAGAGAAAAAGTCAATTAAGGTTGATATACTTCGTGAAAGCACAATTCAATTTCAAGCCATACCGGTTAGTGCAGGAACGCTTGTCTCGTCGAGTGCCATAGCAGTCCCATACCATTTGGAAGCTTCCTTTACTTTCCCTTGCAAAATCATCTGATAGCCCAGTTCTGTGGCTATATCTGCGTTGTGCGAAGCTAAACTAAAAGCTCTTTCCACCAGAGTCTGAGTTTGCTGAAGGATGAGTGGATTGCGGCCACACTAGGGTTAAAAATAGTTTTCAAAATAATTTAAAATCTAGCAATTTCACTTTTAAAAATTAAAATTAAAAAATAAAAATAAATCTGAAATGGTCAACAATCTTGAATTAAAAAGTACAATTAAACATGTGAAATGTTGAGTTTGAATTGCAATATGCTTACAACTTTATATAATCAAGTGAAGCACAGTCTTTGCTTTGCTAAATACAACTAAATACGCAGAATGAAAATGTGATCTTCTAGGTTTTCTGGCAAAGCTGTATTCAGAACAAAGGCCAGTATATGAGACCAACCAGTTACCAGTTTTCCCTTTTTTTTAGCCCCGACAGCTCCATGACAAATATGTAATCTCACTGAAATGCCCAGAGCATAGTCTTCATATGTATGCCACTAGTTTGTCTCTATTTTCTCTCTTTTCTTTTCTCTTTAAAAGTAGAATGATTCAGGCAATCAACTTGTTATCACAAGCACACAGCCATCACCACCAACACAAAGGGGTCATTAAAAAGGGAAAATGAATACTAACAAATATAATAATAATAATAATAATAATAATAATAATAATAATAATAATTTTATTTATATCCCATTACCTCTCTCCGCAGGGACACGGAGTGACTCACAACAGTATAAAATCACAAAATACATAAAAAATGAACATTCAAAATTAAATACAATATGTTTCCCCCTCACAATTAAAATGCAGAAGATCTGTAGAAAGTTTCAAAACTACTAGCTAATTTTTCTTCAGAAACCAATCAAAGACAAAAAGCCATCTAAACTAGGCTACCTTCGACACCACACAAAAATAACATGATGATTCCTCTTTAATGGCCGTGATTTTATCCTATGGAATCCTTGGACATGTAGTTTAGGAAAGGGCATTTAAAATCCTTAGCCATACAACTCTCCTGATGCCTATAGCCTAACAAAAATGTCAGGATTCCACAGGAGGCGTCTGCCCTATATCCCAGGATCTGATCCCAGATTTTTCTGCTTTAAACTAGAATATATGAGTGTCCACTGCCAGATAATCTGGGATAAGAAAATAATCTGGGATCATATCCTGGGATACAGGAGCAGCATGGAAGAGGCCAAAGTGGAACCAATATTGTGTAAAAGTGTGGACACCAAGAAAGGGTGAGAGTTCCTGTGAAACCTAGGAGAAACCTTTCCCTTTGCCAGAGTTTAAAAAAAACCCATACATTTATTGGAGCAATTTGGAACATGGTTAAGTAGGACTAAATCACAGTTAAAAGATTCATGAACATCTGCCTGCCAACAAAACAGACAGGCATGCCAAAAGGGCATAATCCAAAATGGAAGACATGCAGCAATCTCCTATTCCAAAAAGTGATTATAATCTAGGCATATGGAATTCTTACCAGATTTTAGGGACAGGGCATGAGAACCAATAGCCTACACTGTGCAATTTTTATTTTTTTAAAGGAAAAAAATCATAGAATCATAGAGTTAGAAGAGACCTCATAGGCCACCCAGTCCAACTCCCTACAAAGAAGCAGGCAAATCACATTCAAAGCACCCCCGACAAATGGCCATCCAGCTTTTGCTTAAAAGCCTTCAAAGAAGGAGCCTCCACTTACTGTTCTGCTAAAAACCAATGCTGTTTTACAGAAGAGCTGAGGATTATGTGGTTCCAGTTTATCCAGCGCACTAATCACATCCGACAACTTTGAGGAAGCCTAAAATATAAACAGTACTGAACTTATTATGGGTAGAGGGGATGCACAATTTGTGGACTTTGAAGTCCAATTCCATAACATGTTTTCTGAATGTACATCAAACAACAGTAACACATCATTTTTTAACACATGAGCTAAAGTGAGCTGACAGAATGAACTAGACTCAAATAATCACTCTTCTCTTCTTCACAAGGAATTGGGAGGAAAAGTAAACCAGGAATTTTATCTCATCAAATGATATATATAAATGCGGCTGGCGGGGACGAGAGACAGGGCCTTCTCAGTCATGGCCCCTCGGTTATGGAACTCCCTCCCTAGCAACATCAGAGCAGCTCACTCCCTATTAGCCTTTATGAAAAGAGTCAAAACCTGGCTCTGTGAGCAGGCCTTTGGAAATTAAGACAATGCAGTATTTTTTAATCGAAACTTTGTGCAATTGACCTTGGAATGGACTCAGACTGTGAACTTGGATGGCATGTTTTCTAAGTTTTTATCTTTTTAAAATCTGTTTTAACTCTGTTTAATATGTTGCTATTTTTGAAATGTTTAGGTGATTGTGTTGAGGCACAACGCTGTGCCATTGTAAGCCGCCTTGACTCCCCCTGTCAGGGTAGAGAAGGGCAGGGTACAATAATAAATAAATAAATCTTAAAAGAAATATCTAGTTGTAAATGTGCATATTTCCCCAAGCCCACCTCTGCTGTCATCTCATTCACCTGATTCAGTTTCCTCCTCCTCCTCTTCCCCTTCCTTCCTTCTTTTGCCTGGCCCCTTCCTCTGACCTGGAAGCACATAATACTCCTTTCTCCTGCTTCTCATTCCACACCTCACCCCACAACTAAGCAAGTGAGTGAGTTGTTGCATGAGGGAATGCATGCACCCTATCCCTTTTGCTCTCCATCCCACCCCCTTCCTGCCCACCTGAGTGATTGTGCAAAGGAACATGCCTTCTGTGAGTATGTGAATACAATTTGGGTGGCCTGGAGACATCTGTGGTTTTGTAGGGGTCCTGCGCCTGTGACCTCCATGAAAGTTGAGGGCAGACTGTAGGGCCATAATTTGGAGCATTGCTGACTATGGAGCAATTATGAGTTTGGAACTCTAGGTTATGAATCCATAGCCGTAATGTAGAATGTTGGCCAATATTTTTTTACAGGGAAGCAATGCTTTAAATAATTTACGTATTTACTAATAAATATGTATCACTCAACACAGAGTAAATTAAAGCGGCAACAATTCAAAGAAATCTCAGTGTATAATTATATACAGAAAACTCACCTCAGGTATATTTCCTTCTCTACATAAATGGTGAATAGCCTCCATTTTTATAGCTTCCAAGTTAAGAGCATCCTTTTGCAGTAATCTGATGCAAAATAAGACAATATTAAAACTTTGACAGCTTCCAGAACAAAGGGCTGTTGGTCTTAAGAGGGACTGTATCTTCACAGTGCTTCTGAGGATCAAACATTTCAATGTAACAGAGGACTAAGGTTCAAATAATAGTTTTAAAAAGTTACTTTTTTGGAAGACAACTCCCTGAATTATAGCTAAACAGGAATAACTAAACAGCATCTCTTCACCTGAAAAGTGAAATGTTTTCAAGAGCTTTTGAAGGACACATACTGTAATTTGATAATTATGAAGCACCAATCCTAACTGATCTAAAATAATACATGTTATGTTCTGCTTTTCCTCTGAAAGCATTATACTCTAAAATGGCTTTAAAACTTTTCCCTCTTACATTCAAGAGTTTGAAGATTGGTATGAAGGGCAACTGGGCATCACTCACCTTACTCTAATGGAGTAATTTCATGTCCATGCCTTACTGGTAGAAGTTAGCAGTCTCCCTTTGAAAATCTTAACTTGCCTGTCTTGCAATTCCCATTTCCTATTTCTCAACCTGGGGGTCAGGACCCCGTGGGGGGGGGGGTGTCACAAGGGGATTTAAGAGCCGTCACCGAAGACCATCAGAGAACACATAATTCTGATGGTCTTAGGAACCCCTTTGGCAGAGAAGGCTGAAGATTTCTCCACCTATCCTTCTCTTCCTTTTTGGAAACAGATGGTGAATCCTCCCACCAAAAGTCCTCCTCCTGTTGTAATTGTCCGGCCTTTCTGCCAAGGGGAGGGCTGTTCCTGAGACTCCAAGCGGGGAGGGGAGAGCAGGTGTGCATGCCAGTGTGGTGTGCATGTGTGGGTGAGGGAGAGTGTATGAGGCTGGAGAAAGACTTGCATCCCTTCAAGGCAGGGGGAAAAGTGCCCTTTGAGTGTAGGTGAACTATGAATCCCAGCAACTACAATGCCTGAATGACAAAATCAATCCCCCCCACTCCCACCAGTATTCAAATTTGGGTGTATCAGGTATTTGTGCCAAATTTGATCCAGTGAATGAAAATACATCCTTCATATCAGATATTTACATTACAATTCATAACAGTAGCAAAATTACATTTATTTATTTATTTATTGTTTACTGTATTTCTATACCGCCATTCTCAGCCCGAGGGTGACTCATGGAAGTTTACAGAATGGCACAATTCGATGGCCATAACAATATGGGCATCGAATTATGAAGTAGTAACAAAAATAATTTTATAGTTGGGGGTCCCCACAACATGAGGATCTGTATTAAGGGGTGTTGGCATTAGGAAGGTTGAGAAGTGCGGTGTTAAGATTTCAGAATAAATATTGACAGCAGTATAAATGAAAATGAGCTTTAAACAAATGTTGTATATGAGCTATCCCATTTTATCTTGTTCAGGTTAAAAAAATACATAAACATCAGCTTGTAAAATGAATATTTTTATTTAGGACAGAAACAACTGTTTCCTTGCTTTAAAAGCTCTAGGATATGAGAAAACATGATTATTTGTAAACAACCAGAGGGAGCTGACATGAAATCATATTAAAAACTGTTCAGGCTTCATCTCCTATGCACATGATCTGAATAAGTAGATATTACGAAGTTTATTTCATCGCAGCAGCTAAACCATAAAGCATCACCAACCTGGGAATAAATCTCACTGAATCAAGTAAGGGTTATGTCCAAGTTAAAATGGATTGTGCTGTATGGCTATTTTCAGCTAGGATGGATATATGTTTATATTCACAGAAAGGTTCTAGGCAAGTCTACAGTTCAGTAATTTGTTCTACTGTTTGTTGAACAGAAGAAAAACACAAATTACAATTATGGGATCTCTGCTAATCACAAAATGGTATTTTGGAAATGTGAAGAGTGGTGGGGTATATGCAACATACAAAGCAGCAAAAGTGCTATATATTTTGCAGATGCTTTTGTATGCATCCATATATAATGGTTGCAATAAAGTAAGAACCCTATATTTGCAGTGGATATGATGTATGTGATGTAATTTTATGTTTTATGGCACTTATATGTGCTTCTGTAAGCCACCCCAAGTCTTTCTGGGAGACGGTGGTGGGATATAAAGTATTTATTTATTATTTATTTATTTACGACATTTATATGCCACGCTTCTCACCGCGAAGGGGACTCAGAGCGGCTTATATATACATACAATATATATACACATACAATATTATATAACATCTAGAAAAAGTCAAAATCTTTGTATAGGATTCAATTATTATTACATTATTATTATTATTATTATTATTATTATTATTATTATTATTAGAAACACAACAAGATGAGTCCACAACAGACAACATCACTTTGCTCACTGTTGTATTGGATCACACGTTGGACACTTTCCAAGTCTCTAGGACTGTGTGATGTATCGGCGAATAATGCGTGCAGATCCCAGTAGGATGGCCTTTTGCAGCGGACAGATGGTAATTTTGTCAGTGCCGATTGTGTTCAAGTGCAGGCTAAGCTCTTTAGGCACTGCACCCAGCGTGACAATCACCACAGGGACCACCTTGACTGGTTTGTGCCAGTCTTTGCAGTTCGATCTTTAAATCTTCGTATTGTGTCAGCTTTTCCAGTTGTTTCTCTTCAATCCTGCTGTCGCCTGGGATTGCAGCATCAACAATCCTTACTTGGTTTTTTAATGCTCTTAGCCAGATACTATTATTATTATTATTTATTATTATTATTATTATTATTATTATTATTATTATTATTATTATTATTATTATGTGTTCCTAATCAGACAACCTGAAACCACAGATATGACACACCATTAAATTACTTGACTCCCAGTGCTAGCAAACCATAGAGTTCAGCTGAAGATCCCAGAGGTTCCTAGAGAGGTGTCCTCTCTTAGAATTTCCTAGTGCCTCCAGTGGGAAGGATACCGTAAAAGCACCTGGTGCACCTAGCAAAGTCCTAGAGACCATTTTCCCCCTAAGTGCAAGTAAATGAAACTGTGGATATGGGTTCTGGGGTTACAGGGAAATTACTATAACTAGTGAGCCACCCTGAGTCCCATTACTGGGATAAGAGTGAGATCTACAAGAGTATCATCGTCATCATCACCATCATCCTGAGATAATACTTGTAAAAAAGGGAGGACATGAGCATCGTATCTGCTGACTACCAGAATCGAGACTAGGACAAAAATGACTGCCAAATAGCTTTTATAAACATGACTACTCTCAAAGTCTTTCAACTCAGATGCTACGGTATTTAATTAATTGATTGAGCAAAAGCAATAAAGTATATATTTACCGGTGTGCAGTCTCAGTTGCTTGTTCCCAGTCTTGCAAAGCCAGCTGTAGCTTCATTTTCTTCACAAAAGCAGGTAGGAAGTGTGGGAAATTGGCTATTATTTGATTCACATTCTCCAAGGCTCCTGAATAATTCTGTCTCGCTTCAAAATACTGTGCCTGATGAAAGATGGAAACACCAACTTAATTATCTTCTTTGCGAGGGGAGCAGCCACACTTTCAAGCTGAACACAAAGATACTCAAGAAAACACTGATCTTTATCTCAACGAACAGCTTCAATCCAGGCTCACAAATATCAAAGTATACTGTAGAGTCTTGCTTATCCAACCTTTGCTCATTCAGCGTTCTGTATTATCCAAAGCAGTCTGTCTCCTGCCTGGATCCACAGCTGTTTCAATACATTGCGATATTTTGGTACTAAATTCATAAATACTGTAATTACTACATAATGTTAGCACGCATTGGACTGCTTTATCTGTCAATTTGTTGTAAAACAGGATGTTTTGGTGCTTAATTTGTAAAATCATAATGTAATTTGACATTTAATAGTGTTTTCTTTAATCCCTCCTTGTTATCCAACATTTTCACTTATCCAACGTTCTGCCGGCCCGTTTATGTTGGATAACCGAGACTCTCCTGTACTTCAGAATTGGAAGATATTGATTAAATACAAACTTTTAGACGTTTGGAAATACTGGCAAAATTTCAATTGAAGAATTACTTAAAATTACTTATACAGAAGGTGGAGCAAAGAGATGGTCTGGTGAATTTCCCCGAAAGAAGGACGGCTAGGTACTTACTAAATCTAAGAATTTGTACTGTCAGATGCGAGGGTTAAATCCAACTCCCAGAAGGAGAGGATGTTGGAAACATGTTTGCAATCTGCACCTGGAGTGTGAGTAAACAGCACTGATACATTCATGTCAGTCCTGAAGATTTTTTATTGAATCCCATGCTTCATACGAACATGATCCAAACCCACACCAAGCAAAGTAGGTGCTATGTATAGGCACTTGTGTTGAATCAGTCCACATCACCAACAACATTTGTGTAATGGATGGGATTAAGAGTTTTGTTTTAAATGTATATTGATATTTATTGATATTTATTTTTTAGGTATTTGATTGTATTTTATGATGTGTTTTGTTGTTTCAGCATCAAATTGTTGCCTGCTGATAGCTGTGCTGAGTCCCTCCTTGGAGGTCGAGAAAGGACAGGGTATAAATAAATAAATAAATAAATAAATAAATAAATAAAATAAAAGAGACCTACCTTGCCCATCAAGCCAAAAACATCATTCCCATTTTGTAGCCCTTCGTCAAAATATTTCACAGCTTTCTTAATGTTTGCTTCTTTCCCACTGGTGACATCAATCCATCCTTTCAAAATCAATCCCTATAAAAAATAAAGTTTTTTTTACAATTACCATCAGCTTCTAATTCAGTGGTTCTCAATATCTGTGGGTCCCCAGGTGTTTTGGCCTGCAACTCCAGGACATCCCAGTCAGTTTACCAGCGATTAGGATTTCTGGGAGTTGAAGGTCAAAACATCTGGGGACCCACAAATGTTGAGAAACACTGATCTAATTCATACACACTCATATAGGAATAACTGGCCTATTTAAGAATAGACACAATTATAACAACTAGGATTCCTAGGGTAAATATTCACAAGTTTTTGGGGCTGTTGCTGTAGCTAGATGCACAGCAATAACATTGTGCATCCAGGTACAGGTATAGAATGGGAAACTTCTCTGTGATCATCCAATCTCTGCCAGTTGTAGACTGCCATGTTTGGGAGAGGATAAACAGCCAAAAAGGTGGGTAAAGGGAACTGAGGGAGGAAAAGTTGTGTAGTTCCACCTGACAAGAGCTTTACAATACCTCTCCCTGTTCCAGGATCTGTTTGAAAAGTTTCAAGACCCCCATTCCATATGAAACCTAACAACTTGAACAATGATACAATTGTTCTTGTTTTAAAACTACCTTCAGCCTTATACAACCAATACAAAATATAGATTGCTTCCTCAAATTAGAAATTTTAGCAGAGGACAATTATGACCAAAGCCACCAGCGGCTCAACTGGAGCATTGCAGATCTATGTTTAACAATGGCCCATGTTGGGAGAAGTATCATTTGTATTGCTCAAAATAAAAAACCTTTCTGTGTGTTGTTGGAGGCTTTCATGGCTGGAATCAGTGGATTGCTGTGAGATTTCAGGGCGGACATAGGGATGTTAGAAATGCTGGACCACTCTAACAACCCCCATTAAATCCACAAGTATGTGGACAATTTCAACAGAAAAGAAAAAACCATGAAAATGAACACAATCTGGCTACCAGTATTAAACAACTCTAAAATTAGGCCAGTAAATAAAGAGCAACACTCAGAAAACAGGGGAATTCCTGACAGGAAACAATCTGGGCCATCTAACACCTCCCAACAAATGATTCCCCTAGACAAGAAGCAGACAGGCTCTGGAGCTGCATGGCCATTTAATGCTAATCAAGCTGGCCAATTGCAACATTCACTCCTGTCTCCTGAGGGAGCACACAACTCCTCTGTTGCACCAACTCCATTGGCTGCCAGTTTGCTACCGGGCACAATTCAAAGTGCTGGCTTTAGCCTATAAAGCCCTAAATGGTTCTGGCCCAGCTTACCTGTCCGAACATATCTTTCCTTATGAACCATTTAGGAACTTAAGATCATCTGGGAAGGCCCCACTCTCGAATCCGCCTTCTTCGCAGGTGCATCTGGCGGGGACAAGACAGGGCCTTCTCGCCGGTGGCCCCTCAGCTGTGGAACACCCTCCCTAAGGTTATTAGATTGGTCCCCTCCCTCCTGACTTTCAAAAAAAAAAGTAAAAACTTGGCTCTTCAAACAAGCTTTTGGAAATGCAGCATAATGGATAAACATGAAACTATGAAAAATTAACATGGAATGGCTAGATCAGGGGTCCTCAAACTTTTTAAACAGAGGGCCAGGTCACAGTCACTCAAACAGTTGGAGGGCCRGATTATAATTTGGGAAAAAAATGAATGAATCCCTATGCACACTGCACATATCTTATTTGTAGTGCAAAAACACTTAAAAACAATAYAATAATTAAAATGAAGAACGATTTAACAAATATAAATTTATTAGTATTTCAATGGGAAGTGTGGGCCTGCTTTTGGTTGATAAGATAGGATTGTTGTTGTTGTGTGCTTTCAAGTCGTTTTAGACTTAGGTTGACCCTGAGCAAGGGCCGGGTGGATTACCTTAGAGGGCCATATCTGGCCCTTGGACCTTAGTTTGAGGATCCCTGGGCTAGACGATTCTACTGGAAAATGAGTTTAACAGGACGACATTGGCGATTATATGTTTTTAATGGTTTTTTTAGATGGTTTTTATATTGTTATGCTGAATGTTTTTAATTGTATTTTTTATGAATGTGGCATCAAATTGTTGCCAATCTGTAACTTGTCTTGAGTTGCCCTCGGGCTGAGAAAGGCGGGCTAGAAATACCGTAAATAAATAAATATTATAGCTACCACACATGGAATGGAATCAGTTGAAGAGGGCTGCTGTCGGCCAGAAAGTCATGGTGTAGAGTCAGATAGGGGACAGTGAAAAGCCCTTTCCGCTTTGATACAAGTCATGGGATGTATCAGAGCAGCATTTCTATGTCAGCACTGGGAGCATCTGTGATACAGAGCCATTAGTTTGCTGAGCTGCCTCAAAGGATGCTACTGGCCAGTGACTCACTTCACTTAATGAACCAGACATGTTTAACAGCTAACTAAACAGAAACCATCAGGCTAGTTTTCAAACAGTCCTGACTCCGCCAAAAGACTTCTTGAGTGTTAAATGAAGCAGTCATAATCGGCTATGATCTGCAGGATGACTCATCATAGCTAAGGGCTAACCAGCCTCCTTTTTCAGCATGCCGGCTTACAAATATGAAGCATGACTATAGGAAAGGGGTTACCTCTTTGCTGCCGTTGGAGATCTTGATCATTCTGTCAATGTACTCACGGGCTTTCTCATGGCGGCCAATGTGCCATAAGAACAAGCCAGCAAAATACAGAGCTTCCTGTCCTGCTGCCTTACGTTGCTCTTTCAGTTTGGCATCTAATTCCAAGATAACGTCTTGATCTGAAACAAACCAGTTAAATGATTTAAACTGTGTATGTCCTGATCTGAAACAAACCAGTTAAATGATTTAAACTGTGTATGTCCTGGAATGACCCATCAACCTTTTGCACATTATGAAATGTTGTGAAATGAAAACAGAATGCTTCTATGTCACAAGTGTATGTTGTTAAGACATGAGATCATAAAGTCGATTGGGACTCTAAGTCCATCTAGCTTCTATCTAGCCCACTGCTTCTTAATGCGGGGGTTCAATGGGGTCCCCGGAGCTCAATGTTGGGGTCAATAAAAGGTGTCAGAGTGCCACTCAATTACACAAATCTGTTCACAACAACATCCAGTGTTTACAGTGGACTCTCCAGAAAATACTTCAGCTAAACTCTACAACAACCACAACAGCATAATAATAATAATAATAATAATAATAATAATAATAATAATAATGGGTTGTTGTAGGTTTTCCGGGCTATATGGCCATGTTCTAGAGGCATTTTCTCCTGACGTTTCGCCTGCATCTATGGCAAGCATCCTCAGATGCAGGCGAAACGTCTGGAGAAAATGCCTCTAGAACATGGCCATATAGCCCGGAAAACCTACAACAACCCAGTGATTCCGGCCATGAAAGCCTTCGACAATACAATAATAATAATAATTGGAACTTGTGCCACAAATATCTGTGACAAAGAACTGGTGGGATCACAAGCCTGAAATGAACATGTCAAACTACTCTGGGACTTCCGAATTCAGGCTGACAGAGTTTTGAAGAACAATACTCCTGACTTCACAATTGTGGGGAAAAAACAAGTATGGATTGTCGATGTTGCAATCCCAGATGACAGCAGGATTGACAAGAAACAACTGGAAAAGCTTACATGATATGAGGATTTAAAGATCGAACTGCAAAGACTTTGGCACAAGTCAGTAAAGGTGGTCCCAGTGGTGATCGGCACACTGAGCACAATGCCTAAAGACCTTGGCCTGCACTTAAAAACAATCAATACCGATAAAATTACTATCTGCCAGCTGCAAAAGGCCACCCTGATCGGATCTGCACACATTATTTGCCGATACATCACACAGTCCTAGACACTTGGGAAGTGTTCGACATGTGATCAAATACAAAAGCCAGCATAGTTATCTTGTTTGCGGTGTTGTTGTATCTAACAACAACAACAACAACAACTTTATTTATAACTTGGCCTATCTCCCCGAGAGGGCTCTGAACAGTTACCAAAGTGGCACAATACATTAAATACCGTAATAAAAACAAAACAAGAAACAAGCCAAATGAACAATAAGTAAAACAACATCAATAACTTAAAACTAACCCAAAAATAGTACTTAGATAAACAGAATATAGCAACAGACACATTTACAACATATTGAAGATATTTACAACAGAAAGAAAAACCAGCCTGTCTCATGAGCCTTGCAAATGTTGATTTATTTTCAGTAAATGTTTGATTTTTATACTTATTTTATATACCTGTATTCCCAGGGTCACATAAAAATTTATTGGGAGGAAAGGGGTCACGAGTGGAAAAAGTATAAGAAGCCCTAACCAAGCCAAACCCCTTGTTAGTTCTGGAAATCCAGTGCTATGTATCACACAGGTGGCTATCCAGATGCTGCTTAAAAATGCCTCATAATGAAGAATACAGTATTATTTATTTATTTATTTATTTTATTTGCTATACTTGTATACCGCCGTTTCTCAGCCTAGCCGGCGACTCAACGCGGTTTACAACAACTTATAACAAACAACAGTATACAGTTTAAAAACATAAAAACACAATCCACAATACATATATCAATAAACAATCCAATTCATCTCTTGACTAAAATCGCGATCCAGTATAGGACTTCTGGGGAAGAAAATGGAGCTGCGAACAGTGTTTCAGCAAGCTGGCTGAACACTGGCGCATCCTTGGGGGTTTATTAACAGTATAGAGTTGGCGCAGCTAGTTAGTAGCATTAAATCACTGAGTCATGAGTTCGAAACCAGCCTGGGTCACAGTGAGCTCCTGAATATTAATAGTCCAGCTTGCTGTCGACCTATGCAGCCTGAGAGACAGGTGCATCTGTCAAGTATGAAATTTAAGTACTGCTTTATGTGTGGAGGCTAATTTAACTACTTTACGACACCATAAAAAAAAAACCTTCCAGCAGCGTGCATAAGAAGAGGAAGTGTTCCATCAAGGACTCGGTGTCACAAGTAGATAGTGAAGCAGTGGTGGAATCAAGCCAGAAAAGGTGGAATGTTAAATTGCCTCTGTGCCAGTCTATATATGTTGTATGTCTAATGGCATTGAATGTTTGCCATGTATATGTGCATTGCAATCCGCCCTGTAAATAAAGAAAGAAAAAGGGCAGGGGCAAATCCCTCAAGACTCAAAGGATCTCATTTTCCCCACTGAAACAGAAGAAGGGGAGAAAGGAGGGGGAGACATCGCGCACCCCAGCGACATTGTCATGTAAGCAGACGCAGACAGAAGCAGCTCCTGTTCGGAAGCCAAACAGCTCTGTGAATGATAAAGAAGAACTAGAAGATACCTGGATTTGGGCTTTTTTTATGAGCATAGATCAATGCCATCAATGTGCAGAGGGAGACTTCCGGCTTGTTTTTAAGAGATTCAAGGTCAAAAAGAGCTTCTTGAATGTGTCCTAAGGAAACAAATATCAAGAGGCCATATTGGATTTTCATGTATAACAGAATCTCTGCCTCAATCGTTTACACGTCACATTTTAATACTGAGCTAATGAAAATCTCTTACTCCTTATATTTATATTATACATATGAATAAAATATGACTGTCACCTTTTGAAATAGTTGCAATAAAACTCTTCTGAGCCTTAGAGCCAGGATTACAGTGATTATTTTAACACTGGAAGCATAAGTTTTTCCTCCACATAACCTGCTTGGATTTCAAGACAAAGCAGCTTAAGAAAATTGATAGAAATCCAGATTACTGTTCCCCGCACTCAATTATAGCCATTAAAAATCCTCTTCAGAGCCCTTCTAAACAATATGCAGTGTGGAGAGGAAGGGACTACAGTTCTCTTTTGGGAATATCTCTTAGAATCCAAGACAGAACTCCCTCTTTTCCGCAAAAACCACCTGCATCCTATCCATTATTATTAAGCAATGCCTGCTGATATTCCAGGAAGACTTGGCTGGGTACCATATATAGAGGCAGGACAAAAGAGGCGTATTTCCAAAAAGCATAAATATTGAGACATAAAGCATAAAATTATTAAAGGTTGAGCATCCCCCAGCGGCGCAGTGGGTTAAACCGCTGAGCTGCTGAGCTTGTTGACTGAAAAGTCGCATGTTTGAATCCGAGAAGAGGCATGAACTTCCGTTGTCAACCCCAGCTTCTGCCAATCTCAAAGTTCAAAAACATGCAAATGTGAGTAGATCAATAGGTACCACTCTGGTGGGAAGGTAACGGCGTTCCATGCAGTTGCGCTGGCCACATGACCTTGGAGGTGTATACGCAAAACGCCAGCTCTTCAGCTTAGAAATGGAGATGAGCACCAACCCCCAGAGTCGGAGACGACTGGACTTCATGTCAGGGGAAAACCTTTACCTTTTATCTCTTATCTGAAATATTTAAGGGCAGAATTGTTTTACATTTTGGACTTTTGAATCCCTGCATGACACATCTTGGAGATGAGAGCTACAAGAATCTGGGTTGCTGTGAGTTTTTCGGGATGTATGGCCATGTTCCAGAAGCATTCTCTCTTGACGTTTCACCCACTGCAGACTAATTCAACCAGAGAAGTCAGCCATAGCAGAGCACCTGATGAACCAACCTGGACACAGCATATTATCTGGGAAGACAGAAATGCTGGACCACTCTAACAACCACCATGTCAGACTACACAAAGAAGCCATTGAAATCCACAAGCATGTGGACAACTTCAACAGAAAGGAAGAAACCATGAAAATGAACAAAATCTGTCTACCATTATTAAAAAACTCTAAAATCATAACAGTAAATAAATAGCAACACTTTAAAAAAAAACCTCGGGAATTCCGGACAGGAAACAATCAGGGACAGCTAACACCTCCCTACAAGGATTCCCTCAGTCAGGAATCAGTCAGGCTTTGAGGCTGCAAGGCCATTCAATGATAATCAAGGTGTACAATTGCAACACTCACACTTGCCTCAACCAGACAAGAGTTCTTTCTCCCACCCTGGACATTCCACAGATATATAAATGTCACTTGCCTAGTTTCCAACAAGCCTCACAACCTCTGAGGATGCCTGCCATTGATGTGGGCGAAACGTCAGGAGAGAATGCTTCTGGAACACAGTTATTCAGCCCAGAAAACTCATGGCAACACAGTGATTCCAGCCATGAAAGCCTTTGACAACAGATTGCTACAAGAATAGTTTCTGATTCATATATACACCTTATGCACATAGCCTGAAGGGAATTTTATATACAGTATTCTTGTTCATGAAATAAAGTTTGTCCACTGAACCATCAGATCATTGAACCATCATCATCTATATCTCCCATATGGACAATTTTGAAATATTTTGGATTTCAGAATTCTAAATAAGGAGGTTTGAGCTTTAAAATAATTTCCAATTTTGTGAAAACAATTTGACAAACATTATGTTTTGGATTTAAACAAAAATCCTCAAAAGTATAACTTTCAACAGACATTTCATAAATTAATACCTTCCATCAGGGCCCCGTAAATACGGTAGAAAACAAAGATGGGGTCGTTCCCAAATTTCTTAACACCTTCACTGGCAATTGTCTGAACATGATGAAAATATCCTTCCTGGCAGTAGTAATTAATCAAAGCCTGAAAATGAAAAGGTTTCCCAGGGTTAATGCAAATAAAGACAATGAACACGTTAGTATGATGTAAATAAATAAATAAATAGTAAAGAACAAGGAAAGTTCACCTGAATCCCTATTAGGCAGAGCTTTTGGATTAGGCCGTAAAGATACCAGAACCTTTCTGATCCTGGAAGTCAAGCATGGCCAGCCCTGGTTAGTAATTGGATGAGAGACCACCAACGAAATGTAAATGCTACAGGATGTGTTGCAGAGGAAAAAACAGACAAAACTGTCTCAGAATATTCCTTGCCGAAAACTCTTGAAAATTCATAGGATCGCCGTATGTCAACAGGTGACTTGAAGGCATACTTAACACTATAGATTGGTGGTTTCCAGGTAAACAATTGATTGCATTTCTCCATGACAGAGCAGGTGAATAGCATGGGAATACTCTGGGACTCACCATATAACACTCCATGAGTCAAGGTGTCTGGCACAACTTGGTTTAGCCTGCCAGCCTTTAATACTTAACAAGAGGCGGCACTGCATACGAATATACCTCCCTGAGTTATGATATCTGCATGGTAGGTCCCCAGGGGATGCCGGATGTTTTGATCTTTTACCATCTTTGTGGGAGGCTTCTCTCATGTCCCAGCATGGGGAGCTGGAGCTGACAGAGGGAGCTCATCTGCACTCTCTCCAGATTCAAACCTCTGACCTATTGGTCTAACCCATTGCGCCACGGGGGGCTCCTCTCTGGTGCCTGATTGCTGGCCATTAATGGACATTTCCATTAATATTTTTTTCTGTGCCTTGGGTTTGCAATTACAACTACGCTGCTGTTTTGTACAAATCGAATACACAGCCCTCCCATCCCCAATATTTTTCTATAAATTCAACTTAAGGACAAATCTACAGAACTTATCTTGTTTGTAACTTGGGGGACTGCCTGTATGTATATCGTCAATGCAGACTCATATAGGTAAACTCATATGTATTAATTATGTTAAACCACCTTGTCCTGTGAATGAAATTTCATGTGTATATGAGTGCTGGTGTATCAATGAATACGTGTGCACATATATATGAAGTCCGGATTGTTACTACATTCAACTCAACCATCTTCTTGTCCGCTTTAACAGTACTGGCCTGGATCCATCAATTGAAACACACTAATCCAGTATTTTCCAAATTCTGATCCTCCATTATAATTTTTTTTGACTGGAAGCCCCAGCCAGCCTATACCAACGGTCAGGAATTCTGGGAGCTGAAGTCCAAAACACCTGGAGGGCCACAGGACGGGAACCACTGGAACGTGTCCTGGAGTTTGAAGGAGAGATGCTTTCAGAAGCATCTGGTTGTGCTCCTTGTTGCAGCTTCAGTGATCCCTGGAGTCTGCTAGGGCTTGGTTCCAAAATCTGTGGATGCCTAAGCTCCATTGTATGCATAAGGCCATTGCAAAATGTCTCTGATGCTGTGATGACAAAAAAAATCAAAACACCAATTCCGCTTAGTAACAAAGATGCTGGTGAGAAAAGGCGATGGTGCAGCGTGAAAGGTGGCGGCACAGTGTGTGGTTGTGCTGGGGACCCTTTCCCACTCCATAATGGTAGTCCTATGATTGAAAGGTGTTTCATTGCCCTGTCCTGGGGAAATCCTGGGACATGTAGTTTTTGGAGAGCCCTGTAACCTTCCCTGGCCAGAGAGCTCTAGGGCCTCAACAAATGACAAATCCCAGGATTTCCTTGGACAGTAAAAGCAGAATCAAAGGGCAGTTCAAAAACATGCAAACGTGAGTAGATAAATAGGTACAGCTTTGGTGGGAAAGGCATAAGGGGCTCCAAACATTCATGCCAGTCACACAGCCAGGAGGTGACAATGCAGGCTCCCGGCTTGGAAATTGAGAACACCACCTCCCCCATAGCCAAATATGAGCACCCCTTCCAAAATCAGAAATGAAAGGAGAAGCCTTTGCCTTGTTTGTGTTTGCGTGTCATAATGTAACAAGATATTGAATGTTTGCCAGTATCTATTTACACTGCAATCTGCCCTGAGTCCCCACGGGGAAGAAGGGTGGAATATAAATAAAGTATTATTATTACTATTGGGTACATCCAATTGGGTACATCCAATTGTAGAACGAATGCCAATTGACACCACTCTCACTGTCAGGGCTCAATGCTATGGATTGTGGAAATCATAGTTTTACAAGATTACATTGGCATCTTTGGCCTTCTCTGCTAGCATGATCCAGGGCAATTAAAAGATGCTGTTTGACACCACTCGAATTGCCATGGCTCAATGTTATGGCCTGATCAGAGTTATAGTTTTACAAAGCCCTTAGCCTTCTCTGCCAAAGATGCTGATGCCTCACCAAACTACAACTCCCAGGGGCAAAAGTATGATAGCTGGGACCCAATGTTGGTTGCACAACATGGGTCAGAATTAGAGAAGCGAAGGTGTTACCTATCTGAACGTGTTTGCATACGATATCTGGATAGCCTTAAGTACTATGCTTAGTTGTTTGTTGTGTTGTCATCCCCGTCTTTCTGTGTCCCTCCCTTTCTGGCGAACTAACTGTCTCACCCTCATCTCTCTCTCGCTGTGCTGTCAGCATTGGGTCCCAGCTATCATACTTTTGCCCTCCCAGGTCCCATAGCATTGAGCCAGAGGCAGTTCAAGTGGGCATCTACACTGTGTAATGAATGCAATCTTGACACCACTTCACTTGCCATGACTCAATGCTATAGGCTGATGGGAATTATAGTTTTACAAGATCCCACCGGCATCTTTGGCCTTCTTTCTGCAAAAGGGTGCTGGTACCTCACCAAACTACAATTTGCATGATCCAGGGCAGTTCAAGGGTGCATGCAATTTTGACACCACTCTCAGTGCCTTGGTTCAATGCTACATGATCATCGGAGCTGTAGTTTCACAAGGTCCTTAGCCTTCTCTGCCAAAGGGTGCTGGTGCCTCACCAAACTACAGAGGAACCCCCAGTGGAACAATGGGTTAAACCCTTGTGCCGGGAGGACTGAAGACTGATAGATTGCAGGTTCAAATCCAGGGAGAGTGTTGCAGGTTCAAATCCGGGAAGAGTGTGGATGAGCTCCCTCTATCAGCTCCATCTCTTTATGCGGGGACATGAGAGAAGCCTCCCTTAAAGGATGGCAAAACATCAAAACATCTGGGCGTCCCCTGGGCAACATACTTGCAGACGGCCAATTCTCTCACACCCGAAGCGATTTGCAGTTTCTCAAGTCGCTCTTGACACACACACACACAAACAAACTACAGCTAGCATGACCCAGGGCAGTTCAAAGGTGCACCTACACTGCAGAATGAATGCAATTTTGATACCACTCTCAATGCTATGGGATCCTGGGAGCTGTAGTTTCACAAGGTCTTTAGCCTTTTATGCTAAAGGGTGCTGGTGCCTCACCAAACTGCAGCTAGCATTGACTCAGGGCTGTTCAAGGATGCATCTACACTGCAAAATGAATGCAATTTTGATACCACTCTTAATGCTATGGGTCCTGGGAGATGTAGTTTCACAAGGTCCTTGGCCTTCTCTGCCAAAGGGTGCTGGTGCCCCACCAAACTACAGCTAGTATTGACCCAGGGCTGTTCAAGGATGCATCTACACTGCAAAATGAATGCAATTTTGATACCATTCTCAATGCTATGGGATCCTGGGAGCTGTAGTTTCACAAGGTCCTTGGCCTTCTCTACGAAAGGGTGCTGGCGCCTCACCAAACTACAAATCCCAGGATCCTATAGCATTGATCTAGGCAGTGAGAGTGGCGTCACACTGCAATCACACTACAATGTAGCTGCAGCCAGAGAAGCAAAATAATATCCCAAAAGCAAAAGCCTTCTTGCCTCCAAAGGGCGAGGAGTGGGCGATGCTTCACTCACCTGCAAGAGGGGCGGCTCCATGGCCTCTTTCCTTTCTCCCTTTCTCCCCCTTCCTTCCTCCTGGGCGTCCACAGCAACCGCCTCGTCTCCCAAGCGCCCAAGGAAGGAAGGAAGGAAGGAAGGAAGGAAGGAAGGAAGGGGAGGCGCCTAAGGAAGGACAGGAGGCTGGTTTTGGTGCCTCTTCTTGATCACTGAGCCACACGCGAGGCCATCCACGGTGCAGTATTAACGCAGTTTGATTCCACTCCCACTGCCCTGGCTCAATGCGAGGGGATCCTGGGAGCTGGAGCTGTGCAGAGTCTTTATTTAGCCTCCTCTTCCAAAGTGGACCGGGGCATCACACAACTATCCATCCCATCACAGTTAAAGTGGTGTCGAACTGCATTAATTCTACAGTGTGGGTGCACCCTCCGATGTTTGCAGGAAATTGGAAAGATGGGATAAAATGTACTAGTTTATTTGTATAGAGAAATCTCCATAACAGATTGCTTTGCGTATTTAATTCAAATTGCTAGGAAATAGCACTCCAGTTCAGATAGAAAGTGCTGCCTCTTGTTCGTTCGCTCGGGAGCCCGAAGTGTTGGATAATACTTCCCTCTCTGTTTCCCTTTCCCTCTTGACTCAAACAAAAGGAAAACGTCGCTCGGAGGCGAGCAATTCATCTCCTCCTCCCCCGCCTCCCCGGGCTTTCCATTGGTCAATCATGAACGAGAATACGAGAGGCTTCGTCTTGTCAACCGCATATCAGGTACGCCATCTTGTAGCGATGCCTCATTGGTTGAAGCTTGGCTTTTATGCTAATGAGAGACTGGCGGCGTAAGCTTATTGCCTGGCGCGTAGTCGCCTGTCTCTGCTACAGCGGTCCTTAGAAGTCAATATGATTTTGGCTGTAGAGCGTTTCCATAGCGACAAGTAGAAATCCGCAGCTTTGGCAACCATAACTACGCCAAGCACTTATAGCTCTCACCAGACTGCCAGGAAAGAAGTGTTGAAAACATGAACCTCACATCTCTGTGAATCAAAATGCCACATGTTTTGCATTGACCATATATTGCAGTATCAAACTGCATTATATGGCAGTGTAGATCCCTCTCCTTGTAGGTGAGCAGTTTACTGTCAAGAGTGCTGAATGGGAGCTGAAAAGGGACATTCTCACCTATGCAAATGGGAGCCCCTGGTGGCGCAGTGGGTTAAACCCCTGTGCAGGCATGACTGAAGACTGACAGGTCGCAGGTTCGAATCCGGGGAGACCGCGGATGAGCTCCCTCTGTTAGCTCCAGCTCCTCATGCGGGGACATGAGAGAAGCCTCCCACAAGGATGATAAAACATCAAGTCATCTGGGCATCCCCTGGACAACGTCCTTGCAGACGGCCAATTCTCTCATACCAGAAGCGACTTGCAGTTTCTCAAGTTGCTCCTGACATGACAAAATAAATCTATGAAAATATGACATTAATATCAATATGACAGTTGGCCATCCGTATTTACTGGTTTGGCTTTTGTTAATTTCTTATCCATGGATCTGATTGAAATATTATCTGTAGGAATCACTAGGTCCTTCTGCTGAATGTATTTTTGAATCAATGGGATTACAGCTCACTGGAGGGAAGGATATTAGAGGCAAAGATTAAGTACTTCGGCCACACATGAGAAGACAGGAAAGCTTGGAGAAGACAATGATGCTGGGGAAAATGGAAGGAAAAAGGAAGAGGGGCCGACCAAGGGCAAGATGGATGGATGGTATCCTTGAAGTGACTGGCTTGACTTGAAGGAGCTGGGGGTGGTGACGGTCAACAGGGAAGTCTTGTGTGGGCTGGTCTATGAGATCACGAAGAGTTGGAAGCGACTGAACGAATGAACAACAACAATATATGCCAACCATAAACTGTAAACCAATGGAATTGTGAACTAATGTGTACCAATCACAGCACATGTCCACTCTGTAAATGTCTATAAAATATCCAGGCTTGTACCTGGGAGGCATGCCGGATTTGGGATTTTGCTGTCCTTTGGCATCCACCTTGGCACACAAATGACCAGCCACTGCCAGAAGGGGCAGAGTTCCATCTATGCTGACAATCACCACCCAAGCTGGGAACTTTGAAATGGTTGAACAGACGCCCTCAAAGCTTTAGGTGGTCTTACTGCCTGCTACAGGGAAAACCAGCTGATTCCTAATCCATCTAAAACACAGATGTGTGCTTTTCATCTTAAGAACAGACAAGCATCTCAAGCTCTCAGGATTACCTGGGAAAGAATCCCAATGAAACATAGCAACACACCCAAATACCTGGGAGTTACTCTGGACCGTGCTCTGACCTACAAGAAGCACTGCTTAGACCAGGGGTCCTCAAACTAAGGCCCGAGGGCCAAATACGGCCCTCCAAGGTCATTTACCCAGCCCTCGCTCAGGGTCAACCTAAGTCTGAAACTACTTGAAAGGACACAACAACAACAATTCTATCTCATCAGCCAAAAGCAGGCCCAAACTTTCCATTGAAATGCTAATAATACTAATTTGTTAAAATTGTTTTTCATTTTAATTATTGTATTGTTTTAAAGTGTTTTTTGCACTACAAATAAGATATGTGCAGTGTCCAAAGAAATTCATTCATGTTTTTTTAAATTATAATCCGGCCCTCCAACAGTTTGAGGGACTGTGACCTGGCCCTCTGTTTAAAAGGTTTGAGGACCCTTGGCTTAGACTATCAAACAAAAAGTAGGTGCTAGAAATAATATCATACGAAAGCTAACTGGCACAACCTGGAGATCACAACTAGAAACACTGAAGACATCTGCCCTTGCATTTTGCTACTCTGCTGCTGAATACACATGCCCAATATCAGGCATGTAGCCGGGGGGGGGCTTGGGGGGCTTCAGCCCCCCCCCCAAAATTCTCATGGTGGTCTTCGAGAAGGCCTTACTGGTACATTATTTAAACTGTTATGTTTATTCATATCATGATCTGATCACCATGCTCAATATATCCATATGCATGGGGGTATTGGGGTAACAATACAAAAGGTTTGCTAGGGTAGACCCTCTTTCACTCAGACTCAGCCCCCCCCCAAAAAAACCAACAAAATCCTGGCTACGGGCCTGCCCAGTATAGAATACATCTTATCACATTAAAATGGTGGATGTGGCTCTGAATGAGACATGCCGCATTATCACAGGATGTCTACGCCCAACACCTCTGGAGAAATTACACTTAGCTGGTATTGCACCACCTGACATCCATTGGGAAGCAGCAGCTAATAATGAAAGGACCAAGGCAGTGACATCTCTGGTCAAACTTGCTGTCATCCAAAGCAGGGGTCCTCAAACGTTTTAAACAGAGGGCCAGGTCACAGTCCCTCAAACTGTTGGAGGGCCAATTATAATTTGAGAAAAACATGAATGAATTCCTATGGACACTGCACATCTCTTATTTGTAGTGCAAAAAACTTAAAAACAATACAATAATTAAAATGCAGAACAATTTTAACAAATATAAACTTATTAGTATTTCAATGGGAAGTGTGGGCCTGCTTTTGGCTGATGAAATAGGATTCATGTTGTTATTGTTGTGCACTTTCAAGTGTTTCAGATTTAGGTTGACCCTGAGCAAGGGCCGGGTAAATGACCTTGGAGGGCCGTATCTGGCCCTCGGGCCTTAGCTTGAGGAAGCCTGCCTTAGATCAAGAAATGGTTTTCTAAGATCTATAGAGATATTTGCAGGAATACCTCAGCAAGCGCGAGCCCAAAAGTGGCAGGCTAAAACCCAGAACCTCAATCAGTGGCTGATACCAGGTGAGAGACTCCCGACTGGGCGAATTGGAAGGCACTGAACAGGCTGCGCTCTGGCACTATGAGATGCAGAGCCAACCTTAAGGAATGGGGCCACAAAGTGGAGTTCATGACATGTGAGTGCAGAGAAGAGAAAACCACAGACTACCTACTACAATGTAGTCTGAGCCCTGCCACATGCACAATAGAGGACCTTCTTATAGTGACACCAGAAGCACTCCAAGTGGCCAACTTCTGGTCAGAGGACATTTAGTATAATGCCAAGTTTTTAACTTTGTTTGTGGTTTTTTATACATTATAACTGTATTCTCAAAATAAATCCACCTTTGCCATTGCTGAATAAACCTTGTACATGTTTTCAGAATTGTTTTAAATTGTTTTTAAATTGTGTTCGATTTTAGCCTATTCTTGTAAGCCCCAGGGGAGTGGCGGCATATAAGTTTGAATAATAAATAAATAAATAAATAATAAAATATAAATACCGTAAATAAATAAACAAATAGGACCTGAATGCCAGCAACACTAGTGTTAGATACAAAATGCCATAAAGAGGGCACATGATTCAGAGATAAGATCTGCCTTTGATAACAGAGGAGCATTGTTCCATGTAAACCTGCTTGGCATTGCTACTTTAATCATGTTCCTATTTACCTTGGGTAATGAATGTAATATTCTAGATAATATGAAAAATAATCAAGGAAATTACAATAAAAAATTTAATCTTTATTATTTTTGCACATTAGTAATGATGTATAGCATAATTTAGAATATTAGTAGCATTTCCTGCATGCAGTTCACCAATACAGTATAAGTTGGTAGTTTATTAAAAGAAATAATCTCTACGTAACATATCCCGTGTAAGAAACATAAAATGTCCTGGTGTGTTTGGTTATATAATTTCGCTATTCTGTCTGTGAAAAAATACAGTGGACCCAAGATATATTCGTAACAGTTCTATTAAAGCAGGAGTCAAACAAATCAACGCAATCTCAGAAATAAAAACCCGAAAACATGGTTCTTTTAAAGGAAAAAAGGCTACATTTTCTGATGCAGGCACTGCTAGAAATTGAAACAAAACATTGCATCCTCTTCCAACTGCAAGGAATAGCTGTTTGGAAGCAAGCAAACCATGACTCTTTCCTTCACAAATTATTGAATTATTGCACCTTGAAAAATGTTTGCAAATACAGTTTAAAAAGCAGAAAGCTACAATTACCCGTCTCTTCTTCGTTTCTTGTTTTCTGTAGTTCTTCCATGGAAAAAAAGTGCTTTGAATGCAATGTAACCCAAAAGGCTGCAACGCCAATTGTAAGATAAAATTCATTTCTTAGTTTATGTACATAATGCTCCAAAATAAAATAAAATGATTTTTTTTACAATATTTATATTGGCTTATAAAATTTCTAACCACATTATTTTCAACAGGTTTAGCAGTTTGCAACATGTCTGTACAGTCTGGCTATACATGAGATTGGCTGTCACTGAAAATTTAAAAACGTCAAAGGAAAATCTCTCAAGTAGCTGCAAATATTGCTTAATGATATGAGGGAATGAGGTCTTGTTGAACACTTGGTGGGTTTTTGTTTTGTTTTTCTCACTTTACCTCTGTCATATGGCTTCCCATGTTTAAGATTCCAGACACTTGAAGGAAGAGCAATATAGGCAATATCAACATGCATTGATAGGATCCAAGCTATCTAAAATGGGACAGAGTACATCGTTGTTACCTGTTGAAAGCTTGCACACTAAACCTATCGTGGTACATATTTGATGCAATAAATGTGCTCAGGTCGTTTATTCATTTGCTCAAACGTGCACCACAGGTAAAATTACTATTTACACAACAGAGGGTTCTTCACCAAAGACATACGGTGGCAATCTGGCTGAGAGCTGAAGATGGCTAAACAACGCTGCAGGATCAAAGCAGAACAAATTCAGAAAGGAGTTTGGGTCAATTCAGGTATTGTTGTTGTTGTTGTTGTTTTAAAGGGCATGTTGATTTAAAGATACCGTATGGGGAAAATTGACAAGGACTTTTGAAACCGGCTGTTTTCAACTCCAGCTCTTGCTGAGGTTTATATATAAAAAAGAATCCACCTGTTTTGCTTTTGGGGATTGGAGGGGACGTTAGAGGCATTATAGAGATTTGTCTGGTTGTAATGCAACATGAATACAATTATTGTCAAGCACAGAGTGTTCCCTCGCCGTTAACAGAGTTGTTAAAAACCTGTTGCTCTTGGAGATGTAATGTTTTCCCCCCCACATGCATGGTCTATAAGTGCAGCATGCCTCCATGCAAATCGTTTTGGTGTGCATATAAGAGAGAGAGTCATATAATAGAACATCTGGTCCTCATACCGGTAAAGTAGTACTTATCCCCTTCCCCAACATAAATCCCATCTACAAAAATAGTCACAATGTGTGAATCGAAAACAGAAAGGGAAAAAATAAATAAATAAAGATGGAATCCACCAACACAGAGTTTGTAAAAAGATGACAAATGTGGCAGTTGAAATGCAAACAGTGGATACACTGACTGTACTAAGTGTCTTATGTTTAACACACAAAAATTACTAGGTGTTTAGTTTTTCAACCCCGTTTACTGGTCCCTACAGTCTGATTAGCCATTTCTCCCTCCTCTTCAGCAGTGTCAGCTGGTAAGGAAAACAGTAACCTCCTGTCACGCTTGCCATTCTGTTTTACAGTCACATGTAGATGACAAGGGGTTGCTGTCTTGTTATAGGCACTGACCTTAAGGATACAGTATATTTGTAAAAACTGTCTGTTTGGCATAGACCGCCTAGAGGAGTCCTGTTGACCCAACTACATTACTCACACAGGCTGTAAACAATTTGTCACCCGAACATCTAACTTGCATTTTTTATTTTTTCTTCTGTACATCTTTGCCTTCCCTTTCGTGCTTTTCTTCAATGGGCTTGGTTACACGATCATAGGATGGTGGACAAATGGCTGTGGACATGGTGAGGTCAGTTTTTTCCGTGTATGAGTTTTCATTGATCTTGTCAATAAGGATTTCATCTTTGAGGCGCAGGCCAGCCCCTCCTTCTATTTTATTTTTATATACAAATGAAGCTTGCTGTACTGTTTGTCTGAGGCGGTAACGTCTGTAAGCCCGTTGGATGATAATAGCAGACAGCTCTTCTTGCTTTCGTTTCAACGTAGTTGTAATGGGCTCATAGGATGCTTTGGAAGGATTGGATTGCATAAAGCGTTCTTCCATCTGGATGCGGAGAGCATCCATCTCTCCACTTTCCCCTAGAACACGTTTTGTGAAAGCAAACAAAATGTCAAGGCAGTGAATCCTGTCCCCACTTACCATGGGCAGATCCATTGCAATAAGCTGAACCTTGTTTGGCTTTGGTAAATGAAGAGGAGGCTCCAGAGCAGCTGCAAACTCTGAGAGTTTTTCAAATTCCATAAACTGAGTTGCATCTGGGTCAAACTTTTCCCAGACCTCATAGAACATCTCAAAGTCATCCTCACTCAAAGGTTCACCACTTTCTTCAGTCGCCACCCCAAAGTTCTCCAAAATGACAGCAATGTACATGTTCACTACAACTAAAAAAGATATAATGATGTAACTGACAAAGAAGAAAATCCCAACAGAAGGATTGCCACAGTCTCCTTTGACTGAGCTTCCCGGATGGTGTTTTTTAGGGTCACAATCTGGGGCCCCACTGTTGAGAATGGGGGCCAGGAGGCCGTCCCAGCCTGCTGAGGTGGTGATCATGAAAAGGCAGATCATGCTGTTGCCAAAAGTTTCAAAGTTGAACATGTCATCGATTCCAACTTCTCTCTTCACGTAGGCAAAGTTGGACATCCCAAAGATTGCGTAGATGAACATGACAAGGAAAAGGAGGAGGCCAATGTTGAACAAGGCAGGGAGAGACATCATCAAGGCAAAGAGCAGGGTGCGGATCCCTTTAGCCCCCTTGATGAGACGCAGGATCCGGCCGATCCTGGCAAGTCGGATTACACGGAACAGGGTGGGTGACACAAAGTATTTCTCAATAATCTCTGCTAGGAACATACCTATTGACAATAAAATAAAACAGTTAGGTCCCATTTTTTAAATTATCACTGAATTAGTTTCACTTACTTCTTTCATTTCAATGAGCTTTCAAGAACCATGGCTACAATCCTACATCCAACAATCCAGCAGCTGATTTAAACAGATACTAATCTGTAGATAATCAGTAGATATATGAATATTTCTAAAACTTGGGGGGAATGATCCCCTGTTATGTTGTGTCGTGATATACAAAATTCAAGGAGATAACTCTTGTAGTTTTTTTTAATGTAGTTTGTAAAAAAAATTGAAAATTTCCCAAAAATCTGTGGATGAGTGCAAAATTCCAAAACTTGATGGGCTAACAGTGATAAATGTGTTTTATAATCATAGCAAATTTCATGTCAATAGCTTTAACAATGAGGGAGAAAGGAGCCACTGAATTTTCCCAATTGACACAATTACTTAAAAGTAATTAAAAAGTAGTCAACTTGTTATAGTTACAATACAGATCCCATCCAATTTCAAAAACACTTTAGAAACTTTAGAAACACTTTAGAAACTATTTATTCCCACCCCCTAATTTTGTAATGAGTATTGAAACATTTTTTTCACTGGTGGCACAGGCCTATTGCATATATAAATAGAAGTAGACTAGACGTGGCTATTTATTTATTTGTTTATTTACTACATTTATATGCTACCCTTCTCACCCCGAAGGGGACTCAGAGCGGCTTACAAGTTATAATTGTTTATGATTTGTGTGCTATTTTCTTTGGACTTCAATCTGGTATTGATCTTATACAATGAAGACACATGGAGTCATTCAACAGGTGTTGCTATGGTTAGAAAATGAATATTGTTGAGGGCTATACTGGCTGGAAGTAGAGCAAGCATTAGACATTTTAAACTAATTTTGACATGTGACTCATTTTATTTAGAATGCATCTTACCTACAATGGAGAGGATGACAACCACAAAATCAAAAATGTTCCATCCAATGGTGAAATAATAGTAACGCAGTGAAATTAGCTTGAGAACACATTCTCCGGTGAAGAGGACAATGAATATCAGGTTGATACGATATAGAACTTCTTCTGTTTGTTGACTTTGATCATCTGTTTCTACCATCATAGTGATCATATTAAGGCAGATAAGAATCATAATACTGATGTCAAATACTTGTCTCGTCACAAAATCAAAGACCACACCTTGGTATTTGTTCTAAAGTATAAAAAGAGAAGGGATGGTATTTAAGTAAACACAATTAAGTTAATTCCAACTTGTACAAGTAGAGAGCAATTATATGTCCAGGGATGCATGCATGCAGTTCAGAAGGAACAAAAACATATTTAAATATAACTAAATATCGAATAACATCCACAATCAGCAGGCAGCCAAACAAACTCCACACTTCATTTTCTCTTTTTCAAAATTGAATTTTCAATGTATAATATATTGTGAAATTTCACATACCCCAGGTCTAGGTATGGGTTTCTGAGGCTTTTTAGACCCCAGTTTTTTCATTGCATTGTAGTACTTTTTCTGTTCTTCTGTCATAAAGATGTCTTGACCTCCAAAGTAAAGGCATGATATGAAGATTGGTTACAATCATATTCTCATAGAGCCTTTAAATATATTTGCATTTTAAACCCTATTTCTGTTGAATTCATAATCAACCTAAAATAAATAATTGGGCCAGTGATTCCTTACGACTAAAGCACTTCTGGATTTATAGCAACCTAACCTCCGGAATCCATTAAGATTAGCATAAAAGAAATCTTTTAAATAGAAAATTGTATTCACAGATTTAATCAACTGTGACTTTAAAATCTTTTTAAAATCCAAAATGTAGACTTTAATTTTGCCATTATATATAAGGAACACCCTACACTATTGTATATAATGGGACTTGAGCATCCATGGATCTTGGTATTCATGGAAGATCCTGGTAGATAGCAGTTGTCCATTGGATTTGTAGATATTGATGGAAACAGAATTAAACACTCAGTGCCTTTCAGTAAGGTAAAGCTCAAGGGTTCCCCTTGACTTTACGTCTAGTCAACTCCGATCTGGGGGGCGGCGCTTATCACAAATTCTAAGCCAAAGAGCCAACATTGTTTGTAGACATCTCCTAGGTCATGTGGCTGGCATGACTGCATGGAGTGCCCTTCCCACCAAAGTGGTGCCTTTTGATCTACTCACATTTGCATGCTTTCAAACTTCTAGGTTGGCAGAAGCTGGGGCTAGCAATGGGAGCTCACCCCACTCTGCGGATTCAAACTGCCAACCTTCCAGTCAGGAAGTTCTGTTCCTTAGCAGTTTAACCTGCTGTGCCACTGCAGCCCCAATGCCTTTCAGCAAGCCACAATTTATTTTCTTCCTTTTAACGAAGAAAAGGCAATTTCTATTGCCTCTTGCATATGCTTGAGGATATGTCGGTCATATGTAATTTTACAGTAATCCATGCATTTTACAGTAATCCAGGTAAATACTTATCTTCTTTTTTTGTTGATTGAAGTTATCAATGATGACACCAATGAACAGATTCAAAGTGAAGAACGATCCAAAGATGATGAAGATAACAAAGTAAAGATACATATAAAGGTTGTCCTCATATTGAGGCTGCTGACCTACCTACAAAACAAGCAAAAGGTCCAAAATACTTGGTTAAAAATCTTGCAAGTTCACATTGATTTAATGTACATCTCTGCAGGATTATACCACATTTATAATGGTTTCATTTCACTGGTGCAGATAGTGTTGTGATCACTTAGTTCTTGTGCAAATTAGAGATCAAAGACATTTTCCAGATGAACAACTTCTGCAACCAGTTGTACAAGGTAGTTATTCAATAATATTATGTAAGGACCAGAAGATGAAGTGCCTGTGCATGTGGAGAAACCAATGAAACTTCATTGGCACACTCTGCTAGCCCTATGTTAAATTTTTAATTGCCAGATTCATTGATTATAACATAACAACAACAAAAATTATTTAATTAGAACAAAAACGTTGTAATATTTTAATTCATGCTAGGTATGTCTCACAAAAATGTAATGACTCTCAAGAAAAGTTATAAAAGCTGCTTACATTTCTTGAATCAATTGCTGCATACATAATATCCATCCATCCTTTAAATGTAGCCTGTATCCAAAAAAAGGGGGTTAACATATAAAACTGATCTTAGAACACTATTTTGTATTACACTTTTTATAAATAACACAACATTACAGCAGCAATACATGGTGATCACTATAGAATTAAAAAGAAAAGTGCCTGACGCTTAAAGGTTTGCTTTTTTAATCAATTTTGATCCAGACATTTAGGGCATAACAGGGCACATTTATTGAGATTAGATTCAGTAAGACCAAGTTTGGAATATTATATCTGAAAATACATTTGATTATGTAAAACAATTGAGATTTTAAATTGCATCCACTACCATAACCACTAATAATTTTAATTGCTTAATTTTTTTTGTTGTTGATCAAATTGTTGCTTAAGAATGAATGTCAAGTCTGATCATGTGGTTCATAAAGGTTTTCACTACTGAATTTAGGGGAACACATTTTGTTATTGGCATTTTCAAAATAACTCTTGTGTTGCTTTTCCCCAACTCCCAATTTTCCCTACAGGGACTTTAGAAGTCATATTTCAAAGTAACTACCCGTAGTTCCTCATTACAATAATGAAGTAACTTCTATCTTGTTTGTTGCATTACTTTTGTAATATTCATTCATTAAGGTAAAGGTAAAGGTTTCCCTTTGACATTAAGTCTAGTCATGTCTGACTCTGGGGGTTGGTGCTCATCTCCATTTCTAAGCCAAAGAGCTGGCTTTGTCTGTAGATGCCTCCAAGGTCATGTGGCATGACTGCATGGAGCGCCATTACCTTTCGTCCGAAGCAGTACCTATTGATCTACTCACATTTGCATGTTTTCGAACTGCTAGGTTGGCAGAAACTGAGCCTAACAGCAGGAGCTCATCCCACTCTCCGAATTCGAACCACCAACTTTTTGGTCAGCAAGTTCAGCAGCTCAGCGGTTTAACCCACTGCGCCACTAGGGCTCCTATTCCTTCCTTACTCCTTTTTAAACAATATATTTTGAAGACTGCCAGAAAAAAGGATTTTTTACAGGACCAACAAAACCTGTTTATGGAAAAAATGTTTTCTAGAGGAAATGACAAGAGAAAATCTAGTAACCCCATTAAATATTTATTCTTATGCCTGGTCTCGTAAGAATCTTCCACGTTCATTCTACATGCAAAGAGTTAGGGAAAAAGCAAACACACAGCAAAGTGTAACATCTCTCCACAGGAGAATATTCATTGCCAATCAGTTGTATGCAGTCATTCAAGTTAAATATGGTGGTTATCACATAAAAAGTGATAAATACAAAATCTTTGCTAGTGTCAGCCAAAGAAATTAGTTCAGTGGTTCTCAACTTATGGGTCCCCAGGTGTTTTGGCCTACAACTCCCAGAAATCCCAGCCAGTTTACCAGCTGTTAGGATTTCTGGGAGTTGAAGGCCAAAATATATGGGGGTTCACAGGTTGAGAAACACTGAATTAGATGATTTATGTTCCAGATAATGCAGTTCAGTTCCTGTGACAGAACACCGAGGGCCATCTGCATGAGCCAAATGACTTGGGTTGAGGGCGGACTCCATGGTGGCCAAAAGACACAGAGTCCGTTTGCTGTAATGCAGGAAAAGGCCTTTTAATGCAAGTTTGCCCCATGTTGGGAAAAGCAGTGGGATGCCCTGGGGCTTCCCATTTTGGCCAGCATAAATAATTTATTCCACATTCTCCAGGCTTGGACAGCCCAAGAATGACACGGGACCTAGCTTGCCCTGTTGAGCTGACTTTTACAATTCCTGCCAGGCATGAATATTATGATGTTCATCCCTCGACATACCTGTAATGATGCTAGCCGGTGTGGCAAGATTATCAGAGAAGGGAGAGGGGAAATACCTCCCCCCTCTCTCACATCATTTCAATGCTCTGACTAGTATCATTATAGACTCTGAATGATGAACGCTGCCATATTTATATTAAGATGTTTTTAATGCTTTGTTGTAGTGTTTACACCTCACAATATTGCTTAGCCTCAACGTTCTGTCATTGGAGTATACGTCCGTGTGTCCGTCCCCCCCCCCCCCTCCACAATCCCTGTTTTAATAATCCCTCCTCCGCAAATAACCTGCTTCTCCTTTATCTCACCGGAGTTTCTTAATCAGTTTTTAATTAGTTTCTCTTTTAATCATTACATGTAGCCCGTCCATTGTCACTGTGATTGTGTTTATTGTAATTTTATATCGTTATGCAGTCATATGTTTTATGTAATTAAGATGTTGTTGTTTATTGTTTGCATTTTTGGTTTTCTTTTCTGCTGTAATTTGTTGTTTGGGCTTGGCCTCATGTAAGCCACCCCGAGTCCCCACTGGGGAGATGGTGGCAGGGTATAAATAACGTTTATTATTTATTATTATTATTACATGTTGTTTAGTGGTTTTAATGTTTTTTTAATTTATAGTCATATGTCAGTATTTAGTTATTGTGATTTAATTTTATTATATGTGTATTGGCATTGAATTCTTGCCATTAATATGTTGTAAACCATCTTGAGACCCCCAGAGATGAGAAAGGCGGTATATAAACATAGTAAATAAATAAATATTCACACCCAGTGGGAACCGCAAAGGCCAGCTCAACATGAACAAGTCAAGAGTGGTGCCAAACCAGTTCTGATGCTGCTGGGTTGTGTGAAAATCATTCAGCTGACAGGCAAGCTCAGGAGCATGCAAGGTGGGCACCCACCAGCTCTTGAGCTGGTTCAGTGTATAGCCATGTGGATTATCAGGATGCTTATTGTCATTGCCATTTCTGCCCCATGTAGATGGGATCCTAAATTTTTCTCCTATTTTCAGTGCTGCTGAGTTCATAACCATAGTGCAGTGTTTCTCAACCTGGGGGTCGGGACCCCTGGGGGGGTCACRAGAGGGTGTCAGAGGGGTCGCCAAAGACCATCTGAAAACACAGTATTTTTTGCTGGGCATTGGGGTTCTGTGTGGGAAGTTTGGCCCAATTCTATCATTGGTGGGGTTCAAGGGGCTCTTTGATTGTAGGTGAACTATAAATCCYAGCAACTACAACTCCTAAATGTCAAGGTCTATTTYYCCCAAACTCCACCAGCGTTCACRTTTGGCCATATTGAGTATTGAGTATTCATGCCAAGGTCGGTCCAGATCCATCATTCTTTGAGTTCACAGTGCTCTCTGGATGTAGGTGAACTACAACTYGAAAATTCAAGGTCAAYGCCCRCTRAACYYTTCTAGTATTTTCTGATGGTCAYGGGAGTTTTGTGTGCCAAGTTTGGTTCAATTCCATTGTTGGTGGAGTTTAGAATACTCTTTGATTGTAGGTGAACTATGAATCCCAGCAACTACAACTCCCAAATGACAACTCTCCCCCAAGCCCATCAATATTAAAATTGGGATGTATTGGGTATTTGTACCAAATTTGGTCCAGTGAATGAAAACACATCCTGCATATCTGATATTCACATTACAATTCATAACAATAGCAAAATTACAGTTATGAAGTAGCAATAAAAATAATTCTATGTTTGGGGGTCACCACAACATGAGGAACTGTATTAAGGGGTCACAGCATTAGGAAGGTTGAGAAACACTGCCATAGTGCTTTATGTAGTAATCTGGGTTAAGATTCTGAAACTGCAGAAGGGAATTGGGTGACAGTGTTTGGAAAAAAACAACACATTTTATCAACCTCTTTAAAGCTAAACAAACAGGAACACATATGTGAATTGGTATAATTTAGACTTGTTTGTAAGGGTTCAATTCTATGCATAATTTATAGTAAAATGAATGGAATATTAAGCTCAATGAAACGTGCATCAAATCAGACTGTGACACAAAATGGAATCAACATTGTATTCTAAAGAATATTCACTTACTACTTGCAGCAAGGAAAGATACCCAAATCCTACATTATCAAAGTTAACCTTCACGTTTTTCCATCTGGCCGTTTCATTTGCTTCTATGAGCTCTTTACACTGAGTGCTATTGTTAACTACATCAATTGGGAACATCTCCCCGGTTGTTGTGTTAATACAGTGGTAGAATTTGCCAGCAAACAGATTTACTCCCATGATGCTGAAAATTAGCCAGAATATGAGACAAACAAGAAGCACGTTCATAATGGATGGAATTGCTCCAAGAAGGGCATTCACAACCACCTAGTACAGAAATAGAGGAGGGGAAAAGACAGTGTAAAAATACATAATAGCAGTAATGTAATTACTCTGTTGCATCAATGTATGACTGTTCTACTTTTTAAACTAAAGCAAATGGCTACTCATAATTTTGATGGCAACAGAGTTAAAAAAAACATCATTTTTTAAAAACTGCAAACATTTATATACTCAACAAGACAACAAAGATGGAAAAAACTAAAATATCTAAATAAAATCAAAATGAAAAATAAACCTTATAATAGCAACATGAAGATTGTTGATCTCTGCAAAGAAAAGAGATATATGTTAAAATATTTATACAGGAAACCAAAATATAAAAAGGAAATAAATTATTCCTTATGAACTGAAAGGATTGCATAATCGTTGTGTAAATAAAAATAGAAATGTAAAAAAAAGTTACAAAGGAAAGCAAGTCAAGAATTAGTACACATTTCAAGGAGTACACTTAACCATGCATTATTCTTGTTATTATGAAGATTATTTCTTTGCGTAAGAAAGCCAGACGATTTAGCATATGTGCTTATCTAAACAATCACATATTTTATTTCAAGCTCCAGTCTTTATTAAGCAAATGAATTCCTTCTCAGTGAAATATTTTGCTTAAAAATAAATGAATGACATATTCCGAAATCGATAAAGGGGTGGTAGTAGAACTTAAAGGTCAACAGCATTTGAATGCAGAATAAATCAAAATACTACCCCAGTTGCCTGAATACGATGTCTTTGTGTTTACCTACTAATACATGGCAAAAAAGGAATGCCATGAAGAAATGTAAGAATGTGGTAGAGGCTCCTTCTTTGGAGGTTTTTAAAAAGGCTGGGTGGCCATTTGTCAGGGGTGCTTTGAATGCAGTTTTCCTTCTTTTTGGCTGGGGGGTTGGACTGGATGGCCCACGAGGCCTCTTCCAACTCTATGATTCTATGAAACCGAATCCTAAGATCTTTTGCAAAGTGTGCCACTTATGGGAAGTGTGTTATCTGGGGCTACAGATATTACTTTCCCCTGGCAGACTCCCAAGAGTATCTTTAGTAGGAATAGGGGAGTTGTAACAGAGAATCCATGGAATTGGACTTCTTCTATTACAGGGAACTTAAGCTGAATCAAAGGCACTTGTTATAAGAAGGACTTTTTTCTCAGAAAAGGGGAGGATTCCTGGATCACAGGGTTTGTGCCCTGTTCACAACCACTGTAGCATTTGGTGAAAAGGAAAGTCTAGTATTAATATTTAAGCAAGGAACACATTTCATTCTCTCTGCTGAATAGCATGGATCCTGTCCTGTAGAGTACAACAAGACTAGCGAAATCTGTATTTGTGAGACCCTTTCGGAAATGCTGTTTTGCAGTGATAGTGAGAAGAAACCAAAGCCTTTCTGCCATACTGTTTTCACCAACTGGTGAGGTTTTAATATTTGCTTAAGGGCTCTACAGTGCTGTTGGACTGAGAGCCCTTTCAGATAGCCCCAATATATCCCTGTATCTAATCCCAGGTTTTCTGCTTTAAATTGGATTATATGTGTCCACACTGCCAGATAATCTGGGATAAACAGAAAACCTGGGATCAGATCCAGGGATGTAGGGCCTGTCTGGAAGGGTCCTGAGAAGTAGAAACAGATGTATTAGATTTATTGGCAATTTCCATGCAGTTGAGGAATACATTTAAAGAAACCTACACATTTGGGGTTTATTTAAGGTTAACTATTTTACAAATGTCAGTCTGTGCTTCTACCGTATTTCAGTAACATTTGACCATTGTATTCTTTTGATAGCCTAACGTTTTATTTTATGAAAGGTTCCTACTGTTCAATGTCAATTTTTTCTCTGAAAAGTTAAAAAAGGCAAAACTCACAGCAGTTATAGCTGTCATGTCAGCGAATTAAATCTCTGACAAACATGTTTACTACAACAGCAAAGCACCTTGGCGTTGAAAGGGTGTTTAATTCTTCACAGCTTTTTAAAAAAAAGTAATATCAAAATCACTCCTTGAACTGATCTCTATGTATGATATCAATACTGTTGTCTGAGGGTGCTTTGTGGTAAGGAAAGGGCTTCTTTATGTGTCCATTTGTGTTAGCTACAATTCTACAAACTAAATCAGAATGGCTAAACAGAGGTTGATAGAAACTGTAGTCCAACACATCTGGAGAAGCATGGGGGAGTTTGTCCTGAAGGGAATGAGCAACCATCCTATTCAGAGTAATGCTGCTCATAATCACTGCAGTCCATCTCAACATTGTAATCTTTTAAAAGCAAAATCTAGGAATTACGGTATATAGCCATCCAATTAACAGACTATCCAAGGAGTTTAGCTAGGAGCACTTGCTGCTTGAAAAAGTTGACAGATCTCACTTACGGTAGGGACATTACTACTTTCTTAGGTTCTGTATCATTTTACTTTTCCACTCTCAGGAATAGAAAGAGTGAAATAGCCTTTTCAGAATACATCAGCATCCAAGAATTAAATGCTGATGTAAATCTTCCAGATTGTGAAGGCAGCTGCAGATATTATTGTCAGTACTGCAGTATTCAAGTAATGATCATAGAAAGTCTTTGGGATCTGGGACCAACACAGAGACTGTCTCTAACAAGCTCTGAAAATAACTTGTTACAAATAATACATTATTAAAAAAAAATCATTTTATTAGTTAAGACATAATTAAGTTACAGTAAAAATTGTAAAGAGGTATAACTTGATTCCTTTTTCTGTGTAAGTCATATTTTTTCATAGTTATGGAACATAGGTTTGCTTTGTACCACAGGCCAATGCCTTGTAGCATTTTAGTGTGTGAAAAACTAAAATTAACTGTTTACATTTCACATAATGAAAACACAAAGTGTTATTTTTAAAATGTAGCTATAGGAGTAATACGGTTTTTTGGGGGGGGGAGGGGGACAGTTCCATTATTTGGGCAGAGACCAAAAGGGGAGGGCGCTAGACAGAGAAGGATAGTCAATTTTATAGGGGAGAGAGGGGTTAAAGGAGCAAATTTGTTTCCCCCCATTTTCCTGTTATTTCCACCACCCATGTTGCGGTCGTGGAAACAACCCTCATGTATGACATGGGAAGGGGCGGGGAATAACCAGCAAAAATGGGGAAAATGGTTTTCACCCCACCCGCTAAAATGGACTATGCTTCTCTGTCGAGTGCCCCCATTTGGCCTCCACCTGGACAATGAAATAGTGCCTTTTTTGTTCTCTGAATGATAATTGAGTACTTTTTAAAAGTCCATCAAACTGTGAAAAAAATCATTTGAAAGTTGACAGAAACACTTTAATGTTGTGCGATATACTGGGATAAGGGGTTGTCCCTACACAAAATAAAATTGCAAATCTATATCCACCAGTTTGGACAGCATATAACTTTTCTTTCAACACAGACATGAAGGAAAGATGCATGTGATATATTAACACAGGACAAACTAGTACACATAGTTATTGGGGAAGTAATACAATAAATGGATCAGTACTATGAAAAAAAACATTTGAGTATCACCTAGAGTGTACATCCTGCCAGTCATGGTCTTTTTTGCATCTAAGAATCTTTGTCCCTATCTGAAATTTTTAAAATAGTAGCTAGAACTGGTTGAACCTCTTTGAAGTCAGTATAACTTTTAAAGTTATTTTTCTGTTCTTCAGATAAGTTATATGTTGAACTTCTTCAAAAACTTGGTTTCAAGCCAAGCTAATCAAAGTAGATCAATTATGGTCTTTCCCACAAAACTGTTAAATCATGACATCCCCTTTCTTTCCTCATTTCCCTTGTAGCTATATTCCTCTGTTCTTTGGATGTTGTCATGATCCAAGTTTTTGTTTGTTGTGATCTTCTTCAAGCTTGCATAGATAATGCAACTGGTAGAAGTTCCTATACTTTCAGGGATCTCAATAGGGTCATTTCAGAGATGGGAGGGCCTTCTAAGGTAAAACCTTGCTTTCATTATTTCTGAACTGTGAGTACTGCTGTGCCAGTCATGTGGTAACGTTTGAGAACAGTACAGTGCTCCCTCACTTATTGCGGGGGTTACGTTCCCCAATAAGTGAAAAACCGCGATGTAGGGACGCTATATTTATTTTAATATTTATACATTATTTTAGTAGTCATACACTATTTTAAGTCTTTATAAACTTAAAATACAGTGAAGGAAAGGAAGGAAAGGCTCTTCAAGGCTGGAGGGAGGGAGGACTGAGGAAGGAAAGCGCCTCGGAGAACAGCTAGATAACTATGTTGTTGCTACTGCTGCTGCTGTTGTCTGCACAAGCAGGAAAAACACATGTTCATAAATCTAGTTAAATCTAAAACCCTGCAGCTGAAATTTCCTTTGAAATTAAAATGAAATGAAACATTCATAATTTCATAATAAGTGTCTAGATCAAGAAGTCCTTTAAAAAACATACACATTTTTGGATCAATTTTTTGATCTGGATATGACAAGTTGGTCATAGTTAAAAGTTTGCAATATTAGATGAGGATCTAAATTCTAAATATAATTTTGTAGTGTAATCCTAATTATGTCTACTCAAAAGTAATTCCCATTACATTAAATGGAGTTTACTCCAAAGGAAGTGAGTTAAGGATTCCAGCCTTCTTGGTGAAAGGGTTCTAAACCTGAAATTTGAATCAGAATGGTATTCAAACTTGGAACAGATTCATAAAATCAATGGGACTAGGTGAATCATAATTAAGCCTGATTACAACTACATCAGTGTAGGCCATCTATTATTTTCAAAATGCTGTTTCATCTGATAAATTACTGAGAAAATCAGTAATTTTCTCCAAGAATTCTACTTTCAAAATTTCACAGAAATAAAAGTTGTTTTAGTAAGGAGATGTGAAGTTCCTCCCACAGTAACTTTGGGCAGGATCCAAAGAACAGTGAGCTCTTGTGCAGAAAATTATAATTAGTATAATATGGTACACAGGATACACTATAGCAGTGGTTCTCAACCTATGGGTCCCCAGATGTTTTGGCCTTCAACTTCCAGAAATCCTAACAGTTGGTAAACTGGCTGGGATTTCTGGGAGTTGTAGGGACCCACGGGTTGGAACCACTGCACTATAGGTCTCATGTATGCACCAAGAAATATTGATTTTGAGAAATAATAGGCTTTCCATACTGTATGGCAATGCCATGGGCTGGAACCTGAATGTTCTGTATAGAAAGCAGGTGCTCTCCCATAGAGCTACAGTCCAGAGAAAATAGAGAAGATCTTACAAAAGGGAAGAACATTGTTGGATTGGGTTTGGCATGCTTTTTCACCACTGACTGTAGTAGTGAGGGCTGAGAGGTGGTGCCTGCGCCCAGGATAGATGTGTACAGCCTTTCACTTTTCTTGCTCAGCCTTCCATATAAAGAAGGGTACTTTTAGCTCCAACTGATTTTAACTTCAAAACTACAGTTCCTCCTCTTGGCAGGCCTTACAATGAGGTCTTGGCAAGGGTTGAGGAAGAAACAGGAGCAATCTGGCTGCAACGAAGTGGAGGAGAGCAACTTTATTGTCACGGTGGAATAGTGCTGGACAGTGGTGGCTTCCTGGTGTATTGTATGGACTGTAGGTTCTCAAAGGGTAAGTTTGTGACCCCAATTTCTTGTAATTATGTCCCTAGTATATTTTGAAAAGATTGAAAGTAGTATGACTTAAGGTATGATATGCGGAAGGACTCGGGGGGTGGGGGGATCAGTGGTCCCTATCTTTCACATCAAGAAAATTAGCTATGCATAGACATTTTAACAATTGGACCTGTAAATGTATTTAAAATGATGTATTTAAAAAAGCTATGTATAAGTCATGGTCACTATACCAATTTCCTTGTTAGATTGCTCTATCAGAAACTGGACTGGACATTTGAAATATAACTTTAAAGCAATCAGCCAAAAATGTGCATAAGACATGCAAAACTAAAACTGCAGGGTGGATTATTTAGTTTAAAGTTCTTTTCTGCTCTACTGCTCCAAGAGAAATATACCAAGCACGCATAACATGCTCTCCTCCAGTGAACTTACACATAAACACATGCTTTATTACTAATCAATTCTCTAAATTTAGCAAAGCAATGGATACTTATTTTTCTACATGTATACATATTTTGAACTACCGCAAGACCATTTCATTACAGGGAGTATTAAAATGATAAATATCAAGCAATGGGGATATTCAAATCTCATTTTACAAGTAGAATATATCTACATGTACTGAGATTAGAATATTGCTCTCAATCTAAAGCATATTTCGTTCAAATGAAAGCACATGTTTACTTTGCCTTCTAGCACCTATGTGGAGTTAACAATGGTTGAAATGTACTTTTAATTATATCAAAACAAAATGACACAACAGAATTGAATTTTCAAAATCTTCTGTTTTGATGAAATTTCCCCTCATCCATATAGGGAAATTATGTGAGACTTATATTTCACAGACTTACGTTGTCCTTAGGTCTTGGGTTTGTCTTCTGCGAAGGAATAATTTTACCCATTTTTTGAATAGAGAAATCATATGAAGTTAATTTAAAGCTCCACATTTTAATATATCATTTATACAAATATGTGAAAACCAAAACTTGTGCTTGGGAACAATAGGTCAAAATGTAAGTATAAGAAAAGATTGAAAAGGTTATTTTAAGATTTTTTTTAAAAAAAAGTGGCCCATTTTACCAATTTAATCTTCACCGAGACTAAATCTTTCTTGTAATATTATGTGTTTTCTGTGAGGTCTTTACCTGTTCACAAAGCCATTAACAAACACTGATTTCTGTGAATATGTCCTCTTCCTAAATTATAGCCAAATGATTGAACAAACTATTTTTTCTGTGTAAGCTGTTTACACACTTTATTTGGGGATGAATCTTTTTTATTGTTGGCATCGTGTTTAGGGAGAATCAGAGGTTATTTATTTGGCTCCTTGGTCCAGCAATAGAAACCTTTGACATGTGAGGAAATGCTTAAGAAATGGCAAATAGCTGATATTGTGGACACACAACTCCTGGTTCTTTTTGAATAGTATTAGTCAGAATCATTGCAACAGAAAACTGCTTGTAAATGACAACAAATGAAATTGATTATAATAATATTTTATTTTCTTATGAACCAGATGTGTATGGAAATAATTTTTTTTCAGATTGCCATATTCTTGGTACTCATATTACATGAACATTTAGCATCATTGCCAGTCTTGAAGTTGATTTAGAAGGAGTACAAATGACAACAGTTCCAGAAACATTTGTGCCAACAGAAACATATTTGCAAGAATGTTCATGAATAGTAAATAAAAAGAAGTATGAACATGGATAAACCAAACAGTCAGTTGAAAACTGAATGAATGTTCGTGAACACTACAGGAATTGACCAGCTCTTACCCTATTCCACTGCTGACTTCTCAATTCATGAATTTCTTGCTTAAAGGGATTTGTTGAAATTAAGGGGTGGTTAGATGCACCTGAAATTCATGTATCGAGTCAGTTTCAATTTGCAATATTTCTTTGTAGAAATTTTGAAGAAAAGATATGCAACCTGATGGATACAATTTGAGGAACTGAGCTCCAGTCATCTGAATTTCATTTCATGGTTCTGTCGTGACTTTACATCTAAATACTATTTGGGCAGCATGTTTATCCACTGCCCATCTCGCTAGAAAGGTTTCCTTTTAACATTATTCAAAAGCTGTTTCCTCTTATGTTTCCATGAAGTGGCAAAAAGGCATTCACTGAAAAATAACAGGTTCGACCAACATGCAGTTTGGATCAGGTTGTATACAGTGGATACATAAATGCCTCCAAGTGAAGTTCTGGGGTTTCTGCTGGTGATGTCAGTGCAGTCAAAGAATCATCCGGTAATGGGAATGAAGAGAAGGAAACAGGGATATAGTGTAAGGAATGTTTCCGGTAGAGATTAAATGGTGATCCTGCTTTCCCCAGAAAGCAAATATGTAATATTGCATGAGTTGTGTAGATAATGCTGCACATTTGCTGGAATTACCTTTGCCGATGGAAATTAATAGAAAGCTATAATTGGGAAGGGGAGGTCAGTTCAAGTGTCTGGTTAATTAGCCATTTAAACAGATTGAGTCCAGTTGATGAGACAATACTGGAGTTTTATGAACTGCCTATGGAGCATAATTAATTAATCGTGCTTATATAATTATATATTTAAGCACTTACGTCAAATAGAAAATATACCCCTCTCTGGAGGCCTGGCAATATCAAATTTGACCTACTGAATGAAATCCTAAACTGAAGCCTGTATAGCTATCCCAGTTATTTTTGACTGGGAGCACAGCATTCCCCATAAAATAAGAGCAACACACCAAAACTGATTTTATGAGGACATAAACCCAGTTGTCAACTGCCCGTATTTATTTATTTATGTATTTTTTGTCAGGAGCAAATCAACATAAAAGGTACTCACCTTTAGAACCACTGTTAGCACATCTGCTCAAATACATTTATGACAAACTCCTCACATTGGCTAGAAAGTAAAGTAATATAAATGCATACAGCTAGTGTGTGGTATTGAGTAAGGCTTAAGGTGAGCTAATGAAGCCTTTTGCTTATCTATTACTGATTAATAATATGCAATAAAATGGAAGGGCAGCATTTCTGCATGGATTTATCATTCCTTATATGGCATGCATGGAACATTCCTTATATTTAAGCATGCATTTAAATTAGGATCAGCTTTGCTCTCATTTCATCTTACCCTCATCCCTTCAAATCTTGACAAGGCTCTTAAAGGTCTCAAAGCCCTCAGTGTTCGAAGGGACTTAATGGCACCAAGTTCTGAATAACCCAATGCATTTGCAGTTAAGCTAACCAGTGACACCTGTGAGAAAGAAAACCTGCATCATTCTTTTTCATTCTAAGAAACCCTTCTGTATTCAGGGATAGGTAGTCTGGAGGAATCATATGGCTAGAAACAATCCCAAAGTCATTATGTCCTATCTCTTGCACAAAGTTAGAGTCCCTCATACATCAAATATTAATGGTTTCCCCAGGGTTCCTGCATCCCTAACTCCAGCAAACATGGAGGGCTGATTGTATAGCATGGCCACATTATTTTATTTTAAAACCTGACAAATTTTTATCTGCAGGTTAATATACAAGACTAATCAAGACTGGAGAAGATTCTCAAGATTGCTTAAGATCTAGGACACTTTTTTGTAAAGCTTATGTGGGTGAGCACATTACAGTGCAGTTTTTTTTACACACTGCAGTGTTTTTAAAGTACTTGATTTCATGTTTTTTAGTTCAGAACACAAGATTTTATTTGTTTTTCACACATGCAAATAGGCATTATTATTTTATTTATTATTTTATTTACTCTAGCTATACCCAGTCTTTCTCAACCTTGAAGGGGACTCAGGGTGGCTTACATATAGGCAATTATTCAATGCCTTAAAACAACATACAATTCCAATAAACATTAAAATTAAAATTAATACATATTAAACATTTAAAAACATTACATTCAATATTAAAGCCACACCATCCAAATGCTTCTTTATCAGATGGAGTCTGTCTGCATCAAATTTCTGATGCAGTAATAATAAATTCTAAGTGTTTAGCACAGTATTTTATTCACTACGGCATTCTTCCAAGATCAAATTCAGAATGTGTCTATGGATTGGGATCTATCTTTGATGAATCTGTGCAAAGGGGCTTGTAAAGGAGTTTATCGCTTACACTGTTAAAATGAACAACAAAATAAGGCTTGCCAAAGAAAATCTAATAAATGAATATAAAACATGTTTTAATGTGTCATAATAAAATAATTGTATGTTGATAGTAAACTCATTTTCTAAATCAGTGGCTCTCAACCTGTGGGTTCCCATATGTCTTGGCTCCCATATGTTTTGTGGATATTTATGGAGAGAGAGGGGAAGGGAGAGAAGCAAACAAAATAGACTATGCTCAGCTGCAGAATTTCAAAAAGAAATACTCCATACCACATTTTCTGAATAGCATTTAAACAGAAGGGTACATACATCAACAATGAGGAAATCCAGCCAGCACCAGGCATTGGTGAAGTATGTTTGATATCCATATGCGACCCATTTCAGAAGCATCTCAAGAATGAAGATGTAGGTGAAGACCTTGTCAGCATATTCCAGCATGGTTTTGATTGTTTTCCTCTGTTCTATGTATACATCTTCAAATGCCTGCAAATATAATGGATATTTAGGGTACAAAAAAGCTAAAGCGACTGCAGGTTTTAATAATCATTTTGTGAGACAAACTAAGGTCATGACTTAACATGCCATTACGGGTTTCAACAGAAGTGACCCTCTATAATAGGGCTTCTTAAACGTTTTCCACTTGCAACCCGTTTACTGATGGGGTTATAGATTTTGTTGTTTATAGATTTTAATGGTATTATACAGATGAAACTTAAGATGAATAAAAATATATGGTTTAGAATTTGAATGTGTTGTTTACTCATGAGTGACACTTGTATGGTAAGCGGTATAAACCTTTGTTAAAAATTGAGTTGGAAGAGGAACAAGATAGCTGATAGAATGATGTTTGAGCCTGTCTGGCTTTATTAGAGTTTAATGGCCTTTCTTACAGTTCGTATGTACAACTATTCAATCAGCTCTGTGTGATTTTGCTGGTTTACATTTCTTTTGAACTGTAATCAATAATTTTACTTTATACATGTCTCTGACTAGTAGAATAAGAATTCAAAGGGTAGCTTAAATGACAGCCAGATCGAAGCTTGTCACATGGCAAATCTTTTTCTTTCTTTTCACTAAAATGGGTTATTGCTGTTCCTTGTGCTGCTGCAGCAACCAGATGCAGAAGGTGTTTTGTTTATGCTGAAATTGCATGCTACCAAGCAAATAGCTCAACAAAACACCAAGGATGAGAACTGAGCCTTGAGAATTGCCTCCAAGCAATCCCCCCCCCCCCCAAACTGGAAAGGTTTTATCTTCAGCCTTCACAATGTCATCTTGCGGAGGCTCTCCAGGATCTATACTGTCACAAAAGCCACTCACAGTCCATTGTCTATGGCTGTAACTTTAATGAATGAGATTTTTTGAATAAATGTGAAATTATTGCATTAGGTAAGCTATCTCAAGGAATCTAAAGAGGAGTGGAATGGGTTCGAAGGATTTCCGTTTTTAAAATGTCTTTCAAACCTATCATTTTGACAATTTTTGGAAAAGCATAAATGGGATGTGTTAGATGTAAATAGGCAAGGCATTTAAAAAGTCATAACACTTATAGATCCTTTTCTTGTTTGCAACTTACCAGAGCACCACTACTAAGAAGGATCATAAAGACAATGAAGGTTTCAAACCAGTTGTGTTCAACTATTCGAAAGCAAGTTTTTCTAAGATTCCACCACTGTTTTCCTCTCCCATCTTCCACACTAACTTGACAGCACTTGAACCTTTGAACACAGCCTAAAAATAGATTAAATTTTGAGGAAAAAAAACAAGAAAAGAAATAATCAATATTTTTCAAATTATACAAGGTAATATCAGGATTTGGCATGGTCTCACCTTTCTGCAATAATTTATTTACATATAGAACTTGCTTAGTATTCCTTCAAATCCCATTTCATCCAGAGAAAATAGTTAAGCAGAGGTCTAGCACATAAACTTATCAGATGCTTAAAATAGACACCCCTGACCTTCTGTAAAACAAGCTTCAGGTTCCTCAGGTTCCTCAGGTACTGCTTCTGGTTGCTCTTCTGCTGGAACTCCAATATCCACAGTGCTTCCTTCAGAGGAGCTAGAGGAATTTAGTTTCTGATAAAAGAAAAATATTTCACAAGAAATTTAAGGTGAGAAATAAAAACAATACTGATAACACAAAATAATTAGCTGCATTTTAAATTTCTGTTTTGTAACAGTTTGAATTTAATGGATGCATACCTGCCATCATTTCATAAAGGAACACATGCAACCTAGGAACATCAAAGTGTGGCCAAAATGGCAAAAGTTATTAATGAGGAAAAACACAGGCTAAGAGAGTTTGTTTGTGTCTTAGCCTACTAAGAAGTGCAGAATTCTGTTCTCTTATGTGTCTTCCACTTTTGGGTTGAGTGTCTTTAGCCACCTTCAAGTTTACTTGATTTATGGCATCTTAATGAATGAGAAGCCCCAAAGTCATCCTATTAGGTCTTGCAGCCTCGAGGCAGTGGCTTCCTAAATTAAAATAATCCATCTGAAATGATGTCTTCCTCTTTTCCTGCTGTTCTATGCATTATTATTATTATTATTATTATTATTATTATTATTATTATTATTAACTTTATTTGTACCCCACTAGCATCTCCCGCAGGACTCGATGCGGCTTACACATCTTTTCTAGTCACGTCTTTCATGTATGAGCACAGTATGACAACCTCAATTAAGTCATCTTGGTTTCTAGTGAGAATTTGGACATTATTTGCTCTAAGATCTACTCGCTTGCCTTTTCAGTTAACACTACCTTTGCATTTTGAACTCAGTCTGCAGCAAGAGAAGCTGAGGATAAAGGGGGAAAGTAGTAGGAAGAAAGAGAAACTGTGACTGAATCCACACTTAGGACCTCTGCATTGCTGGCATGGAGTCCTCCAGAGTCCATTATATGACACAGGACTACTTCTGGCAGGGCTCTGTGCCCATAGAAATAGAGATCAGCTAATACAAGAAAGCCAGAGGAGGCAAAGAGGAAGTGGGGACAGCAGGGAAACATCATAGAAAGGGATACCACGATGACCCGATGGTAACAAACTCTGACACTGCCCCACAATTTCCCTGCTGTCCCCTGGCTTTGTAAGGACCATCTGATGAGGTCCTTAATCCAAACTGAAACTGATTGTGAAAGCCACACATTTTATCACCCTAGAGTCATCTCATTACAAAAGGTTGTTTATACCATGTTTACATGTCCACTATGTTGAATTATATTAAGTCACATGAACCCTCCCCCTCAATTCAGAGATACTTATGTCCGCATATCCATATAAACGAATAATCTTTCCTGCTTCCCCATCATTTTCTGGATGGTGTCTATAACTGGATAATTACCTTAGCTCTGACACAGACCCCTTCTGCCCTCTCTAATAGTGAATGCACCTTAGGTACTTGGTATAAGTCTAGAACCTTTAATAAAAATATAAAGCACAAAACCTGAGTTGATTTAACCACAGGTCAGTGTGCAAACTGTACCTTAACTCTGATCAAAAAAGGAACCATCCTCTTCTCTGAATAAAGTAATGAAAGGTGAGTTTAGTCTGTACCAGGAGAACATAAAAGAAGCACCAGCTCATTCTACTCTGTCTGCTGTAGTACTGCTTCTGGCCTTTTTGACTGCATGGGCAGGAAAATGGCAAGTGTCTTGTGGCCTTCTTTACCGAATATCCCTCGACATCCACAAGTCATATCAAAAGCCATAGTTTTGAGCCCAAAATCTGCCCTTGACTTATACATGAGGTTGATTTGTACATGAGTATATATGGTAAGGGCCCTAATCATCTTGCAACATCTTCACTGCCCCTCTAATCATGATCAGTTCACTGGTTTCTTACCTCCTCCATGAGAAACCTCTCTCTCTTTTTCCTCGACTCAAAGTGGCATTTGCCATTTTATAATGTGAAGCCATATGGTGAATTTAAATAGCAAGGTACATATGCTATACTACCTTTTTATATTCAGATATACAACGATAAATGTATAAAATGGTGGTGTTGATGGAACAAAAGTTACATTGTGAACATATGATTGTAATATGTTATAATTTTGCAACTCTCTCCCTTGTTGGTTTATGAATGAGCTGTGTGTATGAATTTATTGCAAATGAAGTCTATATATCAGCATTCTAAACATTTTATTTTTCTGGGTATGAAGATCTGGCAGTCATTTCTGCAAAAACCCATTAAAACAGAAGAATTTGCAGAACTCCAAATGACAAACTGTATCAGTGAAGTAAATGATGCATGTTCTCTCTCTCTCTCTCTTAGGTTAGAAAATCTTTTTGTATTCTAATTCCTGTGCAACAAGGAATCTCACATTGGTTAATTCCAGAAGAGTTCACAGTGAAATACACTATATCATGATCTAAGCCAAACCGAGTAATAAGTAAAGGCTTACCTCTTTGCTTTCTTCCAAATCAGATTCACTGCTAAATTCTTCCGTATTCAAATTCTCAAAATCCGATTCTCCAAGAGCAATTGGAACAGTCACAGTCAGGCTTGGGTTATTTATGAATGACATGTAATCACTTTCATCAACAACATATTTTTCCACGCTACTACCTGTTCCAATGCCACTTGTAGTCCCATTCCCATCCCTAAAATAATCCAGATCTTTACCAATTTCCATGGTGTGGTTAGAAATGCAGCTGTTCTTATTTAGCTCCTCAAGGGGTTTGATTTCATCCAAAGCTTTTTGTTTTTTAACAAAGGATTTTTGTATGAATTCACGGATCTTTCTTTTCACATAGGCAATTCCCTTTTCTATTCTTGCTATAGAAATCTGGAGATTGTTCATTTCGTTGTCATCATCTGTGGCAGCAAGGTTGTCTGCGCTAAAAGAGCTCAGTAGCAAGGCCAAAAATAGATTCAGTACCTGTACAAGGGGAGAAAAGGGATGGGGAAATATGCATTTTTTTTTTTGCTCTGTACACATTAGGAATATATAAAGCTGCCTTACATTGGACCTTATTACTAACTCTGTCTGGTAATAACTCTCCAGAGTTTAGGCAGGATTCTTTATTAGCCTTATTTAAAGATCCCTGATGTTTCTTGATTCCATCCATATACCAACCAGATGTGATCCTACTAAACTTTTGAAAATAAGAGTGCATCTGCACCAGAGCATGAATGGAATCTGACACCACTTTAATAGCTATGCCGCAATCTGATGGAATCACGAGAATTGCAATTTTACTAGGCCTTTAGCTCTTCCTAGCAAAGAGTGCTGCTGACTCCTAGGATTCCATAGCATTAAGCTATGGCAGTTAAAGTCATGTGAAACTGCATCAGTTCTACAATATAGATCACCCCAAGTGAAACTGGAATGTTGAGGGTGGCCCATTATAATATGATCAAGGTATCTGCAATATATTCTAGACTAGTGAGTCGCCTTCGGGCTGAGAACAGCGGTATAGAAGCAAAGTAAATAAAATAGTTCTCAACCTGTGGGTCCCCAGGTGTTTTGGCCTACAACTCCCAGAAATCCCGGTCAGTTTACCAAATGTTAGGATTTCTGGGAGTTGAAGTCCAAAACATCTGGGGATCCACAGATTGAGAACCACTGATCTACTGCCAGCAGATCTGATTTATAGTTTTCAGGCTCACAATGCAAGCTATTCTGTAATGCACATACATGTACAAGGAATTTACTCATTCAATTATTTCTTTATAAGCTGGTCACTTATCACTTTTAGTGTAAGAATAAATATTAAACACTGAGCACAGTATCTGATAATGATATGAAAGCCGTGTTTTAAGAGCTCTGCCAGAACAGTACAGACTACCATTTTTTTAGCTAGACTTAGCATTATTCTGATTCAGAATAAATATTTAATTTTTGAAAATTACATACCACTAAATTTCCGATCACCATCACCATCATGAAGACAGTAAGGCACATAGCTTGACCTGCAACCTCCATACAGTCCCACATGGTTTCTATCCATTCTCCACAAAGTACTCGGAACACAATCAAGAAAGAGTGGAAAAAGTCGTGCATGTGCCAGCGTGGAAGCTCACAGTCTTTGGCAATCTTGCAGACACATTCCTTGTAGCTTTTCCCAAACAGCTGCATTCCAACCACAGCAAAAATGAAGACAATGATGGCCAGGACTAAGGTCAGATTTCCCAAAGCACCCACAGAGTTTCCAATAATCTTTATCAGCATATTTAGCGTTGGCCAGGATTTTGCTAATTTGAAAACTCGCAGCTGAAAAACAAACACACAAAAAACTATCAAAATGTTTTTGTAAGGCGTAATGCAAAGTGCTGAAAGAAAGGGCTCAATGCTATAAAAATATAAAAAAATTCTAGTGAATTGAAAGGAATTTTTAAAACAATGGAAGTGAAAGAACATTTATTTAGAAAGGTGTCTTATTTTACGTCATTTACTTCCAGTTAAATCTTGTTAAACTATACTTGACATCTGGAATTCTTTGTACATTTTCTTAGAAGTATGTTTAATGGAAAATAGTAGAACTTACTGAGTGAACACATTGCATTTTATAATAATAATAATAATAATAATAATAATAATAATAATAATAATTTATTTGTAGACCACCTTATCTCCCCAAGTGGACTCAGAGTGGTTTTCATCACATATGGCAAACATTCAGGGCCAAAAAAGAGACATGTTAGCAAATTACATCAAAACAATATAACTTCAAACGATATAAAACAGTATTACATCAAATGATATAAAACAGTCTAACTATAAACTTAATATCAAACAAAAACTAACCAAAAAATAAAACTTAACAATCCTAGCAAACAGAATCTTATAGGGTCTATTTTAGTAAACATACCGACAGAGTGAGTCTTAGAATGATCTTTCCTATAACTTATTGTGTGATATTAAATGTTTTTAATTGATATGTATGTATGTATGTATGTTTATGGCATGTAACTATTGCCAATCTGTACACCGCCCTGAGTTGCCTCTGGGCTGAAAAGAGCGGGATAAAAATGCTGGAAATAAATAAATAAATACGTTATGATGCCCAACCATATCATCTTGGAATACATTTGATTTAAAGCAACTTCTTCCAATCTATGCAATTTGAAAGACTTTTCACATAATTGTAAAATTTGGAAAAACTACATCTGGGAGCTATGAATCCTAACTAGTGTTGACACATTAATGGAGTTTTCCTATATCTTGAATTGCCATTCAGAAATTAACTAGATATGTTTACCCATCTTCTGCCAGCAGGTATTTGGGGAAGGATAAAAGGCATGCTTTGGGGGAGGTTATGAGTGAGATGCGGGGGGGGGGGGGGGGGGGGGCTGTGAGTTTTAAAGGCTATGTTAAGTGTATATATTATATCTGTTTTCACCACACTGTGCTATTTAATTGGTTTTTAACTTTTGTATTGCATTTTTTAAACCTGAATAAAGTGTGGGATTGTTAGCCGCCTTGAGTCCCCATAAGGAGAAAGGCAGGGTATTATTATTATTATTATTATTAATAATAATAATAATAATAATAATAATAATAATAATAATAGTAATAGTAATAGTAATAATACCCTAGTTGAAAATAAACAACAGTAATTATTTTCAATGGTTTTAAAGGAATTTACCCACAACAAAGGACTTCATCCCACAGGATAAGTCAAGCATTTGGGAGAGTTGGTTTTCCCTTAAGTTTCACCACCACCCGTTTTGAAATTAAATGGGAGATTTTCCTACCTCCTTCACATCTAATCCTTTCCTCGGTTTTCTTTAAGATTTATCTGTTTGATTTGCCATCTCACGGAAAACATATGCCTCCTCCCACTGTTTCCTCTCCCGTTGTTTCCCTCGAAACCCTTCAACTACAGCAGAGTTAAGGCATTAGTCTTAAGGAGCCACTTTTTTTGAGTCCATTTGCCCTCAAAATCCTTAACTACAGCAGAATTAAGGCATCAGTCTTAAGGAACCACTTTTTCTAGACTCATTGGCCCTCAATACCCTTCCAATACAGCTGAGTTATGGCATCCTTTTAAAACACTTATTTCAGTGGGAGCCACACTGCCTGAAGGTGCATTTGCCATTGTAAATAAAATAAAAAAGAAGCAAGATAAAAATTACCTCCTCGGTTTTAAAGATTATGGCAGAAGAAAGGATTCTCTACTGCCCATCTCGACCCCCCCACCATGACAATGTCATTGTTTTATTTACAAATGGGCAGAGTGGGATTCCCATCACATGTTAAATTGGGCATTTTACATGTCCTTACATGGAGAATTGAAAAATAAGTCAATTGCCAACCAATTTAGGAATCTATTGTCGAAGGCTTTCATGGCTGGAATCACTAGGTTCTTGTGGGTTTTTTCGGGCTATAGAGCCATGTTCTAGAGGCATTTCTCCTGACGTTTCGCCTGCATCTATGGCAAGCATCCTCAATTTAGGAATTGTGGGAAAAACCCATACTTTAGAAACAGTGAAATACCTGGAACCAACAATTGAAGTTTGCATCATGTGATGGGCCCTGTGGGTTGCTGATTCTTAAAAGTGTAGAAAAGCTGATTTAATTGTGTGTGATGAAGTCCAAAGTTATTTTATTTTATTATGGTCATTAACCAGCATTACTCACTACTACCTTTGAGTGAATCATGGCCCATATATTTCAAAATGATCTTTTCTAGCATTTCTGTAGAATTATTTTAAGAAATGTTAAGGGAGGTATAGCTAATGTTCTTTTGATCCAGATGGAAGGCTCTGTATTTCAGCAGACATTTCTGTATGTGGAATGGTCAGATAATTTTTTTTTGTAATTTTCCCATCGTTCATTGGAGCCTCCTGGCAAACCTAAGCTGGTCCAAATTATGATCTAGCGATCTGGAGCAGAATCAGGGTGGGAACTGTGAAGCTGCAAAGGAAGTGGGGGTCTGTTAGAACTACTGGAGCCCTGCACACCATTAAGTAACAGCATTGAATAAAATCCTTAGGAATCTTCAGAAACAGGATAAACACAGTTTATAAATCCTCACATCAATATTTTGCATTTAATATCACAATGATGAATCTTTAAGTATCCTTAACAATAAGTCCTGGATTTATACTTGCATGTATAAAGATGCAATGGTAAGTTGTGCATTTTACAATTTTGACATTCATCATACAAATATTTGTGCAGTGAAACAGAGAAATTTCATTGGACACAATTTACCAATCTGAAAGACCGGAGAACTGATAATCCTTCTACATCAGATAGCCCGAGTTCAACCAAACTCAAGGTGACAATAAAGCCATCAAAAATATTCCATCCTTCTTGGAAGTAATAATAGGGATCCATTGCTACCAGTTTAAAAAACATTTCACCTGTGAAGATTCCTGTGAAAACCTGTATGGGAACAAAATGAAAACTTATCAATTTGGAAAAGTGCCAAACCATGGTGTTTAGATTTTCATTCTAACACTGATGTTCAAAGCTACAAGAAATCTAGTGTGTGCTTCTTAACTACTAAAAACGTATTTTCTGGAAGCATATATCTTAGTTCATTCAATTCCACGTTATTAGACTGAGTTCATTTATTTGAAATTAGTTTATTGAAGATGCTCTCAAAGGCTGTACAATTGGCAGCTTGTATGTAATGGTAATTCTTTGAGAACTGTAGAGGTTGCACACTGCACGTTTACTATATGTGCACTAACTCTGCGAAGTACATGATGCACCTGTCCTGTAGAATTAATGCTGCTTAGCTGCCATGGCTCGATAGTATGGAGTAATGGTAATTGTAATTTAGTGAGGCACCAGCCCTCTTTGGTAGAGAAGGAACTTGTAAACTTTGAAAATTGAAGGAATCTGAGTCCAGAATTTGTAGAGGATCATAGCCTTGGAATAAATGACTACATCATATATCTCTGTGTGTATATAAGTGTGTGTGTGGTTTGTACTATAGTAGGTTAATAATAATAATAATAATAATAATAATAATAATAATAATAACACTTTATTTGTACCCCGCTACCATCTCCCCAAGGGACTCGGTGTGGCTTACATGAAGCCAAGCCCATAATACATCAATAAACAGAACATCAATAAAATAAAACATCAATAAACAATCAATGCAATATAAATCATAATCGCATAAACAAAATAGGCAATAAGCAATCAACAGTAACATATAAACATTTAAAACCAAAGGCCAGGCCAAATGTGATAATTAAAATTAAAAAATACTTTCCACCATCATTTACCATAGATATGCTCTTACATATTTCATACTATATTTTGGATTATAACATTTTGTTATTTGAACTTTCAGATAATAATAAGTCTATTTGAAACACCCAGATCCATTTTTGTTGTTCTGTGGACCAGTCATGACATGCCTGACAAGATCATAATATAAAACAATAATAAAGATGAATATTAGGTAGTGCTACTTAGACATTCATGATATTTTAGATATTTTCACCTATAACCTTTAAATTTGGAAAATCAGTTTCCTTCACTGTTGCACTGAATAGTGTTTTGATGTTTGGGAGGAAGGCTGGGAAAAGACTTCAGGATTTTATGAGTCAACAATATCATCTCCTGTATGTGATAACAAATATACTTACCTTCACAACTCAATATAGCACCTTTAATTTTAAATGGAAAAGTGAAACCAAATTAGTGCTGCAGTGCAAATACTGTATATCTCTAGAACAAATATCATATTTAAGTGTACCATGTAAAATGGGTTACTCACCAGATTTCCAACATTGAGGACACCTTCAAATTCTTCTGACATTGGGTAATGCTCCATTGCCATGAACAGTGTGTTTAAAACAATGCAAATTGTAATTGCAAGGTCAACAAACGGATCCATCACAACTATGTTCACATAATGCTTTACTTTCAACCAACATGGACAGCAGTCCCAGATCAAGAAAATGTTTGCAAATTTATACCAACACGGTGGGCACTTCTGCCGGGATTCTTCAAGTTCTGTTAAAAGAAAAATGAGGAAGAACCAGCTGTGCAATGATGATAGTCCTGATAAAGAAAGTGTTACCTCAAACAATGACTAAGACCAGACAAAAAAGGTATTCTCACAAGCTCAGCCTTAAATAAATAATTGAGAAATGCTAGAAGGATGAATCTTATAGAATTTCAAAAGAAAGTTGAGAATATGAAAAGAAGAAAAATGAGAGTTAGTCAAGAATGAACAATTCACAAATTGCTACTTCCATCATCACACATTGAAATAATTTACAGGGGCTACTGAAAACTGCCCCAAGGGCCTGGCTGGATAACATGGGCTACCTGACCCACTAAGGAGAGGTAATTGAGTACCTCCACCCATAATGGTTACTTTCTTCTCCCCTCCCCCCCAAATGTGTTTATGCCTCTGGAGAATGGGTGCGTATCTCTCCCGGAAAAGAAAAAAATCCCTGCGGAGTGGTTTGAGGCCAGGTTTTGTGGATAATTTAATCACCTTCCTGGCCTCAAACCTGTTCCAGACCTATCTTACTTCCAAACCAATTCCAAACCACATTATAGCTCCAGTGTAGATGTGCCCTGACTTATGAACAGAGAATGTGATTTTATGAGCTGATATTTATTATAATTGTAGCATAATCAGCATTTTGAAAGTCATCTTGCTATATATACCTTCCATGGTGTTTGTGATTATGCTAGCTATGCTCATGGCTCTTTCTCTTAAAGTAGGGTCTTCCAAAAAATCCATAGAAACATGAAAAGAACTGGATCTTCTTTTTTTCATTTCTGTCTCTGTGGTTGTGGCCTGCAAAAGGGAAATTGCAATATAAGATCTTTCTGCAAATGGCACTGACATATTTACAGTTTATATGAAGAATGTCTACCGGTAGATTTGAAGGCGTTCATGCATCATGCTTTTATGCTTAAATATTCATGCCAAATGTTTTATAGCTTATTATATTATCAACCTGGTATTTTAAAAACTTTTAGAGGATTTGTAAGAAACATGCTGTACTCATCTTCATAACCTCATTTTTGTGTGTGTATATGTTCCAGGTGACCTTTGGTGAACATCACATGAGTGTTTCAGGTTAGTTTGCTTAAAACTGCCTTGTTTATTCACGTTAGTTTTGTAAAATCCCACTTACCCATACTTTTCAACCTGAACACCTGATTTCAATGGGGTCTATATCTAAGTAACGATGCATAGGATTGCAAACTTAGATAGCATGCCAGGCTTTGCCATATGTTGATTTCCACCCCACCATACTACATTTGAGAGCTATGCTTTGTTTTGTTAACATCCCTATACTCTTCCCTTTTAAAGAGTATAGCTTGCAGCACCAGGACCTTAACTTGTCAGTCATCAGCTGTAATCCCAAATAAATGACTTGTGAGCATAGAGATACAGCATAAATTCCAGGTTATAAAGAAAAAAGTCTGAAAGATGAGGGGGGAAAGTGGCACGTCACTTGCATATCTTTTGCATTTAAGATGGATAGCAAGCTTCTCATTCAAAATTAATGAACAAAAAAGAAAACAAAAATCCAGCATTGTCATGCTTCTTCAAATCAGCACACCTCTTTGATATAGATAGCTAGGAAAACATATTATCTATATGTAATAGCACATACGTGCATGTAGATTTGCAGCTTGAATTGTGAGTGTATCAATGGGGTAACTCAAATAGATTTCATACTTATTTTATCAGCCAAAGATGGAGATAGTATCAGGTTGAAAGATGCATGAAAATGCTTAATATATATGTATGCATATATACATATGTATGTACAAAGTGAAATTTTGGAGTGATTTTACCAATGTTTGGGGAACCAGAACTTCTAGCCACGTTGTTTGTATGTTGTAATGAGGTTCACGAGACAGAATGTAGTCAAATTTATCTACAACCAAGGCAGTGTCAGAATCCATATGATATCAAAAATTATACCTTCCTCTAAGTTGTGGAGTAAGATGAAATTTTATTGCATCTGGCCAGAAAGAATTAATTCATAGCCAGATAAAGTAAGATCCAGCATGTTTTTCTGAATATAAAACACAAAGCAATATATTTTGCACATTCTCCAGATATATTTTCACTGTTTGTTTTGCAAATATTATGGCTTAAACTTTGATTTTGTTAGTATAGAAAAGATATTACAAGATGCAGGAGCATTCACAGCTTGACCAACCAAGGATCATCATTCCCAAGGGATTCCATTCTGTAGATACACTGGCTGGTGCATTAAGAAAAGGCCACCATGCCTGAACTATTTAAAACTTCCTTACATTGTCATCAGTAGCTGGTTTATCTATTATCACCTCTGGCAGAAGCTGTCCAACAGGCGATGTAGGAACAGATGGTCCACCAACCAAGGAAACCACCCCATTGCAATCCACAGTGCTGTGCATCTTCCCATTCACTGGAAACACTGCCAGCATCCTGGATGACCTACTGGCCTGACTAATGTTACTGTTGCGCCGTTCACCATGTCTGCGCGGCACAAAAAGGGAATCTCTTCTGCTATCATTATCTTCAAATGTGCTGTGTTCATCATCAGCAAAGTCATTCTCTGATCCTATATCCTTTGCTCTACCTCTGAAGCTGAAAAGGCTTGTTCTGCTGTTGCGCCTTGGGGAAAACAGGGAGCCACGCATGCTCAGCAAAGACTGCAGGGAGAGAGAAGGCAGCAGTTAGCCAAAATCTTTCAGCCCAACCCTCCCAACATCAGGAGCAAAGAAAACTATTCCCCCATCACACAATCTGCTTTACTCATTCTTTTGCAGACATTTTGATTTTCCATATTCCACAGTAGCTAAGAAGGGTCCACTGCAGTGATTCCCAATCTCTAATTCATCAGATGTTTTGGATTTCAACTCCCAGAAGTCCCAGTTACCTTATCAATTATTAGAAATTCTAGGAGCTGAAGTCCAAAACACCTGAATGATCAGAGTTTGGGAAACACTAGTCTCATATGTTAAATGAGGAGTCCCATATGTTAAATAACAACACTAGCCTAATATGGTAGTGTACTGGAGTTGTTACATAGCTACCACAATTCTTGGAGATACATCAAGCCAGATCATAACAAGCACATAGTAATATGCTAAAATGTTATAGATAGCAGGTGTTTAACCACTCTTACAATGTACTTCTCCTCAATCCCAAAATGGTTTCTAGAACTCCTTCTCAGGTTTTAGAAACACAATTCCTTTTGAACCACCAAATGGTAGGAATGAGTCATTTTTTGCTGTCTCCAGTAAGTACACCAGGTAGTGTATTGTCACTTCCCTAATATGACCAAAGTTTTGCAACAACACACTCTACCATCTTAATTTCTGTGCTCTGTTAATACTGTACCTGATGGGGAGAAGAGTGCTTCCGTTCTAGTGTTAACCTATTCCCTTCAATAGAGAATCGGCAACCTTTTCTCCTGATGCTGTCTTCTGATTCAGATCTGTGAAATTCATCTTCGTCTTTTTCCTCTCCTCCAGATTGCTCTTTTTGTTTTCTTTTTTTCCTTCTATTTCTCCGTTCTTTGGCGCTCTTTGAACTCAACTTTGAAGCTTCAGAAGAACTTTCAGAAAGGCCACCAATTCCTCCTCCAGCACTTGGTTCTTTTGACTCAGCTGATGCTGTTGCTGCTGCTGTCGCCGCTGCCTACCATAAAGCATTAAGAGTTTTGCTTTACTGTCTCTATAAAAAGGACCATTTTCTTAACTTAAATGCAAGAAAATCCACATTTAGAAATAATTGGGTGATGCAACCAAATTGAAATTTCCAACAATCAAAGTTATTCTTCTTGCAGCCATTTTTCCTTGGTCTTTACACTTTCATGTATCTATATTGATGCTTCAATTATTTATTTCACTTATGGAAGTGTTTACTCTGCCTTTCTTCCAAAGCATCTAACAATAGTCTAAATACTAAATGGTCTCCTTCCCCTGGAGGTAATCAAAGGTGGGTCTTCTCCCTTGTGCTGGAACCCACATGTCTGGGACCCCATTCTTATCCCAGTGAGGGATGTCAGGCCATCCCTGTGTTACCCAACAAGGAGGCTATTCTAATTCTCAGTGTTATGGTGCTGAGACATCAGAAGAACAGAATAGCAGGGATGATCATGGTTAAAAATATAAATTTGAAAACACATAAAACCATACAGTTGAAAGAGATGACAAGGGTAATCCCTAATTGCATTACTATTTCTTGGGCAGCTGCTCTGGACAATGAGAGCCAGCTGTTAGGCAGCTGTTTCTGTTGTATATCCAAACATAACCTTAACACTACGCTAAAATAAAGTTAAAATAAAATAAATACCTGAGCTGCTTCTTGTTGCTTTTTCAGCTGCTCAAGCATCTGCTGAAACTCTGCTTCTTTCTGCTCAGCTTCTTCCATTGTGGCTTGATTCTGCTCTTCATAGGCCATGGCAACAACAGCCAGGATCAAGTTGATCAGGTAGAAAGATCCCAAGAAGATCACCAGAACAAAAAAGATCATGTACGTTTTGCCAGCAGCACGTAGGGTCTAGAGAAAAAAAAGTGTATTCACACTGACAGGTAGTATATAAATTTGTAACCAAATTGTCATGTGCAGGACAATACAATTGGCCTTCCTTATCCATGGATTCTGTATCCATGGATTCCAGCATTCACGGCTTAATAATATTTTTAAGAAGTCCAAAATGCAAACCTCAATTTTGTCATTTTATAATAAGGGACACAATTTGATTATGCCATTGCATACAGTGGGGCTTCAGCTTCTACAGATGTTGGGATCTATGGGGATTTTGGAACCAAACCTCAGCAGGCACAAAGAGCCGATTGTACTATGTTTGAGCTTAGATTAGTTCTGCAATTTTTGTTTTCAAATCAATGCGAATAAGATTTTGTTATATAATTCTGTTTTCTCACCAGCTGATAAAGATTTTCCCAGTAGTCCTGAGTCATCAACCGAAAAAGAGACAGGAAAGCCCAGCTAAAGGTATCAAAACTTGTGTAGCCATAGTTTGGATTTCTACCAGCTTTCACACACATATACCCTTCTGGGCATTGACTAAGAGAGAGTGAATGCGTGACAGAGAAAGAAAGAGAGAAGTTAGATTGAATAGCAATAAAACTATTAAATCTATTAAAACTAATAACATTTATGGTGGATACAGTGCAACCCGATGTGTCAAATTATGTCATCTTTAGGAATGTTCTAGGTCTTCAGATAATTCCATGGTTTCCTGTTTCCATGGTCAGTTCAGGGATGTATTCCCTGTGGATATGGGGGTTGTACGGTAAAACATCCAGGCATCCCCTGGGCAACGTCCTTGCAGACGGCCAATTCTCTCACAACAGAAGTGACTTGCAGTTTCTCAAGTCACTCCTGACATGACAAAAAACAAAAAAACAAAAAACAAAACCATTAATGTAATATTAGTAATACTGGGAAAAACAGTGGATAAATTTATAGCTAGAATTTATTGGATAAGGGAATGGTAAACCCAACCTTCATTTTCACACATCTTTATTCTTGGAATCCTTAAACATCTGCTGCTTCCATTTGAACCCTACCTCAGGGCAGCTGCCTCAGCATGAAATGCTCCTATGAGCCATTTTTATTTCAATACGTTTTATTAATTATAAAAATCAAATTATTACAAAATAAATCTAAATCTCAGAAACCCAATCCAATACCCTCCTCAAGTTAAGCATATGTTCTACGAGTTTGGGTCATGTGATTTTAATATTTTTTTTATAATTAGGTGCTTTTAATTTTTATTCTTCATGTTTAAATGTCCTATTATCTTATGGAAAATACAATACAACTGTTTGGCTTGCTCCTGACATGATAAATAATCATTATGGAGAATTTGTCCTATTTTATGTGTGGTCATATGTTGTTTGATTTATGATTTAGTTTATGCATGCAAGGCATTGAATTTTGCCATTATTTTTGTAAACTGCTTTGAGTTCTTCCAGGGTGAGAAAAGCAGTATATAAATACTGCAAATAAATAAATAAATAAATAAATAAATAATATGAATCATGTATAAATTACAGAGAAGGAAAAGATAAAACCCGTTCTTGCTTTATATTTGCTCTGAAAGCTTATTAGTGGAAGAGGGACTTACCCGGCATCAGAACTGTTGCCACAAAGCAAAGCATCATTTTGTCCTTCCAAAAAGTAAAAATTACCTGTATGGGGAAAATGGTTTGAAAATATTAAAATAAAATAATTCAGTAATGTTTGAATAATATAACACTTTTGCTTTTCCTCTTATTTCACACTTTTACTAATAATTGTTGCATAACTCTTTGAACCAATATTGGAGAGCAATGATGATTACAAGATTCCTCATTGTCTTTTGATTGGGAGGCAAATATTCATTTGCCAGACTAAAAACAGAAAGTTTTTAAAGAATGGGCTAAAAGGTGTCACATTGTTTTAAATGTAACTATTTTGAATAGTTTTTTTAAAAAAAACCAAAAACCTTAAAATTCCATTTTATTAAGTGTGAATTGTGTTTATACGGTGATTAGTTTAATTTCATTTTAATGTCCACTTTTTCTGTTTTTAGTTGTATGGTTCTTTTTACATTACCACCCTTAGTCCTAAATAGCAACAAAAATTCAACATGTGAAAACACTTTAAAGTTTAAGGCTTAAACCATCTTGGTTACTGCTGAATTCAAAAGTCAGTGTGGATTCTGGTCTTTTTTTCCCTTATCATCAACATGGATAGTTTTGTCTTTTCTTGTTCAAGAGGGTCACAGTTTACAAATTGGAAATAATATTTTCTCCTGAATTTCAAGTAAGTAGGTTACTGTTTCTACTTTCCACAGAACTGGAATAGTAACTGCAAAATAAGGAAAAATTAAAAGAACCTTCAATTGTAGAGGACACAATTTCACTCCAAATATCTAAGCTAAAATAAACTAAACAATATATTTCTCCATATGACAAGTAAAACCAGACTGATAGATATTTTATCCCTTGAAGCATGACATGGAAGCTGGAACCATTCTTCAAGGAAATGCCTTTCAGTTCTCTGCAAATGTTATGGTGTCATGGATAAACATTTTGAAATAGAGGACCAGTGACTTTAACTGTAGTGATGGTAGAGGGCCACCTCCAAATATAAAATATCTAAGAGCAAAACCTATAGATGACATAAGTGTCTATTGAATAATAGAAAAACAGAACACAAGGTAATCCAGTCCAAATTCCTGCCATGAAGGAATAAAAACATTCCTGATATCCAGCCTCTGTTTAGACCTCCAAAGAAAGAGACCCACTCCTATTTAAACTTCCAAAGAAAGAGACTTCAAGGCAGCATAGTCCACAATCAAAAAACTCTTTTTCCAGCAGTTCATTGTTCTGTATCCCAATCTCTGGAATGGCAAAAAACAAGCTGACTCCATCTTTTCTAATATCTAAACATTGCTATCATGATCCATCTTGACTTCTTCTCCAGACAATGTATATCAAGCTTTCTAAACTGCTCATTATAGGACATGATTTTAGTTGCCCTTCTCTGGACATTTTCCAGCTTCTAAATATCTTTCTTGAATTGTGAATTTTGCTGCCCAGAATTAGACACAGTATTTATTTATTTCATACATTTGTATCCAGTCCTTCTCACCCTCCCCCCCCCCCCAGGGGTGGGGGTGAGGGACTCAGGGCAGCCTCACAACTGCCAACCATTAGATGCCAAACAGAAACAATTATAATAACAATTTACATTTAAAACAAATAGTTAAAACATCAAATATAAAACATCCAATTAAAAATTACACAAGTTCAAGTCATATTCCAGGTGAGGTCTAACCAAAGCAGAATTTCTTTGTCTATATCATAAAGAAATCTTAACACTTTGTGGAAGAAGTCCTGTTAATGTAGGTGAAGGTCAGGCAACTGATTTTCCTGAGATGTTTTGGTTTACATTGCATTTCAGCTTTAGCAATTATAACTAAATTATGGGAGCTGGGGTTCAAAAATATCTCGTGACCCACAGATGTCCATGGCTTCAGCAAATAAAGTAGAGAGAAGTCATTAGTCAAAGTCTGACTAACATGAAATAATCAAACAATGTTATTGGTGTGATCAAACAGCAAATTGACAGTAATTTCCCCTTATTTTGCAGTTACTATGTGAATATTCCTTGCCCAAGAAAGCCCTATGAAATACATGGGTTTACCATAAGTCAACAGGTGAGTTGATGGCATGTGCGCGCACACACAGAGAGAGTATTAAATACAATTTCCACTCATACGTTTTATCTGAATTGATTGTGCATTTTTATTTTCATGTCTTCATTACATATGGTATTACTGTTTGATTCAAATTTACACTGCAATCTTTATAGCAGTAAAAAAATACCTAAAATAAATTTGTAAATAAAAATTAAATATATAGAATTTCACTGCCACATAAACATAATTAAATCCCAATTAGAATACACCAAAAACTTAGAAAGTCAACACAGATCAGGTCTGTTGATTCAGTGGGCCAATTTTATTTGGGACTGGCTAACAGATTTCAACCAAATTAGTTCTCCAAAAAGTAACAATATAAAATTACATTCTTACTTTCATCCCGTATATATTCGTTCCAGTCAAAGGGCGTAATGTTAAATGTACCATTTTCTCCAAATGTGTTATTAAAGAGGGAAGTGTCATTTGATTCTGTTGAATTAGCTGGATTCCAATACAAGCATTTGTGCCTCAAGTTGCCCATAAACAGCTGGAGCCCTATTAGAGCAAATACACTCAGACAAAATACAGTCAGAATCATTACATCTGACAGCTTCTTCACAGATTGAATGAGGGCTCCCACAATTGTCTTCAGGCCTGCAAGCAGAAGAGCACTGTTAGAATGATGACAAGTACGCATTTTACAAACTCATCATAATGCTGTAGTAGTCTTTAAAAAATGATTAACTAACGTCATGCAAAAGCCCCAATAAATGACATTGCTATTTTTAAACTAATGCTTTATTTAAAAAGAAAGAAAGAAAGAAAAAGTCATTCGTGAAGATGTATTTTGTGAAGATGAGGTCACCAGCAGCTTATGTTGACTGAACTTTGGATGAAAATGTACTACATAGTTCCAAAAAAATAAAAAACAAAAACAAAAACAAATTCCCAGCTTGTTTTAAGGCTAAAACAAGTGACTTTGTTAACATGCGTTTCCTTAACTTCACACGGAGCAAACCCTCCCATCACACCAAGACTAAAAAATATATATATTGTAGGAAATGCTACTGAAAACAGTTAAGTTAGGTACAAATAGACACACCATAATTTTTCAAATATAAATTGCCAACACATCTTATCCCAGGCCTCCAAAGGCATCAATTTTATAACACATTGAAAGTGAATGTAAATTAAGATACTATAGTTTAATGCTAAGGAACTGCAGATGGTTTGGAAAAATAGTAAATTTCCCATGCAATGTCCATGCTGCTTTTGTCTTTTATCTTATTGTTGTCTGGTAAATAATGTTTCAGTTATTTCAGCACATTCAGTGGCAATTCAGATATTAGTGTCATCAAAAATACCAAGAACAACTGTAATTGTATATTGCGCAAGTTTTAAAAAAAACTAAGCATGGGTAAAAAAAAATCACAGTTATGATTGTGCTTGTGTCACAGCCTGACCTCAGAGCTTGACATTGTATGAAGCAAATAACACACGCCGTGTACTCTACTGTCTCATGCAACGATGTGTTAAACGCAAAGGCTGATTTCAAAAGTAGCAAGCAAATGGCAAAAAGCAAAGGATCATAACGTTCATTTCTGTTCAAAACATGATTCCTGCTTTTTTCAGCTTTTTTCCCCTTTTTGAATGAATGAGCAAGCAACAAGGCTTATGGTGAAGAAATGTGGTTGGAATTTCCATGGAGTCTGAGTCAGCCTCTGTGTTTAACCTCGCTCTCACCTGGGATGACTGATATTGTTTTCAATGCTCGGAGAACTCTGAATGTTCTCAACGCTGAGACATTGCCCAGGTCCACAAACTCTGTCACATATCTGTAATAGGGGAGTCCACACACAAACACAATGACAGGATAAAAAGGAACAGTTGGGAGGTACAAGGGACCTAACACCTTACACCATTTACTTCTTACCTGGGATTACAGAAATAGTTTTCAAAGCTCTCAATACTCTGAAAGTTCGAAGAGCTGAAACATTGCCTAGGTTTACAAATTCTGTTACATACCTGTAGAATTAAATCACAGTTATTCAGAATTGAGGCAGACGGCATGCTACTTACTTGAGGGTCTTCATGAAGACCCCATGGGTAACTTTCTTGGGAAATTAAAGAGCAACAGTCAGATGTTTACCTTTTTTCTGCAGTTTGCGTTTCATTAAGATCTTTCAATTGTGGTTGGTCAATTTACATTTAACTGTCGGACAAATGAACCATAGTGACTCTTATTGTGAAATCCTAACTTGCAAATTAAAGTAATTTATGCAGAGAATATGAGAACGCTGTTGCTTTTCTGGAGGAAGGGTGAAAGTACTGGATCTGATATTAGCTTCTAGGTCAGTAACTGTACTACTAGAGAACCATGAGCTCCCCATTACTAAGTTCAATTCATCATTCACTTTTACTACTAGTACAAAATATATTGATTCAGAAAGAAAGAAAGAAAGAAGAAAAGAAAGAAGAAAAGAAAGGAAAGAACTCCATAATAATAATGAAGCTAGGTAAGAATGACCAGCAAAGCAACTTCTTTCTCCATGCAAATTTTCCTGAAGACAATCTTGATTCATTCTATGAACATAACTACAGGTACGAATATAACAGAGGAACTAAACCCATGCTCCTGTCATTTAACTCCTGGACACAGGTGAAGTTATGCTGTCAGAATAATAAGCTAGTAGGAAAATGCAGGATAAACATGCTATCTAACATGATGGATCATTAAACAATCATATCCAGCCCTTTCTCATAGATGGATCTGACACTTCACATCCTTAAATGATAAAAAGCAAATATATTTAATAGTCTTGTGTGCTATTAAATTATTGCAACTTGAAAGGGATGGGGAGAGAGGAACATGAAACTTACGCAAATGTAATGACAGTGAAATCAAGCCAGTTCCAGGGATCCCGGAGGAAGGTGAAATCATCTATACAAAAGCCCCTTGCAATTATTTTTATAAGTGATTCAAATGTATATATTCCTGTGAATGTATACCTGAGGAAATCAGATAAAATAACCATGGTTAATTCAAATAGTCACTTAAAAAGAAAAGGAAAACCTAAAAGGAGCACGAAAACTTAAATGTCTGCACATGTATCCCTGAAGCCTATATACATTGGGATCTATATCAGACTTAAAACTATTATGTTTGAGAGTAGCTGCTCCTTTTCCTTTATGCTATTGAATTGCGCTGTGTACTGGGGAGTTTAGTAAAATTGTATACTATATGCTCTTTGGTTATTATACCTTTACTTACATAGTTTGCTTTGTGTTTGTTCAGATACCCAACAAGTATTCTGAGATATTGTATAGCAGTGGTTCTCAACCTGTGGGTCCCCAGGTGTTTTGGCCTACAACTCCCAGAAATCTCAGCTAGTTTACCAGCTGTTATGATTTCTGTGAGTTGAAGGCCAAAACATCTGGGGACCCACAGGTTGAGAACCACTGCTGTATAGTAACACTTCATGGGTTGCCAAATCCATGAAGATTTGGCAGTACCCAAGATGGCAATGGCCTTCCTCACAAAATCATTGCTTAGTTTTTGTATGCTTTTCTCCTTCTGAAGTGGCTAAAATGTCTTTCCTGGGCTAAAATGTTTCCCTTAAAATTTTGCATTACATTTTAGTTTTAAAAAACCCAAAACATCTGGGACGACTTATATGTGGGGCAATGTAAGTACTATTCCTCAACTCTTACCAGAAAAGGAAACCATCCCCTTCTCTGAGTAAAGTGGAGAAATGTGAGAGCTTTGTCCATCCCAGGAGAACAAAAAAGAACTATTCTTCTCCTCTTTCTGCCATGGGAAAATGGCAAAGGTGGCCAGGGGCAGCTGGCCTGCTGATGTGGTGCTTGGGATTTCTGCTCTCTATGGAATGACCCAGAGATCATATCAAAATGTATAATTTTAGCTCCAAAACCTGTCCTCGATTTATACATGAGATCGACTTATGAGTACAGACAACAGATATTCAATGTATTGTTGAAGGTTTTCATGGCCGGAATCACTGAGTTGTTGTAGGTTTTTCGGGCTGTATGGCCATGTTCTAGAAGCACTCTCTCTTGACGTTTCGCCTGCATCTATGGCTCTATTTACAACAACAAGGTTTCCGTAACACTAATAAACAAATACCTGGTAAGGTTGTTGTAGGTTTTTCGGGTTTTAAAAATGTATACATTTTTAGGGGGGTGCACATTTAAAAAACAACCCAGAAATATAAGATGTTAAACTTTGGGAATACCCTGTATATTGTAATATAATGATGATAGAATACATTCCATAAATAGACATCCAAACATGCATTTGAAGAATAATATTCAACTTACTCTACATTCTTTGTCCACTCAGGAGGGTTACTTAAGGTCATAAATACGCAGTTGGTCAAAATAGTGCACATAATGAGCATGCTGAATAATGTAGGTTATATCATTAAGGAATATACAGTGAGAAATTGTACTATTACTGTTGAATAGAAAAATGAATAGATGCTCTGTTATGTAAGAACATTTGCTAATCTAAATAAATGTATGAGATGATATATTAAATTATTTGTTTTTAGAAAGTCAGGACTATAGCAGGTCCTGGCAAATGTTTAGACTTAAAATCTAAAACCTTCATGAAGAAATAACAAATCTTTACTTTTTGTACTTGCATTATGGATTCTAAACAAGGGAATATATTGTTTTTATAGTGTCCCAACATTTGTTTTGGACTTCAACAGCTAGAAATCCCAGGCAGTTTACTAGCTGTTAGGAATCATCGAATTGTGCCTTTTTTGTAAGCCGCCCTGAGTCCCCCCTCAGGGGTTGAGAAGGGCGGGGTAGAAGTACACGAAATAAATAAATAAATAAATAATCATGGGAGCTGAAAACACCTCGAGAACCAAAGGTGGGAACTACTGTGAATCTTTGCTAATATTTTCAATATTTGATGGAGAAAATGCAGAACATCAAGATCTTGTCTCATGGAGTTGCTAGAGTTGAAATAGCAAGATTCTTGAAAAATAACACTGGCTCTAGCTGAAAAAATAGACAACACTCAAATATGGAATCCGTCTATATTCAAAGTTTCGAATCAAGGCCTATTGTTATCATACAGAAACTTAAGAGTGTTTAATATAGGGTCTATCATGAAGTGTGAGCTGCATGAATGTGACAGTAGTTATACAATGTTAATCTAAATTATACATTAAAATTTTTAAATGCTAATAAAATGAACTTCAAATACAGATACTTGTAGAGCCACTATTACTTTTAAAAAATGCTATAAATCTTCTTTATGTTCTCAGTAAAGTACTGAAAAGGTCCTGACATCTGATTCCTTCTGCTGCTTTCTCATGTTCTACAGTGTACAAGCTATTGCAATGGCAGCAAGGTAGAATGAAGGAAAGTTTGTTTTGTATTGCAGACCATCTTTTAGCATTCAAGTGTTCTCCACAAAAATACATTATGACCTATGGAACTGGTATACATGATTTCACTTATCAATCGTTTCACTTATTTATTTGGGACTTTCTGTGTGAGCTAGACCTTGAAATCTCTAGGGCAGTGGTTCTCAACCATTGAGTTCCCAGGTTTTTGGCCTACAACTCATAGAAACCCCAGCCAGTTTACCAGCTGTTAGGATTTCAGGGAGTTGAAGGCCAAAACATCTGGGGACCCACAGGTTGAAAACCACTGCTCTAGGGCTCCTTCCACACAGGTGAATAAAATCCCACATTATCTGCTTTGAACTGGAATATATGGCAGTGTGGACTAAGATAACCCAGTTCAAAGCAGATACTGTGGGATTTTCTGCCTTGATATTCTGGGTTATATGGCTGTGTGGAAAGGCCCTAGGTCAAAGTTTCTCCAGATGTTTTGAGCATCAGTTCTAACAATTCCTAACAGCTGGTAAGCTGGCTGAGATTTCATTTCTACCATTGAAAACAGTAAGTTTGCTATTATCTGCAGTTTCATATATTCATACAAAGTCCAGAAGCATGGCTATGAGTGGTCATGCTATACACACAAAATAAGTATTTAAGTTACTTTTGATATGAAAGCACAGAGTTCTTTTGAAATGTTTCTACTAATTACTAACAATAATCAAAACTTTTGTGACATCAGAGTTATAGTGGCATTTTTTCCTTCAAAAAAAGAGATAGAATCATAGAATCATAGAATCAAAGAGTTGGAAGAGACCTCATGGGCCATCCAGTCCAACCCCCTGCCAAGAAGCAGGAATATTGCATTCAAATCACCCCTGACAAATGGCCATCCAGCCTCTGCTTAAAAGCTTCCAAAGAAGGAGCCTCCACCACACTCCGGGGCAGAGAGTTCCACTGCTGAACGGCTCTCACAGTCAGGAAGTTCTTCCTAATGTTCAGATGGAATCTCCTCTCTTGTAGTACGAAGCCATTATTCCGCATCCTAGTCTCCAAGGAAGCAGAAAACAAGCTTGCTCCCTCCTCCCTGTGGCTTCCTTTCACATATTTATACATGGCTATCATATCTCCTCTCAGCCTTCTCTTCTTCAGGCTAAACATGCCCAGCGCTTTAAGCCGCTCCTCATAGGGCTTGTTCTCCAGACCCTCTATTATTTTAGTCGCCCTCCTCTGGACACATTCCAGCTTGTCAATATCTCTCTTGAATTGTGGTGCCCAGAATTGGACACAATATTCCAGGTGTGGTCTAACCAAAGCAGAATAGAGGGGTAGCATTACTTCCTTAGATCTAGACACTATGCTCCTATTGATGCAGGCCAAAATCCCATTGGCTTTTTTTGCCGCCACATCACATTGTTGGCTCATGTTTAACTTGTTGTCCACGAGGACTCCAAGATCTTTTTCACACGTACTGCTCTCGAGCCAGGCATCCCCCATTCTGTATCTTTGCATTTCATTTTTCTGCCAAAGTGGAGTATCTTGCATTTGTCACTGTTGAACTTCATTTTGTTAGTTTTGGCCCATTTCTCTAATCTGTCCAGATCGTTTTGAATTCTGCTACTGTCCTCTGGACTATTGGCTATCCCTCCCAATTTGGTGTCGTCTGCAAACTTGATGATCATGCCTTCTAGCCCTTCATCTAAGTCATTAATAAAGATGTTGAACAGGACCGGGCCCAGGACAGAGACCCTGCGGCACTCCACTTGTCACTTCTTTCCAAGATGAAGAGGAAGCATTGGTGAGCACCCTTTGGGTTCATCATTTAACCAATTACTGATCCACCTAACCGTAGTTTTGCCTAGCCCACATTGGACAAGTTTCCTTGCCAGAAGGTCATGGGGGACCTTGTCGAAGGCCTTACTGAAATCCAGGTACGCTACATCCACAGCATTCCCCGCATCTACCCAGCTTGTAACTCTATCGAAGAAAGAGATCAGATTAATCTGGCATGACTTGTTTTTGATAAATCCATGTTGACTATTAGCGATGACTGCATTTGTTTCTAAGTGTTTGCAGACCGCTTCCTTAACAATCTTTTCCAGAATCTTGCCCGGTATCGACGTGAGGCTGACCGGACGGTAGTTGTTTGGGTCATCCTTTTTTCCCTTCTTGAAGATTGGGACCACATTGGCCCTCCTCCAATCTGCTGGAACTTCTCCCGTTCTCCAAGAACTCTCAAAGATGGTTGCCAATGGTTCCGAAATGACTTCCGCTAGTTCCTTCAATACTCTGGGGTGTAGTTGATCTGGCCCTGGGGACTTGAACTCATTAAGAGCGGCCAGGTATTCCTGGACGACTTCTTTCCCAATTTGGGGTTGGATGTCCTCCAATCCCTCATCCACTCCATCTTGCTGAGGTTGAAGACTCTCTTTTTGTGAGAAGACCGAGGCAAAGAAGGCATTAAGTAGTTCTGCCTTTTCCCTATCCCCTGTCAGCATTGCCCCATCTGCTCCTCGAAGAGGTCCTATCGCCTCCTTGTTTTTCCTTTTTCTACTGACATAAGAATAGAAGCCCTTTTTATTGTTTTTAATGTCCCTGGCAAGTCTGAGCTCGTTTTTTGCTTTAGCCTTGCGGACCTTTTCCCTACAGGTGTTGGCTATTTGTTTGAATTCTTCTTTGGTGATTTCTCCCTTTTTCCACTTCTTGTGCATGTCTCTTTTGTGTCTTAGCACAGTTAGAAGTTCTTTGGACACCCATTCTGGCTTCTTTGCACTTGTCCTATTTTTTCTCTTTGTTGGCACGTTTGCAATTGCGCCTTGAGTATTTCACTCTTGAGAAATTCCCATCCATCCGTAACTCCCTTGTCTTTTAGTATCTGTGTCACGGAATGCTGCTCAGCGTTTCCTTCATTTTTTGGAAATCAGCTCTCCTAAAGTCCAAAATGCGGGTTTGACTTGTCTTAGTTTCGGCCTTCCTTTGTACCTCAAATTGCAGGAGCACATGGTCACTTGCCCCTAAGGATCCTACCACTTTGACCGCATCGATCAGGTCCTCCGCATTTGTTAGGATGAGATCAAGAGTAGCCAATCCCCTTGTTGCCTCTTCTACCTTCTGGACCATGAAATTGTCTGCAAGGCAAGCGAGGAATTTGTTGGACCTTGTACTCTTGGCCGAGTTTGTTTTCCAGCAAATATCGGGATAGTTGAAATCGCCCATGACTACTACATCTCTTTTCTGTGCCTGTTTGGTCAACTGTTGGCAGAAGACTTCATCAAGTTCTTCCTCTTGGCTTGGGGGTCTGTAGTAGACGCCTACAACGACATCTTTTTGAGTCCCAGTTCCCTTGATTCTTATCCAGATGATTTCAAGCTGGTTTCCCAGATTGCTGTCTTGAATCTCTTCTGCAGCATAAGAGTTTTTGACATATAAGGCTACTCCGCCTCCTCTCCCCTTTGTTCGGTTTCTGTGAAAGAGGTTATACCCCTCAATATCTACATTCCAGCGATAGGAGTCATCCCACCAGGTTTCAGTGATCCCTATGATATCATATTTGAGGTGTTGTGCTAAAAGTTGGAGTTCGTCTTGTTTATTTCCCATGCTCTGTGCATTAGTGTAAAGACATGTGAGCCCCTGAGATCTTCCCTTGAGCTGTTTAATTGGGATTATTGTGCTTTTGGTACTTGGTCCTTGTTGTGTTTGTGCAGCCCTCCATTTAGCCTTCTGGCGATTCCCAGACATTATGGGTAAAGTAGTGTTCGCAAGGCTGTTGTCCCCCTCCCCCGGTGGACCTAGTTTAAAGTGCGTCTAATGAGGTTTGCGAGTCTGTGAGCAAAAAGGTGTTTTCCTACTTGTGTGAGATGCACCCCATCCCTTGCCAGTAGGCCATCCTCCTGGAAAAGCAGGCCATGGTCGAGGAAGCCAAAGCGTTCCTCCTGACACCATTTTCTAAGCCAGTTATTGACCTGTTCTATTTTTCTGGCTCTTGTGGGTCCGTGTCTTACAACAGGGAGGAGGGATGAAAAGACCACCTGTACATTACATTCTTTTAGCTTTGCTCCTAGAGCTCGAAAATCATTTGTGATCTTTTGAAACGTATGCCTTGCAGTATCATTGGTTCCTACATGAATCAACATGAGGGGAGGACGGTGATAGGGCTTGAGGAGCCTGGTGAGCCTCTGAGTGATATGGTGTATTTTTGCCCCCGGTAGGCAGCATATTTCTCGAGCCATCCCATCTGGTCTGGAAATGACAGCTTCCGTTCCTCTAAGGAGGGAGTCGCCTTTTGTGCAATGTAGTGTGTAGGTCTCCAGAAAAGTGATCCTGTTGGTGTGAATTGTGTAGGTGAAAAGTGTTGTCCTCCTCCTCGACATCCCCGGTGCATTCGTCAAGGACAATCCATTGAGATTCGTCCAAGAGCCTATGGTTCTCCTGTATGTGTTCCTGTTGCTCCTGGTCTATGGTTGGGGATGGTACACCTGCACGATTGTGCAAGTGTGAATGTTGTGAAGTGTTGTCCCAGTCAGGGCTATCCCCTGCACACTGATCAAGGATGAGCCACTGATCAGTATCTAAGCCATTCTGGTCTTCCCCAATATGTTGTGTTTCTTGGTCAGGTGATAGTTGTGTGAGAATTTGGAATCTATTGTGTAATTGCAGCTGAGCGGAAGTATTCTGAGGAGGCTTCCGGGTCCTATGTGTCCTTCTAAGGGTGACATTTCTCCAAGCCTGAGGGTTGTCCACATCTGAGGTGCTGTTCTGTTGAGCCTCCCCGTAATGTTGGTGTGATATGGGCTGCGTGTCTAGGACAGTGATGACCAAGCTCTACCAATGAATTATAAATGTCCCCAAAGCATTCCAGTGGCACACACAACCACAACAACTAAAGTTGAAACTTTTGAAAATGTGTGTGTTTGGGGGGTGGGGGTTTGTTTTGAAGCCCTACAAGGCAAATACCCCATAAACAGTAGTAGTTGGAAATGTAAAGCTCTCATGACAGCATTAGATTTGAAAACAAAGCTTCATACCATATAAAATGACTCCCAGCAGTTTTCTAGGGAAAAGTAAAAGATAATAAACATGTCCAATATAGTATTTTAACAGCAATATATTTTGAAGAGAAAAAAATGTGATATACATATGTGCAGATGCTGTTCCATACTGGTGCTTTCTATATAATTGCAAACTCTAACAATCAATGTTACCTCCTCCACCATTTCTTAATTACCGCTCCTTAAATAACTCTTAATTTCTTTGGGTTAGCCAATAATTCTTCAGTATCTGTGTGGTTACGTAACATTAAAAACTCAAGAGGCATACATTTATGAACCAGAAGGGGAAAGTGATTGCCTACAGTTGGATAGGATTTCTTTCACACTGCAGCTGTAATTAATGCCAAAAATTAATTGTTTATCCACAAACAACACAGAAGATGGCCACATGATGGCACCAGAAACACTGGAATGTCCAAAGCAAGTACACCTTGGTCTGCAAAACTTTTTTTCCTCTTCAGTCTAATTAAAATATTCATGTTGTTTTATGAATGAAAACATTTCTGTCAAGAGAATCAGCGTGTGCATGTGCATATCACTCTACTAGCAGAAGCATGCTATAGCAATGCTGGATTCTAATAAAAATGAAACAATCGTTTTCTTAATGTCTTTTTTGTCCTATTAGTAAATCTCATAGTAAAATTTCATTAAAATGCAATGTCCATCTTATTTTATGATTTTCTTAATTCTCCAAAATAGGAATTCAGAGTGGCTGTGGAGCTCCAAAAAAGGCTTATATGGCAGTAAAGTTTGAGAATCCCTTATTTTGAATCCTGATATCTGAAATACTCTAAAATCATCCACATGGGTGGTTGAGATACCTCTTTGCTTTTTAATGGTTCAATGTAAACAAACCTATTATATGTGTTGCCGAAGGCTTTAATGGTTGGAATCACTAGGTTGCTGTGAGTTTTCTGGTCTGTATGGCCATGTTCCTGAAGAATTCTCTCTTGACGTTTCAGCCACAGCTATGGCAAGCATCATCAGAGGCTGAGAGGTCTGTTGGAAACTAGGCAAGTGAGATTTATAGTGAGGGTGGAATTTCCAGGGTGAGAGAAAGAACTTTTTCGGCTGGAGGCAGGTGTGAATGTTGCAATATGGTGTATAAACCTATTATACAGCATATTATTAAAATATTGTATAAAATGACCTTCAGGTATGTGTATAAGGTGTACATTTAACATACATGAATTTTGTGTTTAGACTTGTGCCCCATATTTCACTCTGTATATTACAAATATTCCAAAATCTGGAAAAATCCAAATTCCAAAACCATTCTGGTTCCAAGCATTTTGGATAAGGATGTTCAAGCTGGAGTAAATCCTTATTTGTACACTACTTCCCCCCCCCCCCTCCCCAGATCTGGGACTCAAGGCCTGTCACACATCAAAAAGATAGCGAAAAGTCAGCATTGAAACCATATTAAACTATTAACTATATTAAAAACATTCACTCTATAAAAGATTTTAAAAGGTTAAACAGTGCAATTTTTAAATGTTACAGCAAGTACTTATTTTTGGACTCCGCATGCATATTAGAACATGGAAAGAAAATGACACCATTTAACAAAAATTGAAAAAAAGTTCCTGAATTGAAAGTGTTATTTCCTGTTTAATTGTGCAGTACTTACCTTGAAAGTAGCTGATATACTCTAGAAACTTTGTTTTTGTTGCTGCCACAATCTATGTTGAATTGGTTGAGACTCTATGAGCTATAGCAAAATGAGCTGCAGGATGTTCCGCAAAAACAAAGTTTAATAAACTTTTTCTGATAGAACTGATTAGGGAATGACATGTATAACCAAGGAACAAAAATCGTATTATACAGTGCAATGTATGGGAAGAATACTCCATACATTTATTTCTGTAATCTATCTCATAAATTTCTAAACCATATGGTTATGTCACCATTTATGACTATTTGTAGAATGGTTGTTCCAGAAACTGTAGAAAATGATAGTGGTGATGAAGATGATGACGTTTATAATAAAAGGTGCTATAAGAAACACTTAGAGAATTAAGGTCAAATGATGTTTGTAAACTAAAGCTATTAAATAACAAAGCTATTTCAAACCAATCACATGAAAAGGATATGAATGTACCAAAATCTTAATAGCTATTCTTCTAAGAAGGTTGAAAGGACTTATTATGTATAGGGCAGGGGTGGCACTGAATCGGAAAATTGCTTTCCCTCTGTTCAATACTATAAAAGTCTGGAAGACAAAAAAAGAAAACATGAAAGCAGTTTAAGCACTTTTCCAGTTTTCCAGTTCTACATTCATTTTGAGTGAATTTTTTTCATGATAAAAATACCACAATTTTATTAATAGACTTTTGGTAAAAGAGAAAACCTTATTGACATTACTTACCTCAAAATGCAGTACAGTATTTGCCAATTACAAGGATACATTGTTGCTTCAAGGGTGTTCTTGCATCCAGCAAAAAAGATGGTACATGTGTAATTTGTTGTCAAAGGCTTTCATGGCCAGAATCACTGGGTTGCTGTGAGTTTTTCAGGCTGTATGGCCATGTTCCAAATGTCAAGAGAGAATGATTCTGGAACATGGTCATACAGCCTGTAAAACACACAGCAACCCAAGAACAAAAACAACAACACTTTATTTATATTCCGCCCTATCTCCACAAGGGGACTCAGGGTGGATCACAGTACACATACATGGCAAACATTCAGTACCGTTTTTGGATAGACAATACAGAGACAGACAGAACAGAAAGGAGGTATGTTGTGTTGAAGTTGCCGGGCATTTTCTGATTTTTTTTCTTTACATGTGTACCTTCACAGTAATGATAGTATCAAAATATTTTGTCATTTGAAAGAGATTATGAAAACAGAATAGGGCATTGCCCATCCAACTCAAAAAATATTATGCTTCTTCCCAATCAGTATTTCTTTCTTTTTTCATTATTAAAATTTTACTTGCAGAATTTAATAGCAGTCATTAATCAAGTAACTGTCTTGCTGTGGTTACTGCTTATTACCTTGAGTACATTAGGTGGAAGTGCTAAAATTCATAATGACCAAACTTGGTATATAAATTTGTCATATGGTTTTACTGTATAAAAAGTGATTTCTCTCCTTAGGTACTCTTCTCCAGCTTAATCCAGAACTGAGATTTGATGCACATGTAGCCAGGATTCAGTGGACCTATCACTGACATGCATCTGCTTTGCAGGACTGGTCCAATTAATTTGAGGAAAATATTTGATTATGATAAACTCATTAACTAGACTATCTTGATCAAACAAGTTTTCATTTTTTGTGAACATCTCTGCTGGGATCACTTTCTTACTTCTTCACAATATTCTGCTTGTTGTTGCTGTCTTTCACTTTGAATCTGAGGGCCCGTCCAGACAGTACCTTTATTGCAGTGTCGAATTAATTCGCCATAAACCAGGAGAACCCTGGTTTGTAGCGAATTAATTAGATAGTGGGTTTATTCTGCACCCTCTTGGAAGGCGTGGGATAAACTCACTATTTCCGGTTCTGCACTGCAGAATACTGCAGCCCAGACAGCATTCCCACAATTTACCGGGCTAAATAAGCCTGGTAAACTGTGGGAATACCCACCCGCTCCCTACCCTGCTTTCCTGGCACATCATTTTTACATGCCGGGAGAGCTGGCTGAAGCTTGTAATGGAGGCTGGGTAAGTTTTCATTACTTTTCTAAGGAGTCTGTATTGAGTTCTTCCAATATAAGATGGAGAGCTTAAAAGAGGAGTGTAAAAGAGGTCCTTCTAAGTGGGCATGTCCAGCTCTGAACTTTTCTTCTTAGGGAGACCCAGTGAGCCCATTTCAGCTCACAAAATCTTCTTCCAGCTCACAAAAATCATGACATTCCAGGCAAAGTTTCAGCCCCATGTGTAGATTATGATATCCCATGCTTGCTTCCATTTTAGATGGTGGATGTTTTTATTTCTTTTTTGCTTTTATCTTTTTTTTAGAATGCATTTTATAGGAATTGAATGTTAAGCTGTTTGGCAGGGTATAAATTTAAGTAGCAACTGAATAGTAATAAATAAATAAATCAGCCCTGAAGACCTGTCTGTTTTAGCTTTCTCAAGTTTTTTTCTGGACATGTCTTTCAAAGCATTAGAAAGCAGAATCCTCTTTGAAGAATGGAAATAATTGGATATACACACTCCAGTGAATGGTTTTGAAGTAGCAGGGAGCAAAAGCTTCATGTAGCTATAGCTGCATGGTGAACGATTATGTAACTCCAGATGTTTTGTAAAACTGGCTATGTTATCAGGAGACGGTGATGAAGAGAAATCTATTTGTTGGAATAACAATAATAATAATAATAATAATAATAATAATAATAATAATAATAACAACAGTAATAATATAAACACATGGAAACCGTACCTAAAACAAGTAACTGCATTAGAAAATGTGTGATTTCTTGTATATGAACTGTGATCTGAACATGAACCTCCTGAAACATCTATTCTTCATATAAACAAAATCTCTGTCTGCAAATGATTCAGTTGTCTAGTGATCAGAGGTATCAGGAAACTCTGAACAAAAGCTAACATCAAAATCAGTGACATTATTTGACCACTTTGTTTTTGCCAGGTACATCTTAAATAACATACATAGCAGGTATGTATGTTATTATGTATGTTATTTCTACAGGGCATGTAAGACATATCTGTTTCAACAGGCCTTTGATCTTTGATATTGCTGTTTTTAAATTGTTTTAAATTGTTTTTAAATTGTGTTAGATTTTAGCCTGTTCTTGTAAGCTGCTCCGAGCCCCAGGGGAGTGGCGGCATATAAGTTTTAATAATAAATAAATAAATAAATTTCAAGTAGAACTTTTCTGAGTGACATTCCAACTTCATTCCCCAGAACTCCCTCAGTTGACAGGGGGATGTGCCATACACGTTGGCTAGAGCATTCTGGGAATTATAATCCAAAAACATTTTTCAGGTTCTGTACCAGGGACAGTTATTTCTGGGGTTTACTCTAATTGCAATATGACACAGATATAAACCAACCCCTTCATACTGCTAAATTACATAAACCATTTTTGTCATGATACTATTATGATAGCATCAGTCTCACACCAAACACAGTATGTCACAAGTCAAATGTTGGTGGACTCACTAAAGGTTGTGTTTGTGGTAAAGCAATCACTACTACCCACATCCATCAAGCCATAAATATAATTGACCTTTGAGGAAAGTGCAACATGGATTAAAGTGTATTACTGATACTCCAAGTGGTGGTCCATTGGCTGCTGTTCCACATTTCTAGGAAAGAAAGAAGTATGATCTGCCAATGACACTTGGCACATTAGGGAAAAACCATATATTCCCCATATCAGAAACCTTAGGACACTTGGACTATATGACATTTCAATCTAATCTAATAAGCAGCAGCTTCAAGTCAAATTCAGGTTGAAGTATGCCATCTACAAGTTGATTAATGTGAAACATTATTTTAAATTCAGGCAAATCAATTTCTCCTTCAGATAGCTATGGTTTCTTTCACATTTTTTCCCTATTATAGATGTAGAGTTAATTTTGGAATATCAGATTTTCAGTGACCTATTAGCTATCAGTTTCTCCCAAACCATAATAATAATAATAATAATAATAATAATAATAATAATAATAATAATAAAAAAAAACAATAACAATAATTTATTTATTTCTACATTGCCCTCTCTCACTGAGGGGACTCAGGGCGGTTTAATCAGTAATTAATAGTGCCCATGTAGTGTAATTTCTTAACCAGTGTTTCTTGTAACATAGATTTTTCAAATCTGAGTGGTCACAAAAAACAAAAATATCAAAAGGAAACTTTTACAGATTTATATGTTGTATTCCTAACTGCAGGAAAATAAGAGAGAGGGCACCCCTGATGGTGCAATGGGTTAAACCCTTGTGCTGGCAGGACTGAAGAATGACGGGTCGGAGGTTCAAACCTGGGGAGAGCGTGGATGAGCTCCCTCTGTCAGCTCCAGCTCCCCATGCAGGGACATGAGAGAAGCCTTCCACAAGGATGGTAAAACATCAAAACATCCAGGTGTCTTCTGGGCAACGTCCTTGTGGACGGCCAATTATCTCACACCAAAAGCGACTTGCAGTTTCTCAAGTCGCTCCTCAAACGGAAAAAAACAATAACATAGGGAGAAGGTAAGGTGCTTGGTAGGAAATACTCACTTTTTTATTAAGGTAATATGGGTCCAGGTCTTCCAAGGGAGTAGCCACCATTCCCGGAGGTATGTCTCCATAAATAAATGGCAGTGATTTGCCAGCCTCCAAGTCACTACTTGGCTTTGGGCCATTTTCGTCGTCAACTTTACGCTCCTGTTTGGCCAACCTCGCCTTTTCTGCAGCAAAGCGTTGTTCAGCAGCTGCAAGAGACTCTCTAGTGAAGTAGTGAAAGCTGTCAGGTCCTGGTGGTACAAGCACTGGCTGCTCCATCTTTTCATCCTGCACATTTTAATTACCAGCTATTCTCTTGCATAAAGAAGGACTGAAAGAAAGACAGAGAGAGAAGAAAAGGAAAGATTCAGAACAGATACTATTTAGAATGAAGTCCCCCTCCCTTGCTTCCTCATTATGTTCACATAAAATAATGCAAACATACAACACAAAATGAGGGGTAGAAGATTTTGAAGGGTTAGGTTTTCAATTCCAATACATTGTTATCCCCCAAAATTTTGGAAACAGAAGTTAACATCATAGGAGGAGAAACACTGATATTATTTGGCATTGGAAAGTTATGCATTTCACTTTTGCCAGGTCCATCATAAATTATATATGGTATATAACAAGAAGATATACTGCTAATCAGAAAAATTCTTTTTCTAAAATTAACTTTATTTTTTTAAAATTTAAAACTCCAAAGTCAAAAAAGTGAATCAAGAAAAGAGAATATAGAGTATAAACACAAAATGCCAATAATAATAATAATAATAATAATAAACAAAAATAATAAATCTGAATAATTCTTAATATGGTCAAATTTTCAAATTCCAGGAAGAAATTATCCAATGAATTTCATTTTTGTCAGGTCCATTATAAATTACATATACAGCAAGAAGGTATACAGCCAATCAAAATAATCTTTAATCTAGCCAAATATTCAAATTCAAGAAAGATCCTTTGTTCCAGAGTGCAAAATGTCTTTGGGTCTGTTGAATAAAATGTCTTTGCACTCTTAGACAAAGGGCAGGACCTCAGCCAGGGTGCCCATGGGAAGGTAGATGCAGGTATTGCAGCTGGGGTGGGGGATGGGGTGGGCATGGTAGTGTGGCTGCCCAATGGCATCAAACTGTATTTGACACGGCTGGCTAGTCGGTGCCACCCTGCAGCTTCAGTGGCCATTTGGGGAGTCCCAATCAGCCCAAAATGCAGGGCCAAACTGAATATCAGCATTTTAGGTCAGGGTAGAACTGTCCTGAGAGATGCACCCAGCATTGGTGTTCCCAAGTCTTAGTGCAAAGTTTCATTTTTCCAGTCCTCATGCCTGGGGAAAAAATGCAGAGCAAGAGCTCAGTATTGAATAGAAAATATTGTCCCTGCTATCATATGTGGCTGGGCCCTGTACTACCAGCTACTTTGGAATGGCTGCTATAGAGTCTATAGAAAGTCTGCTTTGCCTTATTTTCCTCCCTTCTACCACTGCTAAGGTTTTCAATATTGCAGCTGGCATCAGAAGTCAAAAGGAAAGAGTGGCTAGTGCAGGGAAGTACTGAGCTGGCATAGCATCTGCAACCTCAATAGCTGCTGAATAAGGCATTACAAGCTTGCTGCTTTGTGGCTTTTTCTTCTTGCCAGCTTTCCCAGTTCTATTCCCACTTTACTCATCCCTAAATGACCAAAACTGCATTACAGTTTTCTGCTTTGCTCTGAGGTACATGTGGGTTGCATTGCTATTTTGTTTTCACTATGATTTCCAATGACCTTATTACATTGGACGCTGGAATCACCAAGGAATCGCCGGGCAAGGAAGTAAGGGGAACCCATCGCCCCACACCACACAGCATCGCCCGGATTACACTTAAGCCCATTGCACAGGGGAAGTGTCTGCTGTCCAGCTTCCTCCCATTGTTGCTAATGTGGCATACGCCGGTTCAGCTTTAGTTTAGTCACTGTGTCCTGCCAGAAGTCTCTGTATGTCATGAGATGGGAGCCGGTAGGCTCCATGGCTAGACTGAAGAGGAACTAGTGTATGCCCCCGAATTCAACCCCATCTGATGAGGTCACTATTTTCTTTCTCCTTGCCCCTCCACACCTAGATAATCTCTTTATATCTTTTCTCTCTCTCCTTCATATAGCGGTGGACAACTATAACAATTCCTTGGGAGAACTTGGATGGCCCCGCTGTACCTACTACTAAAATAAGCAAGCTAGTAAGTAAATAGTGCTTTCCCTCAAGCACCCTCTAGAGGACATGTGGGCACTCTCACCATGTTTGGGGCATTATTGGTCCCCTGGAGGGCATTTACATTGCATTTTGAAACCAAAACATTGAAAGTTTATTCCAAAATTTGTTTTGAGCCCAGGAAAGCCTGGGAGAACGTCTGTACATCCCAGGTGGTCATTGTGGGGATTTTGTAGTACGTTGCCAATACTAATCTGCTAACCCGTAGGTTTGAATTCCTTAAGCTCCTGTTTATGTAGGTTAAATATCTCCTCTTTTCCTTAACTTCTAACTGTTTATTTTGTAGCATTATTATTATGACTGTTACTTTGGAGGTGAGGGTGGGCTTCACAACCTGGCTAAGACAGACAAGTAAAGTAAAGATACTGAGTATTGGAAAATAACATTAAAGGAAAGATAGTTGGAGTTACTTCAAATGTTTTCTTTAGTTGGACTATAGATCCCATTTGTTAAATGAAGTGCTTATGATGGCATGTGGAGAAAACCCCTTTTTCTGTTCAAAGTGGAACATTTTGGTTGGCTGGACTACAACTCCCAGATTGCCTTAATAACAGTAGTTGAACAAGTGTAATAACACCACTGGAGAACTTTCCCCCAAGTTCAAGGTAGAGTTTTAGAAACTTAATTCCCACCCGTAAATGACAATTAATGTACAGTCAATCTTCATTGGGGTTAGGGGCACAGGACTCTTGCAAAAGTGAAAACTGAAAACAAAAGATGCACTATTTTTACCCAAGAGTTCTCCTCTCCAGGAATATCTAGATTCTCCTGCACTATTCTGTGGTCAGCTTCTGGCAGAGACTTAGAGATTCCTAAAGAGAACATTTTAATCAAATCTGTGAAAATCAAACCCAGAAATCTGGAGGATTAACTGTACAATCCTCTATGGATCAACAGTGGCAGCCCTGAGGTCTCAGGTTTCAGCATTGAAATCTCTTTCTGGCACAAATGATCCTGACCCAGCCACTTTGCTATGCCTAAAGACTGGGCTAGCCAACACCCACCCTTTTCAGTCTGAGATTAGGGTAGCCAGTTGACACAGCTGTTGTACTATATTAGTGAAGTAGCCAACTAAAAATTCAGCACGTGATTGAAAAAACCTCCCTTGCAAAATTTTTGCTTATTACATAGTTGCCGAAAAACACTCTGCCATCAGAATAAAGACAAAGATCCACCCAGAGGAAAAGTGTTCTTGCCATATATCAAGGGAACCACTGACCGCATAGGGAAGCTGATGAGGAAACACAACATACAAACTATCTACAGACCCACCAAGAAAATCCAACAAATGCTACGTTCAGCAAAGGACAAGAGGGATCCTCTCACTTCTGCAGGAGTCTACCGGATACCATGCAGCTGTGGACAAGTCTACATAGGGACCACCAAACGCAGCATTGCCCAAACACGAATCAAGGAACATGAAAGGCACTGCAGACTACTTCAACCAGAGAAGTCAGGCATAGCAGAGCACCTGATGAACCAACCTGGACACAGCATATTATTTGAGAACACAGAAATGCTGGACCCCTCCAACAATCACCTACACAGAGAAGCCACTGAAATACACAAGCATGTGGACAATTTCAACAGAAAGGAAGAAACCATGAAAATGAACAAAATCTGGCTACCAGTATTAAAAAACTCTAAAATTAGAACAACACAACAACAGAGAGGAAACAAACAAGGACATCTAATCACCTCTCAACAAAAGATTGCTCCAGGCACTGCCAGGCCATCAAATGCTAATCAAGGTGATCAGTTGAAACATTCACACCTAGCTCCAACAGACAAGAGTCCTTTGTCCCACCCTGGTCATTCCACAGATATATAAACCCTTTCTAGTTCCAACAGACCTCACTACCTCTGAGGATGCTTGCCATAGATGCAGGCGAAACTTCAGGAGAGAATGCCTCTAGAACATGGCCATATAGCCCGAAAAAACCTACAACAACCCAGTGATTCCGGACATGAAAGCCTTCAACAATAACAACAATGAACAGTAGATCCACTCCTATTTGCTTCTTGATAAGCTAACTACTTTTACTAAAGCTGCTGATCTATTTTATGAGCTGTTTAATCAGTTCTGAAGAGATACGCCAGCGGAAGTGTTGTTATCAGAGGCATCCAGACACAGCCTTTTATTGCAAGTGGTATTGTATTAATTAAGAAAAAAAAACAGGAAAGTTGTTGCACTTACAGACTCCCAGGGGACCAAGCTGGTTAATTACAAGAAAGTCTAAATTCGGTGACTTTTTCTTGATTTCAGATGGATTAATCTTATGATGATAGTGCTGGAATTAGGTCAAGGCAAAATCGAAATATAAACTAAAGGGGAGAGTAGGAAAATAGCTGACGGTTATAGGAAGAACACTTTTGTGCTAACCTTAACGTAACCCAGTTTGGAACTGCTACCGTTTAGTATCGCTGAATACACATGCTGATGATTAGAATTGTAAAAAGCAGCATATGCTCTTAATTTCTCTGAACAGATTTGCTGTAGTATTTTGGAAATGCACTCAAGAACGGAAAGGTACAAAACATGGTCATAAATATAGTATGCAGCCAAAAAAACAGCAGGGCAACAGACAGGAGAAGGGAATCAAACCACCAAGTGCTCAGGAAAATTGCTTATGCTGCACCTTTTGCACTGCTGAATGATTTTTTGATTTTTGCAGGCATAGTGTTCCAATGTGCGTTGGAGAGTAGACCACATCCCTCCCCCTCAAGAGACACTAAAGCGATGTGTCTGCAGTCTCCACCCATTGGCAGGCTGCCTCCAAGGAGGGCTGCGACTGTTCCTGCCAGACCTAATTTGCTGAGCAAAGGAAGAAATGAAGAAGGGTGGAGAAGTGAGAAAGCTGGAGCAGATAAGAAGGAAGACCAATCACTAGAACAGAGAGGTGTTGCTGGCAGAGAAACTGGGGGCACGGCGACAGAGCACAAATTCATTAGGTAAAAGGGAAGGAAGGGAAGAGCCCTGCAGAGATCCAGTGAAAATCTCTCTTAATGGTGTTTGGCAAGAGACAGTAAAAGACTTTGCTTAACAGCAGAGGGGGGAACCTTACACAGCAACAAAGAAGCAAATA